CCTTGAAGTCTCCAAACAAAGTTTCTGGGGATGATGGGCCGAGATGGTGTCAAGGAAGAAGTGGAGGAGTTGGGCGAGCATGGTATATGCAGAACGCCATTGCTTCCATTGGGCTTCGCTTCATGCTCGCCCATGTCGCAATAGCAAATATCTGTCATGTTTGCTTGGGTCTCTAATCACTGGGGAAAGTGCTCACGGTATGCCGAACGATGACGCGAGATCAGGGGGTGACGACACCATCCATATCTTGGTGATATATAAGTCCGTTCGGTAGGATAGTCGCATCCCTATAATCCAGAACGGATGGGTCGAAAGAAGGACGGAGGCATCTAACCCCTTTCGGATAGCCAATAGCCAACTACAGCCTCGTTGTTGTCAAGCTCAGCTGAGTCACACGAGTAGGTGAAACAATGAACCATCAAAAGGAACGGATTGGCATGAGGGATTGGCAATGGCTTCTTCTTATAATACTCCGCTCTGCCCCAGACAATGGGCGATCAATAGACTTGACGCCACGGTTGGTGTCTGGGCGAGCTTCAACACCATCAGTTGCAGACAGTGATGGCTTCTTACGAATATTCTGCATGATAACCGCGGGATCCAGCCCAGTCCTTGGGTCTTTGCTCTGTCGTGGAACAGCAAGATTGAGCCAGTCCGATGTAGGTTGCTTCGAGGTTGGGTATCACAACCACAACAAAAAGGCAAAAAGGTACCTTTCCAATTCCAGATCAAATCACACCACAATCCAGCTATGCGGTCTCGAATATTGGTCGAAAAAATGGCTTTTTTTTTTCCATGAAGCGACATCGGATGGTGATGAGACGCGTCGAGATCGCATATGTCGTGCAATGCTGCTGTCACGTTGTCCGCAGAGGCTCTTTGCCGATGAAGCATCTTGTTTCTTCGAAATACCCCGAGATCCAAGTTCTCAGGGCATAGAGCGCCCGTGAAAGCTTTCAAAGTCGAAACCCCCAAGACAGCTGAGTTAAAACACAAGCAAGTGATCGCCGTGTTGTTCGATACATCATCTTCATGGTTCGGAATCAGCTGAAGAAAGCAGGGCGAATAAGATACTGTCAGAGGCCAGGGGATCCACTGGGCGTGCACGTGCCCAGCTAGACTGGGATATGCGGAATTTTTATCTAGATACCAGAGCTTCAAGTCTACAGAGCCAGTCTTACACACACACACAATCAAGCCACGTTGAACCCATATCAATTATCACTAGTAATATTATAGATACTCGTGGTACACCCTCACTTTTTTAGTGCTCGCCAAACTTACACCCTCCAAAGAGGGTATTCACTATCAGAGGTCTAGTCTCTCATAACAGTCATACTCCAATGTCAGCCCCCATCCGCTCCGCCGCTATACGTGGCGCAGTCTCTTTGTACCCTGTGGGTCTAAATGGTATGATATTAGGATTACGTCTATATATAGTTTAAACGAAATCGGCTAATATATATAAGGAATATTTAATTTCTACGTAAATATTCGAATATTAGACTACTATAAAAATTTTGAATTGAATTAAATAAAGTGTCTGAGGATAATATATATTATAAATCTATTTCTATATACTTTTTTTGTATTTCCATTACGATTTTATTATTCATTAATACTATAGGGGTAGGTTTTATTGTACGCAAAATTGTATTTAAAAGGATCGTATACTCTATTTTCGCAACTTATCGTCGCATTAATACGAAAATTAATATATATAATATACGATTATAAATCTAATATTAAGAATATTATAATATTTATTCGTTATATTGCCAATTTTCGTTAACTTAATACGTCCGGCTTCCTAACTCGGCTTTCTAGGGTTAGATTAGCGAAGTATTATAATATATAATATTTAATAATAATAAAAACGTTTAATGTGATTTCGTTAATACGGTCGCTACTCATTTATTAAATTAGGGGTTACTGCTAAACTAAGATTAGCCTTATCTGAGATTTAATTAAGTTAAATCTATTTATTATATTATTTACCAACGAAGCAATACAATCTTTATTACCCATACTAACTATAGAAAGAATATTATCTTTTAAATTATATTTATTATCTTAGCTGATCAAGTTACTATTTAAATTATATTATTTAATTAGCTTAGCGAGGAATAGTATAATATCATTATTAAATTCCCGGGTATTCGGCCTATTCTAATTAATCAATTAATTATAGAAATATGGAATCTATATTTATTATATTTAAAACCGATAGGGGAATTAACCTTTTATTCTCCTATTAGGTTTAAAGGTTAACTCCCCTATCAGTTTTAAACGAGCTTTAATTAATCCTTTAATAATATTTACGCTTCTAAATAGATTTAGAATTTAGAAACTATATATATCCTCTTCGGTTTAGAATAAGCTACCTACGTAAAATTTATAGAGTTAATGTATAATACTTTATTTAATTAGCGGATTATTTTTATTACTATTAACGAATTATATATTATATTTTAATAGTATACGTTTTAAAAATAATTTATAAATATTTATATTATTAAAATTACTATTCTATTTAATATCTCTTAGTTTGGGTATACAGCTATTCTTATTTATAGCGTATAATATTATATATATAAGTATAGCGGTTTTTACTTAAAGAGTTATACATTAAGTAAATTCACTATTATTTACACTTTTATTAACTATTCTAATATTATAATAGTACTATAACTAATTCTATAAGGCGCGTTTAAGGATTACCAGTAGTTTGAATTCCTTTTCGGCGTATTTACGCCCGACGTTTCCCCGCTTAATATTTATTTTATTTTAAAAATTATTATTTATATTAATAGTAAACTATTTCTTTTCTCCGCCCGGGCGTATTTTTTATAATATTTTATATTCTTTAATTATAAATTATTATAAGCGGTAAGGGTAATCCGTAAGTACGACGCTGATATTCGTCCCCGAAATTAAAAAGTTATATGTAAGGATTTTAAGCGGCTAGATTCAACGTATCGGATAATACTCACTACTATTTTGCTTAGTATAGGTATAAATATTCCGGATATATATTAGGTAATATAATATAGCGCGATTAAATTTAATAACATCGCGGATTTAATTTACTATTTTAAATACGCCGTCTGTACGGACCCTATTATATATAGTATTAGGTATTATTTCGTTCCTTACTATTAATTTAATTATTTAGGCTAATTATATAAACTCATTTAAGTAGAGACTATTACTTATCTTAGTAATATTTTATTAAATTATTCCGCTATTTTAGGGTTTGAAATTTAATATATATTACCCCCCCCTTCTATTATTACTATTTTGTAATATATTACGTTAAATTTCACTTTAATTAATAAGCTAGTATAATTATTTATTTCGGGGGATGAAAATATATTAAATAAAGGAAATATATCCAACGAAACAAATACGTAGAACGATGAAAATATATTGAATAAAAATAAATTATTAAATAATAATATTATTATTATTAATTAATTAGTTTTATAGGAATTAGGAATTAGCGATAGTAATCGATAACTTTATATTTAGAATAAAATAGAGAAATTAATTCGGAAGGAGATTATTAAAAAATATAACGAAATATACGAATTCATTAATATACCTTACTTTAAATAATATACTATGAAATTATTATAAAAATTTGGGCTACCCTCTAAATTTAAGGATCTCCCTAATTATATAATAAATTTTAACGTTGAACGTTTCGGTATTACTCCTATTATATTATTTTATTCGTGTAGAAAGGAAGATCCTTTCCCTATTTTAAATCGTCGCCTTTAAGTTAAGAATAGTGTATAACCTATATTATACGTACTATAATAATTTTTGGCCCTCGATAATAATACTAGCGTATGCTATAATTCTTCGTATAATACTTTTCTTAGAGTTTTAATATAATTTCCTCCTAAGAAGAAGAGAGTAACTGCTATGTAATTAGTATAATAACGGGAATAAGAGGTTAAAATTGAGGCGGATTTATTACGACGAAAGAGGATATAATTAGAAGTATAATTTAATAAAGTACGAAGAAGAGAAGTATAGATAGCTTTATAAATACGCTTACTTCTACAACCAATTTATATATTAGTATACTTAACAATGGCGAGGATGGGGATACCTTCATCCCTTCTTAATTAGGGTATTAGTAATATAGGACTTCTTCTAAGTAATTAACTTCTATAGTGGTTTAGTTATTAGATAGGGTAATCAATTTACTAATAAGGCGGCTAGTTTTATAATTACAGTTAGTATTTATAGTAATAGTTATACTTTTACTAATAATTTTAATTTTGTACGTATAAATATATATTGTCGATATAAACGGTCTTTTTAGTAAACTTAGTAAATTTAGTGCTTAGCGCCCCCCCTTCTGTAAATAACCTTATAACTTTTATCGATTTTAATATAGAAATGTTAAATTATATTGTTTATATGTTAATTTAGTGGGCAGTAATATGGTCTCTTATTGGGTCGCTTATATATAGGTATATAGGTATAGTCGTTCAAGTTAGAGAGACAGTCGTTTTAGCCGGCTCGGTTTGGGTGGTGAACACCCTCTTTAGAGGGTGTGAGTTCGGCGAGCCCCAAAAAAGTGGGGGTGTAACACGAGTAGTGGATGGAAGGTACCCGAAGGTACCAAAATATGAGACAAGGTGATGTTAGGAGGACACCGTGGAATGTCTTCGAGAAGGGTTGCTAGCACTCCGTAACTCGTGCTGAATGCAAGTCATACCGGTAATATGGACCCCCTAGTCGGCGACCAACGAGACCATCACAGATCATCGGCGGTTGGACTCATCGATATCACAAGATGTTGGGGCAAAATGTAGCGGGGAGAGTCTCGATGTATCGGCGAGGTACCGAGTAACACTGAAACAAGAGACGCTCGGGCCAGGAAAGCCGGGTCTTGGCACAGCAAGGTCGGTGGGCCTGCCCGGAACTGACCCCTGCAAGGCGGTCATAATTTTCTTTGGCTTCTGAGATCATCACCAAACGTCTCCGAACTCCGCGCCCGTATCTTTACCACAAATCCATCCATCCCCGCCGACTCCCACCCAGCAACACCACCAGTCCTCCACCACCACCACCACCGCCCGTCGCCTTGCTCCCCGACGACCTCCCTCCCTCATTGTCGCACTCCGAACTAGAACTCGACTGCGACATATTCACTCCTCTCCGAAAGACCACCCGATCCCCGCTGAATTCGCGATCCCCATAACCACCCGCCAAGATGGATCACACTCGCGACCCTTGCCCGTGGGTTATCCTCAACGATTTCGGTGGTGCCTTCGCCATGGGTGTATGTTCTCCCTCTACGTTGCTCTTATTCTCCCACCATATGGGCTACCAACAAGATGACACACGTCGAGTGTGGTTAACCTAAACCCCTCGTTGTCGCCGCCGTCGCCTCAACCCCTGTTGACTGCTGCATGGAGTTACTGACACACAATGTCGCTGACTATAGGCTATCGGTGGTACGATCTGGCACGGTATCAAGGGCTTCCGTAACAGCCCTTACGGCGAGAGGAGAATCGGCGCCATCACTGCTATCAAGATGCGCGCCCCTGCGCTCGGCGGTAACTTCGGTTAGTCAACCCGCCTGACACATATCATGCGGCACTTGCCACGGCACCGATACTAATATATGGCATCCAGGTGTTTGGGGTGGTCTTTTCAGCACATTCGACTGCGGTATCAAGGGACTAAGGAACCACAAGGAGGACCCGTGGAACTCCATCATCGCCGGTTTCTTCACTGGTGGCGCGTTGGCGATTCGTGGTGGTTACAAGGCGGCCCGTAACGGTGCTATCGGCTGCGCTGTTCTCCTGGCTGTTATTGAGGGTGTCGGTATTGGTTTCCAGAAGATGCTTGCTGGCGCCACAAAGCTAGAGGTATGCTTGGGAACGTCGTTACGAGAAAAACAACTAGTGGTGGCTAACTCGCATTCTCCTTCACCTTTAGGCTCCTGCGCCACCCCCGTCCAACGAACAAGTCCTTGCTTAAATACAATACAGCGGTCATTTAAAAAGTTTCGATTTAGGATGCACAAAGATTGTCGACTATATCTCTCTCAACTCCTTTCTCCCACCTGGCCCGTCTCGGTTGGGCTAGGCTGTGTATTTGTCTACGCATTTCATGACAGTCAGCATTTTGGGTGGCGGCGTTCCATGTAACATAGAAACGGGTTTGTTGGTTACGCTTGCCATATAAGGGGGTCAGCGTGGATGCTTTGCCTCAGCGCGGAAGAACAGTCATCCGAATAATATTTCTCTTTTTTTGGAAGACAACATGCGCTTTGCTAACGTGTTACCGGCTAGCGTGTTCAAGACAAAGGGAACCAGTCTAACTAGTCTACTAGATCTTTTCGCCACTCCAAACCCGCGGATCTTCAGGTTTACCTTCGCCGATATACGAAGTTGGGATATCCTGATCCTTGCGAAAGATACGAGCATATGCGACACCTTCCTCGTCTATCCAAGCCCGAAACATTCCACCGCAGTTATAGTCCTGAAGGATCTCGGACCGAGTCTCGACGACATTACCATTTGCGTCCCGCACGACCACCGACTCGAGTCCGATAATGCCACCTTCGCCTTCGCCAGTTTTGCCCCATCGATCCTCGGCGCTCTTCTGGAGCTCTCCAGACGGCCCAGCAACTTTGGTCAGGGCCACGGTTGAAGGAAGGGCAGAATACCGAGCAATGGCGCCCACAGTCCTCGCAGCAGCAGTGCGAAAAAACGAATCACCATTGCCTGTTCCAGAAACGCCAATCGACCGAGTGGTGCTCAACTCGCCAGACGAGCGTTGGTGGGCAGGGGTATACAGAAAGGGCGAAGGCAGACAATCAGCAATCAGGCCCTTCAGCGCATCCGACAGAACCACCGCCGGTCCCGGGCTATACAAAGGATTCCGCGACGCGTTCTTATGAGGAGAAGTCGGATCGCCCTCCTCCGTCCACTCCTCAGCCCAGAACCCAGCCCCGACAACAGGCGTATCGCCAATCCTGCCCGTCAACTTATTCGTCATGCCGCCCGTGCTAGTCGCCACACAAATCACGCCTTCCTCATCCAGCGCGACCGCACCGACCGTTCCCTGCGGGAGATACTCGTCCTTGCTCCAAGTCGCCGTCAAAACACCATTAGCAGCGCCGAGCATATCCTGCTTGTGCTCCTTCTCCCTCTCCAACGCCCGAATATGTTGATCCCACCGCATCTGCGTAAAGAAGTAACTGGGATCTACCATCTCGAGCCCATACTGCCTCGCCAGCTTCTCCGCCGTCGGGCCGTGGATCAGCGTATGGCCTTGCGCCGAGGGGACATTCAACTCCCCGTCGTTATTATCCAGCTTCTTTCCACGACCCAGAAGATCGTCCCTCCCGTGCTCCAAAACTTTCTTCGCCAAAAGAATCGGATTCCGAACGTGGCGCAACCCAGTCACGCCCACCCCGCGCTTGGCCTGTCCCCGACTGACCATCACGGAAGCTTCGAGCTCGTTGATTCCATCACGCGTGAAGACGGCGCCGTGGCCGCTGTTGAAGAGAGGGTTGTCTTCGAGGAGGGTGACGGCGTAGGTGGCGGCTTCGAGGGCTGATGGGAGTTTTGTTGAGGAGGAAGTGGAATTGGAATCGGACTGGGACTGGGGCGTGGTCAGGTAGGTGTGCGCTTTGGAGACGATGGTTAGGAGAGAGGAGCGGTAGGCGGCGTAGAGCTTCGGGCCTAGGCTGGCGGGGGTGATGTTGCCGGCGCCGCCGTGGATGATTAGACGCGGTTGGACTTGGACGTGGGGAGGGGAGGAGGGTTGGGGTTTGTATTCCATGTTGCCGATATGGTTTCCTCACTGAGTACGAGGTTGTAGAAACTGCTGGTCGTCTTGAAAGTTATATCCAGACTGTCTCGAGTGTGATTTGTAAGGTGGTGAGGGGCGCGTCGCAGTGTTGTGTTGTGTTGTTGTCTTCGATAGTCAATCCTTTGAGCAGGGGCGGTTGTTTCCGATAAGAAGGTGATAAGCGTTTGGCGGTTCCCGTCGTCAAAGGCGGGGTGGAGCTTCGTTTCATGGTACGTACCTGCTCTTATCTTATCTCCCCCCGCAAACAGCTTCCACTTTGCACATGCCTCGGCATTCTCCGTCGTGCAGTGTGCAGCCGTACCCGACCGTGGAGAATGGCGGGGTTTTCTCCGCTTGTTTGAAATTGAAGATCGCTTCCAGCTTTGACAATCTGAAGTTCTGAACATCGCCAAGTTGATTCCCAGACTCCTCTCCAGACCCCGACTCCTCTCCAGGAGTTGATCAAACGGGTTTAAAAAGAAGTCATGGCAAGACTTGCAGGAGGAAGAGCGCTGTGTTACTTTTTACCAAACACCGATTCTTTTTCGATTTGGGTTTGCTGTTCTCTCTCGACGCCAGAATCAGATTGAGTTTCTTTCATTGATTATCATCATCTTAGTTCATTCACCCTCAGAGTCACAATGCGAAGCTTCTTCCGAAAAGTCAGGGACGAATCGCAAAAGGTCCTTCAGGGGGATCACGGTGCCAACGACCCCAGGTCCCTAGAGAACCCTGAACATCCCCCTCCATCCGCGGAAGAGCATGAAGGTGGGATCATGCAAAGTGGTGAAGGTACATATTTTATGATCCCAATTTTTTTAACTTCGTCAAGTTTGTTTCATATCTTTTCAGTTTTCATCCTCACGTTTCTCATTTTCCTTCTTCGGTATCTTCGGTTTCGTTTCAGAAGTTTCGTTTCGTTTCATGTTCCTGGCTGTGTGCCGCTTCAGGGTCCATCGCCACCCATTCAGTGTCACCCCGTCACCCCCCTACTTGTGTACACATATTTTTTATCTCTTCCCATCCAACAACATCCTCGTTGCTTCGGTTGTTAGCTCCGGCGGCAAGCTATGCCTCCATTGTCACCAAACCGTTGCCCAGCCGAGATGGTTGGACATCTTGACTCGTTAAGTATAGCCGCCAGTTTCTTTGCTGATCGTTTCGAGTTGGATTCCGATGAACCCGCCCTCGTGGATGGCATGTTGATGGTCATACATATTAGTTTCCGAATCCTCCTTCTACCCAGGCCAGGCGATGATTTAAAATGAGTTACTTCTACTCATGGTACATACTGTTACATCTGGAAAGAGCACTCTACCCAGATTTTTCATCCTCGAGTATTTAGACCTGGCCTGGCCCGCCATTCCTCTTTTCTCAACTAGGCTACCAATCAAGCATTTTCCCACACATTACTCTCCCATAGTCTCAATACTATTCAACTGCGTCTTTCGAGACCAATGATACCAATATCAGATGCTCCTTCATGTTTTACATCATTACATTTCGCTGGTCTTTGTCACTACATTGATCCTGCTAACACGCCCGGCACAATGTTGGTTAGCCCGTCATCAGCATCCGCGTTACCATCCCGATGTCGATAACACGCAACCAGAGGGCGAAACCCCTCTCAATGTCTGCAATGTTGAAAGACTCGGTTTCCAGGTCGCCAACAATAGCGCCAGTTACCGCGATCTAGGCTTCACCGGAAAGATTGCTGGGAAATGGTATGCCGTCTTCGGCGACACCATGTGGTGCGCCCCTGGGGTCTCTAACTTCCTTGAGGACACTCCCGGTTTTCATGGCATGGTTCGGGACTCAGTCTCCCTGTTGACGGATGACCCTTTGACCGTGGTGGATCTGAACCTGAATGATGATTGTCCTGTCCCGCATCAGAATCAGTTGATCCCTTTCAACGAGGAATGGGGTGAAACGAACCAGTACGGTTTCGGCGGCACGAGTCTTTGCGAGACTGATGCCGAGGCCGCCACGGCTGCGCTTTACTACCTTGTGGTATGTAATCCTCCCCACGCTTATTTCTAGATCATCATCCACTAACAACGAAAACAGAACGCCAACGAAACCGGCGGCCTCCTAGGCGCTGGCGTCGCCAAGGTCGAGGTCATCAACGACACTCCCACGGTCACCCAGCGCTTCGGCGACAGAGGGTTCTGGTGGGATTCCAACACGACCGCCAAATACGGAGACCAGTGTGCCTACCGCGATGAGCGCTCGGAGTACATCTACATCTGGGGCGGCCCGCCGAACTCGATCACTGGATGGCCTCACTCCAGTTACGCCTACCTTGCCCGGGTAAAGGCAGAAGACGCTTTCGATCTGGACAAGTACGAGTATTTCTGGGGCCGTCAGCAGGGCTGGAAGTCTGAGGTTCTCACCAAGTTCGATGCTGAGACGGCGGTTTGGTGGGCTGTTGGCCAGGGACAGGTTGCTTGGAATGAGCATTACCAGTGTTATGTGCTGGTTCACTTGTCTGCTTTTGGTGAGTTTTTTCCGACACCTTTCTTTGACCTTGTGCATGTCTAACGTGGAGACATTTCCTAGGTGATGGCAAAGTGTACCTGCGAACAGCCACCTCTCTGGAAGGCCCATGGACTCCGGATGTTCAGGTATACAAGAGCGAACCTATCAAAGGCGGATTAGTCTATGCCGGTGTTCAACATCCTTACCTGGATCCAACTGGACAGACGCTGGTTTTGTCTTTTACGAACAACAACCACATCGAGGTCATCAAGGTTGCCTTTGTTTAGACGTATCTTTCTCTTCTCACTTACATACGTGTTTCAACAATTATATCCACTTCACATCACAACCAAAAACCACTAGTATCAACAGCAACCACCTTCCCCCCCTCCATGACCGTTCCATTAATCGGCGTCCACAACCCACCACACGTAGTCATGTAAAGCGTCTTCCGGTCCTTTAAGAGGGAGCATTGTTTGGAATTGTGATGGGTCATTTTGTCGAGCAGCATATCAGGTGAGGGAAGTCAACTGGGTGAGTGCTTGCGCTGGAAATTACATTTCGGGTTGCCCGATATCTATCTTCTTATGCAAAAACTCTTTGATGAAGCTTTTGATGCTTTCTGACATCCCGATGGGGAGTCCGAGAGCTGAGCAAGAGATCCGGCTCGGACTACTACTGGCCGATGACTGTACGGAGTCATCCACGCCGCATTCGCGCCTCGAAACAACTCGAGGGCCTTTTTACCGCTGATACATGGGAAGAGAAGATTTCTGTTATTGAAAGCATTTGGAAGCAATCGAATGACAAAAGAACGATGATGCATCGTGGACAGGAAGAAAAAAAATAGACCAAACCCGAAAATCAGGAACCCAAAAAGAAAGAAAATTCACCAAAACATGAAGTGCAAAATCGCAAAAAGAAAGGACGTTTGGAAACGCCGGGAATTGAGCCCGACGTGGGGGTCGAACCCACAACCTTGAGATTAAGAGTCTCACGCTCTACCGATTGAGCTAGCCGGGCAGCGTAAGCTGCCATTTGTTGAAGAATCGCCTCCATTCTAGCGCTTATAAGGCCCGACTTTACAGCGGGGTCATGGCCCGTGGGTTCGACCTTGAACAACATATCACTTCCGTTCACTTTCATTTTGTTCGCTAGTTGCACTTTTATTCACCTCCATCACCACGCGATGCGAGCAAGATCATTCTCTGCTTTCCGAAAACCGGCTGTCGGAGACACCTAAGAGATCGCCCAACCTCAACTGGGAGCAGCCTGGACCCTTTGCAGATTAACAGCCTAACGGGGACATTCGGGCCTTTCCTGAGGAAAATGGGCCATCAGTCCCACCTGGGATGCTACCCCCGAACTATCTTGATGGGGTTTTCGGGCCAATGGCTTTTCCCCAGGAAAATACTATGCGGAGAAGAGCAAGGGGTAATAGCGGGGGAATGGGGAAAGCAAGACTGGGGAAGCGTTGATAAATTGGAGAAAGCACCGTGCACGTGGCACGCTCACCGGCCAGCGGCCAGCCAGAGAGCAACACTCCGCCTACCCATGCCACGCCCCCAGTTTAGTTGGGACTCTCCAGACTCGCACCCCAACTTTCCACTGTTCCAAGGACCTGTTCTGCGACCCCCTATTCCCCGCAGGGTTATTAGGTGGTGCGAGTCTGGCGAGGTCGAATAAAGTGGGGGCGAGGCACGGGTAACTGATGCTATTCTTCACCACCTCCCAACTAGTCGTCCTTGGTCGTAGCAATAGGCCCGCTCAGAGCCTTGTCAAGGCCGACATGAGGCCGACACCAGGACGGCTCGGATTCTATCGTGGGCTTCGGAACGCCACAAACCTTTACGGTCATACCATCGGCGATGATGCGAAAAGGGTCAGATGACCACCAAACCACCCAAGACGCATTGAGCCCAGTACATCTTCCCTTCTTCTTCTTCTCCTTCCCCTCACCGACCCTACCGTACAATCATTCAATATCGAATTGGATTGATTGCTTGGACAACCAACCAGCCTACAATGACAGACGCCGATAAGTCAGGATAAACACTTCCCCGGATTTTGCAGACCAAAGACAGCGCCATGTTACGTCACAGCCAATGGCCTTGGCAAGCTTGAATTGGACGGCTGGACGCCCCCAGACGCCGCGCCGCATGGGAATGAAGACAGAACCAGCGAGCCGTGCCATGTTTTATGTTTTTCTGGGGTCTTTCTCTCCAACAAAGGAAAATCCCCATGGGGTACTCATATTGCATACGGCACAAGCTCGGCACAAGCTGCGGTTTGGGCGGCTCAAAGAAAAAGGAGTTTGAGCGGACGACCGCCCAGCCGGCCGACGGCATACCACACAGTATGTAAGACCATCCCCAATGAGGAAATAGAACCCTAAGCTGACTCGAGGCTTTGTTTTGACCAGGGTGTATAGGACCGATTGTGACATCATAAGGATTGATCAACCGCAGAAGAGACAGTAAGCGTGGCAGACTGGGCAAAGTGGATATGACAATGGCAGGTTTCCAGAAGTCGGGTTCCATGAAAGAAAGGTCTTCATATAGTCGATCTGGAACCCGCAAGATGGACCCTTATTGCTGTTTCACTCCATTCAACTTCACATATTTTTCTTACATGTGGATTGTTTTTCACTGAGGTGATTCATCCATCACCGAGTATACTACCAAGCAGTGTATAACCCCATAATCCTATTCAGGAGGGCCCATCATGGTTCTGGGGAAGAAGTAAGCTCACTTCCCGAGTCGAATGGGAGATTCTACTAGACAGGTACTGACACTCATCACTCACTAGGTCAATTAAGATCAATGGCGCCGACATTGGTGTCGAAGCCATCCTTCTCGGTGCCGTCACCGCGATAGGAGGCTTCCTATTCGGCTATGACACCGGTCAGATCTCGGGCATGCTCCTGTTCACCGACTTCAAGGACAGGTTCGGCCAGACCACCAACCCAGATGGACATAGGGAATTCACGTCCATCATCCAGTCACTATTAGTATCACTCATGAGTATCGGTACACTTATCGGGTCTTTGACTTCATCATAGTAAGCTCTCCCCTCCCCTCCCCTCCCTCTCCAACACACTCAACCTAGACACCACCAATACTAACCACCACCCCCTCTCTACAGCACTGCCGACTGGTGGGGCCGCCGCAAATCTCTCACCTTCGGCGTCCTTATCTTCATCATCGGCAACACCATCCAAATCACCGCCATGCACTCCTGGGTGCACATGATGATGGGCCGCTTCGTCGCCGGCTTGGGAGTCGGCACCCTCTCCGTCGGCGTGCCCATGTTCCAGTCCGAGTGCTCGCCTCGCGAGATCCGCGGCGCCGTCGTCGCCTCCTACCAGCTGCTCATCACCTTTGGAATCCTGATTGCCAACATCATCAACTACGGCGTGCGCGAGATCCAGGAGCAGGACGCTTCCTGGCGCATCGTCATCGGTTTGGGCATCTTCTTCTCTATCCCGCTTGGCGTGGGTGTTTTGCTGGTCCCCGAGTCGCCGAGGTGGTTGGCGGGTAAGGAGGATTGGGAAGGAGCAAGGATGTCGATGGCGAGACTGAGGGGTATGAAGAATGACCCGCATAATGAGCTGGTGGAGGATGATATGAAGGAGATGCGCGAGGTGTTGGAGAAGGAGCGGACTACGGCGGTGGGGACTTGGAAGGAGTGTTTCATCCCCAAGAAGAACGGTGTTCCCAAGCAGGTGTACCGCACATTCCTGGGTATCGGGATCCACTTCTTGCAGCAGTGGACCGGCGTCAACTACTTCTTTTACTACGGCGCTACCATCTTCCAGTCGGCGGGTATCCAAGACCCCATTCAGACACAGCTCATCCTCGGCGCTGTCAACGTCTTCTCTACGCTGTTCGGTCTCTGGGTCGTCGAGCGCTTCGGACGCAGATGGCCGCTGTTCATCGGTGCTATCTGGCAGGCGGCTTGGCTGGCCGTGTTCGCTTCCATGGGCACCGCTCTCAAACCCGAGGAAAACAAGACGTCGGGTATTGTCATGATCGTCTCGGCCGCGCTCTTCATCGCTTCCTTCGCTTGCACCTGGGGTCCCATTGCCTGGGTGGTCATCGGCGAGAGTTTCCCTCTGCGCACCCGTGCCAAGCAGGCTTCGCTTGCCACGGCTGGTAACTGGCTTGGAAACTGTAAGTCACCTTTTTCCCCTTCCCCATCCATACATCAACAAAACTAACAAACCCCCCAGTCATGATCTCCTTCCTCACCCCCCTCGCCACCGACGGCATCGGCTACGCCTATGGTTACGTCTTCGTAGGCACCAACCTCCTCGGTGGACTGCTAGTCTGGTTCTTCCTGTACGAGTCCGTCAGCTTGTCCCTCGAAAACGTCGACCTCATGTACAGCGAGCCGGGCATCAAGCCGTGGAACTCGCACAAGTGGATGCCGCCTGGCTATATCACACGCATGCAGCGCGATGATGAGTACTTCCATCATCCTGAGAAGGGGTCGGATGGTCAGCCGCAGGTGGATCAGGAGGAGAAGGTGGTTAATGCTAGGGTTTAGGCTTGGTTGGGAGGGATGTAGGGCAGTGATGTGACTGTGTTTTTTTTTCTTGTTCAAAATGTGCATATGGGAGGTTGTAAGATATGGGTAGGGCTGTTGGCAAGGCGTTGGTTCATGTTTGTATAGGCCTTTGGAAGATAGCGGTTTGGACTAAACGAATGTGAATGAGGATCATGTAAGAACGCTGTGCGAAACTCCTTAGTGTTTCTCATCTTTCCCTTTTCTTTTCTTTTGCTTCTTTTTCGCAGCCTTTTCTCGGTTGTTGCTTTTTGTTATCCTTTGTTGCCCCTTTTTCCTGGGAATTCTATCGAATCATAATAATGAAGCAGCAAATGAGAACGATGGATCGAAGGAATTGGCCAGGAGAGTGGTGCTCAAGCATGAAGCCCATCATGCGAATGTAAACCACCCAATCACTCCAGAGTGGTTGTTTGTAATGCGGGATAGAAGGAAGACCCGGCTCGGGACTGGAGGATAAGTGCAGAACAACCCGACGGCCAGAAGCTCCAAACACAGAAGCTTGGCCACGTAACAACAATCAAGTCGACATCACCTTCAAATGGGTAACTGTCTTTCAAGAGCTTTTACACAGATATAAGTACCCTTTCTTCAGCTCTCATCGTTCTCCTCAAGTCATTGCCTGGTTAACATGACATAGCAACCTTGACGAGCAACCATTACATTCATAGCCTTTCTCTCGTCCTTTTCCTCAAACAGCCAACTTCACCCCCTCCAGTCGCTCACCAACATGGCCTCCAATACCACTGAGAAGGCCGGTCCTGGTCAGATCCACGCCCGAATCGTCGATGACGCAGAAAAGACCATGCGCCAGTTCAACACTCCTGTAGTGTCTGCCGACCTACTGAACAAGCTGGTCGACACCCAACTAAAATCGGCCACTGCTCCGGTTGAGTGGAGTACCTACCACCAAATGACCAGTGTACAGCGTCTACAGCTGGAGACATTGTTTGATACTATCCATGGCCTCGACGAAGATTCCTGCGCTGGCTGGCAAGTTCCCTCGCCGAATTACTGGGGCAATCGACCTGTGTTACTGAGATCAGTACTACTGTCAATAGCTAGCCTGATATTTGTCAGGACCAGTACAACAATCACCATGGGAACTTATGGTGCAGTCGACCTTGGCCATGACTCGGGCGAAGAGAGATCACAGGCGACGCAGCTTGTCGAGAAGGAAGGAATCGCTTCCCTTAAAGCTGATTGCGAGCTAGTAAGTCTTCCTTTTAGCACACATGCTCACTCGATACCTCACTGTCCACCAGTACTTACCAGTATATAACACAGATCCTCAAGCTGGTCACCACGCTCGCCGATGTCCCTTCCCCGAAGAAGGCCCAATAGGCGCCACATGGAGACGATATCCGCGGCATTTCGCCACTTCTCAGCTAGGCTTGGAGGATACTCCTGTGGGAAACTTTGATGGCAAAGGATAATGTTATAGGATTCGGAAAGAGACATATGAAACAGATCAGAGCAGAAGACAAGAATGCAGTTCCATTTGCTCACAAACCTCCCGTTCGATACCACGATCATTGCCTGAAATCCCCAAAGAGCAAAAATCACGAAAATCTGCGAGAAAACAGCTTGTTACTCCACAGAAAGCATACCTTTGATGCCGGAGGGCAAGGCAGATTGCCCAGACGTAATAATAGTGGCTGAGCCCGGCCAGCTGGTCGGGTCGGGTCCCCAGGGGCCGGAAGCCCGGAGCTAGGCCGGAGGTACAGGCCGGAAAGTGGGGTACCAACCTTCGGGAACCAATGAGCAGCGTGGAAATGCGTCGCACTAGCGCATCTGACCAATGATATCATACTAGCTAGCCAGAATGGGAAGCAGACGCTGGGCGCTGCAACTGAACACCAACATCCAACAACAAACCTCCAGCGGGAACAGACACTCACCACTTTCATCTTCCTTCCTTGACGCCTACTACCTTTGGTGGGCAGTGCCACCGATGCAGGCCGGTCAAAAGACGGCCATCTACCAAGAGGGATCTGAGAAGACTTGCAAAGCCCCAAAGATAGCCCTTGACCGAGTCAATTTGGAAATCGTGAGAAGGAGGCCTACCAGGCACCGGCGTATAAGATGGACCGATACCTACCTCTACGTACCTTGTTGACTTTTCGGTGGCTGACTCTCATCTTCAGTGTTTTACCTACTCGTACTACTACATTGCACAGAAGGAAACGCCAACACTCTTCTTACCCTTCCAACTCCGAGGACCTCACAGCTTCCTCTCACAAGCATCGTTCATTAAGGTACCTCACTTGCTTCTTGCGTCCTTCGCCTCTCTTTAGATACCGCCCGCAGTCTTCTTCAAAATGACGTCCGAATCCAAGGAAACCTCAAAAAACGGGTCCGGCCATCTCCACGCCAAGCTCGTCGACGAAGCGGAAAGCGTAATGCGCCAGTTCAACCTTCCTGTTTCTTCCACAACCTTGATCGATCAGATTGTGGATCGGAGTCTAGACCCAGACTCCGGCTCAGAACAGTGGAATGTATATCACCAATTGGTCAACGTTCAACGGCTCCAACTGGAATCACTCTTCAATTGTGTCCTTGGCTTCAACGACACGGCTTTCGCTGGGTTGAGAGGAGGATCAGGCCCCGCCCCTGCGCGATCCGACATCCTCAGATCCATACTCCTCTCCCTCTCCAGTCTCATGTTTCTCAGAATGAGCACGACAATCACTATGGCGACCCATGGCCCCCATCTCCAAGGTCCATATCCTCCTGGCGCGATGGACGCACACTTGGAACTAGTGTTCAATGGCGCTCGAAATAAACCGGGCCGCCGGCCAAGAACGCCAAGCCGGTTACCACTTGACAGCGCAGGACTGGTCAATGATGAAGGTCTTGCTTCCCTTAAGGCAGACTGCGAGCTTGTAAGCCATCTCCATAACATTTCCGCTGCTTCCCATATCAACAAGTAGTGCACGGCGCTAACTAATCTCATCGTACAGATTCTCAAGCTCATTGCGCAGCTCACTGCTCCGCCCGGGAAGAAGGCATCCTAATAGCCAGAAATATCATTTTAAGCTGTATACTACCCAAGTAGCTGCACAGGGTATCTCCATGTATATGAGAGCAATGATAGGCGTTGTCGGAGTCTCTGTGTCCGGTATCTTGTACCATCATGATCTTTCTCCGTGTATGGAAAAGACAGAAGTCTCGAGATCAATTAGACTTGGAGTACTATGTGTGTGCTACTCGAGAATCCTGGTTACCGGTCAATCGGGGAGGACAAGGCTCGAGAGTGGGGCCGAACGCCGGTCGGAAGTCGTCAATTGCGGATCCGGATCCGGGTCGCCAAGACAGCGGCCCGGAGGTGAGGTGAGTGGGTCACCGATGCCGTGGATCTCGTCAACCGGCCGGATCTGGTCAACCTGCCACGTCAGTGAACACACATCGCTGCAAAGAAACGGAATACAAGGAAGCTGGTACGATTCTTCAAGCTTCACCCTTTTGTCGGGTGTAAGAGACCGATACTGATTGGCATCTCTGGACGCGGCCGTATGGTGATATTAAGTTGATGTCGTCGTGCCACTGTCCACAGCACGGCGGCGGCGCTGTCAAGGCCCGCCACACGTGAGATTTGAGCGGTGTGTCTGGACTATGAGACTTGTCGCTTTCCCGTCCCTTGGGATGCGGTCCACGCGGGTCGGTTGTGCGACGTGAGCGGTGCATTCAACCGGAACGTGCTTGACATGGGTTGGCCGCGAAGCCCCAATTTGATGTGGAGGGGCGCGAACGGTGCGCACGTAACCCGCTTGCTTCCCACCCCCAGGGAACGGCTCTGTGGTGTTGACGGTCGTGGTTCCTTGGTTCGTCCAATGCAGTGTACAGAACGTATCGCTGCAGTCGCGCCTTACTAAGCCTGCAAGTGAAGTTAGAAACCGGCAAGAGAAGGAAGAGAAAAAGGCAAGAGGGATCCGGACTCGCTCCACGGACTGAGATTGGGGATTCCGACTGACCATCTCTTGCTCTTCTCCAAACAACCTCCTCGTTTCTCCCGATAGTCGTTGTCCTTGACTAGAGTTCTTTTTGTTTTTAGACAGCCCACTATATTCTGCCGTCAAAACAACAGAAATCTGCCTGCCAGCCTTCCTCTTCACTTGAGCCCGTCTCGTCCTATCAGCATAATGGGGTCCTCATACCGCACCGAAGATAACGGCAAGATCTCCGACCTTCCCCAGCTGCACCGCTACATCACCGGCCACAACGCCGAAGGAAAGGCCATTGTCCACAGCCAGAACGATTTTGAGTGGAAGTCGTTCGCCGAAGGTGAACTCGCCTTCAGCGTCGCCTACACGACATCCGAATTTCCAGTCAATCTCAACAAAGACGCCGACGTGGCGGAGCATACACGGGTGCTGGAGTCGGGAAACCTCGGGCTGGTCAACCCGAGCGGTACCGTTTTCCGGTGCGTGGACTTTGCGCCTGGCTACGCATGCGGAATGCATCGAACGCAAAGTCTCGACTACGGCATCGTGCTGGAGGGCGAGGTTGACATGGTGCTCGACAGCGGCGAGGTGCACCCAATGAAGCGGGGCGACGTTGCGATTCAGCGGGCGACTCAACACCAATGGGTCAACAAGAGCAAGACGGAGTGGGCGCGCATGATGTTTGTCTTGCAGGATTGTCAGCCACTGGTTGTTGATGGTCAGGAGTACAAGGAGGACTTGGGCACCAACTCGGGTTTGCCACCTAGCGGAAACTGATTCTGGTCGTCGATGGTAACCGATGCGTGGGGGATATACGGTGTTGTTAACGCAGTAGCTGGGGGCTTTGTACATCGATTGCAAGAAGCAGACGGGAGTTTCCTTGTTGGTTGAGCTTCACGTGTTGTGAATGTCGAGGAGAAACGCCCCATTTGTTTGTTTACTGGGCGATAAGCTGTTATCGGATGTCTACTGTGCAAATGAAAAGTCCACTGCTGGGGTCCTGCTAGCCTGCAGCTCGGACAGTTGTTTAAAACCAGACGGGCAAGTACCTATTTTTCAGTGACGTCATCCAGTACTGTAGCTCTCCAAGGGTGCCCGATTCCATTCCCATCCTTCTCGCCCGAACAACGAAATATTTCTTAAAGACCAACACTTCCTAAAGCCAAACCATCCGCCCCGCCCCGAGTCGACATACGCACACGATGGATAACCCAACACGATCGGAACCTCTGCAACTACACGTCAACCGCGAAGCCCAGCGAGAATCAACGGCACCACCCCACCATGTACTCCCTACAAGAGCCTTTCCAGCACGCCTGAAGCCAAGCTCGGGATGGTCCTCCTACTGGAGCTATCTCCCATCATGGGACCCATCCCCCGGCAAGTCACGTCCTACGAGCAACGCTGAAACCAAGACCATAGCCGGCTTTCGGAACCCTTGGCCGAGCTGGTATACACCTACGCGCTCCCAAGTCTGGGATCATCTCGGCTGGGGAGAGGATCAAGACCCATGCGTCGACCTAGCCGCTTCACACCTATGTGGCTCTCCTGTCACAGACAACCTTCCAGAAAAGAGCAAACGACCACGCTTCAGCGATGTTAAGGACTGGCCTGATTCTCCCGGGGCGAAGGCTGCACGATTGTTGCGCATCGAAGACCCCGATTTCTCCTTCGATTCCTCGACATCACCGCACGCCAAAGTAACATGGCTAGGCCATGCCGGCGTCTTGGTTCAGTTACCTCCCCTCGATGACGCGAAAGAGTCCCGACCTATCCGCTGTCTCTTTGACCCCATATTCTCGATGCGATGCTCACCCAGTCAGCGAGCAGGACCCATTCGTGCCTATCCACCCCCATGCCGCGTCCAAGACCTGCCTCCGATCGACGCCGTCTTCATCAGTCACAATCATTTTGACCATCTGGACTATGATACCATCATGGCCATCTGGGAGAACAGCAAGGAAACCGTTCGCTTCTTCGTACCTTTGGGAAACCGTTTGTGGTTCGTTGGCTGTGGTATATCCGAGGAGCGAGTGACGGAGATGGACTGGTGGGATTCAGCTACTCTTTCTTCGCCTCAAGGAGAAGAGAGTTCCACCACCCAGAGTCTCCAAATATGGTGCACACCGGCTCAACACAGCAGTGGAAGGGCAGGCAACGATGCAAATTCTACCCTCTGGTCGAGCTGGTATCTCCGCCGTCAAGGCTCTGACAGTAGCACATACCGCATCTTCTTTGCCGGCGACACGGGCTATCAGTTTCACGGTTCCCCGGATTGGCCTCCTGGTCCACCGTTGAAGAAGAACACACAAAAGCCAAACACTCAGGAGACTGATGATACCGAATACCCTCCATGCCCGGCTTTTGCCGAAATTAGAGACAGGCTTGGCCCTCCAAACCTACTACTGCTTCCAGTCGCAGTCGGGTCAACATATTCCTACCTCCGCAGCTTAGTTCCCTTACCAGACTGGATCAGCCCCTTTCCACGGCACAGCGCGGGTATCACTGCAGGTATACACATGCCACCATGGGATGCGGTCCGCGTCTTTAAGCTCATGACAGAGCTCCCGGACAAGGACACGACGAGTGAGGGCACAGGTGAGAGGCCAGATTCAGAGAAATTCTCAAACCCACACCCACCAGTGGCAATAGCCATGCACTGGGGTACCTTTGTGACAGAAGGTGTCGAGGTTCTCAAGACTCTTGGGCAACTTGAATGGGCTTGTCAGCAGCAAGGAGTGCACTTTGATAGGTCTTTGCCCGTGTCTGATAAAGAGGGCGGAACTGATGAAGCAGGGTGTAGGTCAAGAAAGGGAGTTCTTGTATTCGTCGCGCTGAATCATGGGCAATCTGTTGAGCCCAGATGATCAGCTAACCTGGACGCAATGTGCCCAAGGGACCACAATCTTGGCTAGCGTGTCCGTCGATATTTGAAATTGGTTTTGCACCGCCCCGAACATCTCCATTTCGATTCATCCCGACCAACTGTCAACTCTGTCTTTGGATGTCAAACCATCATGGCTCTTCCCAAGCTCTTTGCAATCGGTCCTAACAGTACCAATTTACTTTTGCCCCCAGACAGCATCAACGTCCACCTTGACAAATTCCCAAGTCTTTGCATCAAAACATTCACGTTTCCCCGCGACGCGGCCCCAGACCGGCAGAAGATGTACAGTTTTCTTGCAGTCAAGTCTCTTGAGAAGCAAATATCCTTCGCGATCCTCGGCCTTTCTCACACAAAACTGCTCGGTTACCCCAAGACTAGTGGCAGTCGCTCCTATCTCGACCGCGTCCAAAGCCGTGGAAAGCATGCCGATAGACCCAACCCACGACCCAGTCGCCGCATTTCGAAAACCAAGCCACCCGTCTGATTCCTCGCAGTGCCAATGCCAGTTGAAAGTACCCGCATACGCCTTCGCTTGGACCGCGTCAAAAACGGGCGGGTTGGGAAGTAGTTCAGGAGGAATCGCTCGGCACAGGTCTCCCTCCACGATGGTATATGCCGCATTGTCGCAGAAAACTATGATGTAGGTCGAGCCAGGGCTTGGTGCGCAATTGCGAATGATGTATGGGAGTTTGTTACTGCGGTTCGACGTGGATGCGTGTGAAGACGTTGGCGTCCTGAGATTTATCGTGCGTGACTGGCTGCCACTGCCGCTGACCGTGGAGGGTGAGACCATTGAGATGCTATCGTCAGGACCAAGGTCTTTTTCGTCAGGTTGAGAAGGTCGTGGGGTGGAAGTCATGATCACGATCTCTGCTCCTGTGGTGAACGTGTTGGTTGAAAGGAGCAGTGGTCGAGAATGTTGTGAGAAGAAGAAAGAGGCAGGGAAATCTTGAACGGCTTGAACAACTTGGGGGAACTGAATGACTGATATCAGAATGACGAAAAAGAGGGGTTCGGTGGGTTGAACGCGGTTTGTTTGCCCGGCGAATGGATGTCGGAGGCCCGGATAACCACCTCATGCAGGTGTGCGTTGCTGGGTGGTGAGGGGGAGGCTCACGACGGCAACCGTCATGACCGCTGATCGAATTGCTTTTGCAAACAGAAGCCGAGCAATCCATATTGAAAGAGGATTATATGGAAATATTATTCGTCGACGGCATGCTCGTTCCCGGCAGCCCACGAACAAACAGTCAGCCGTGGTTGATGGAGGTCGGCTTGGCGCATGGCTGAGCTGGGGTGGGCTGTTATTGCACTATCTAGGATACAGCAAAATTCGCAACAGTTGTGATAGGGGTCCATCTCATTTACCTTCTCACCACACGGCATCCAACGACACTCAGTCGCCACTGCATGTTTTATAACCGCGCTGGCTAGTAGAGCGATTCTTCAGCAAGCGAGCACTCGATTAATAAAGGGATAACTCCTCTGATTGAAGCTCATGCGGGAAGGCCCATTGAAGAAGGGGGTGTTTTTTTCAAGACTGGCGTTATGCAGCCCTGCTTCTGAACGGTGTTGACATGAGACTGGATACCGATCTAATCTATATTTCATGCTCAGGCACAGAACCTGCACTTCTCGGAACATATTGGGTTCGTGACTCGACTGCCGGAGGCGCCCAAACATCGCTTTGCCGTACAATACAACACTGGTCGATTTCTTGGCATGGTTCGTCTGCTGGGGCAGAACAGGGGCAAAACAAGGGCAATCTGGGGCCATCATCGGCCTCAGGAAGAAAACACCTGGTCTCCTTTTGAGGAGCTTCGACAAAGACCAGGACTCTCAGAGCCACAGAAGCATCTCTCCATCTTCTTCAAGACTTGAAGATTCAACGAGCTCACAGCTTCGATCCGCGAGAATCTCGGCCGCTTTCCCAAGTCTAGCAGGATCTGGTTTCTTTGTACCAAGCCAACGAACAAACCGGGGCTGGGTTATACCAGTCTGACTTCTGAGGTCACAGTTTCAGATCGCGAGATGCAGGTGCTCCTGGTACAAAACCAGGGATGGAGGATAGCTCTGAGCGTCTTTTTCCCGGACCCGTTGGGTTGGTTGTGAGATCGGTTCTAGCCCGATCAGCCAATCGGATTCTTCCACTCGCTCAACTCCCTTGGCTTGATACGGTTGGTATCATTTTGGTCCTGAAGAAACTCGACATCACATCCCTAGGAGTTTCCCGTGTTGGATTGTTGCTGTTGGCCCGCTGTCTCATCTGTCACCCTACTCCAAGCGGCTGTTCAACCGCAAGCTTGCCTTTGTGTTTACTGCGGCGCTTCAATCCAACGCTGGATGGATCTTCCAACGACATCGTTTTTAGCCAACCCGCCAGCCAATGTCTCCCTGGGGCCGGATGTTTTTGACGGGATCAAACTCGCTGATTCAACATTACGATGGGTATCAAATTGTCAGTTGGCAGCGTATGCCCCGGATTCATGTCGATTTTGACCGCAGAGGTGATCATTTCGCTTTGTGTCAGTGATTTATCAAAGAAATACTGCGGATATTTTATGTCACTGACGACACGTAAGTGTAAGTCACGATGTCGGCCTTTGGCCAGGCCGTTTTCAGCAGGACTTCAAACTGGGGATGTCGTTGGGCACGGAGCGCCGTGTCTAGGTTGGTACACAACGCCCGCCGACTGATTATTTCGCCTCCAAGTCGGTGCTGTTCTTCTAGTCTAGGTATGGAATTCTTTGTCTTTCTCACATTGAGTCTACAAGCAGGACAGAAGGTCGAATGCGCACCAAGATAGGCGTATAATACTAACGACAGTCATACGATGGAGAATCATGGAATAAGGTATATGACTGTGTCTGTTCTCCCGAACATGTTCGATTGGGAACCACACACGACTCGCTAAACCGCCTTGCATTCTCTATCACAGCCTTCTCTGAGCCCGACCCCTACAGCATTCGCCATCAGACCATAGTGGTATTCTGCCATTAAGCACACCCAGCTCACGGACCAGAACCCAAAGCAATGACTAAGCTAGAGGCTACCCACCAGCCCAATTTCTCTGAGCTGGAACAATGGCACTACGAAGAAAAGAGAGGTGCCGACACGGAGATATCCTTCGAAAACTGGGACGAAGCCATGAAGAAACTTGTCTTGGGCAAAACGGACGAGATTACAGCTGCTTCCTGGCCCTCCTCTTGGATCTTTCCTCACAAAAACATTGATTCCGAGACAGCATTCCTGTTCCTTGACGGCAAACATCCCCGACTCGCATATCGCCTTGGGTATACCTATCAGGTGGTGCATCGCCATATCAAGCGCCTACACAAACAGGACGTTCCTTACACTCAGGACGCGTTCTTAAGTCAGCGCACTCCTGATGGGCAGACGATCTGGGTCCAGATTATGGAGTTTATGAATAAATTTAGAGACTTAGTCCAATGGGGTGGTAGTTTGCATCCTACCGCTCGGGACAAAATAGGAGTGTTTAGAACCTATATTCGCTTAAAACTGCGTCCGGCTAACGAGTATATTTAGGAAGATCTTCCTCCGGATAACGAGTACTTTATTACAAACGATAAAGAAGAACCGTTTATAAAAAGTCTAAGTACTACTATAGCCGACCTTTAGAAAATATAGGACTTTTAGTAAAATAGGGAGATAGAGGAATTAGAAAAGTTTTATATTAATGACTATTAAAAGTAACCTAAGGGTAAAGGAGCGGGGGGATAGGGTAAAGAGAGGCCTAAGGGAGTAAGTAAGCTTTTAATAGCGTTAGTAACCGATATATTATATTTATTTCTAAGTATCTTTAAGTACTAACCTTTCCCTTATATTTTATAAATATTATTTATACAGATTAATAGAAGGAAGTATAATACGGACTATTAAAATAGTAGGATTAGGATTAGTTTCTTTTCCTTATTACTTATAGAAGGATAGAAACTACTTTTTGGGACTATGCGATTTGCGGGATTTAGTCCAATAAGGTAGTAATTTATATCCTACCGCTTGGAATAAAATAAGAGTATTTAGAATTTATATTCGTTTACAATTACCTTTAGTTAACGAATATATTTAGAAAAATCTTCTTCTAAATAACGAATATTTTATTATAAATAATAAAGAAGAATTGTTTATAAAGGGTTTAAATATTATTATAGCCGACCTTTAAGAGTATAAGACCTTTAATAAAATAGGGAAATGGAAGAATTAAAAAAATTTTATATTAATAATTATTAAGAGTAACCTAAGGGCAAGGGAGCGGGGGGATAGGGTAAAGAGAGGCCTAGGGGAGTAAGTAAGCTTTCGGTAACGTTAGTAACCGATATACTATATTCATTTTTAGGTACTTTTAGGTATTAACCTTTCCCTTATATTTTATAGATATTATTTATAAGGATTAATGGAAGGAAATATAATACAGACTATTAGGATAGTAGGATTGGGATTAGTTTCTTTTCTTTATTATTTGTGGAAGGATAGAAACTACCTCTTAGGACTATGCGATTTGCGGGCCCCTTTTTCAAGACCTAGCTAGCATAGTCTTGAGTGTCACTTATTTACACCAACACACAGATTTGGAATTACACATGCTTTCTCGCGCGCAAAGTACATGCCTAGTACAGCTAGGTAGGCAGGTACTACATATCAAGTCAACATCGACAAGACCTTACGGAATCTTAGAATCTGGGTTTCAAGCAACGAGTGTATTATTCTACCTAAAGCCAGTATGTTGCTATCTGTGTACACTAGTAGCTGTCCCTTAAGGTAATGACTATGGTAAGAGACTTCCAGAGTCTCGTCTCTGTTGCCTTGGATATAATGAAAAAAAAAACAAGTACCATAACCGGCCGGCCGGCTTGACCGAATCTGCCTCTCGGAGACACAAATAAGGTACCCATCCTCAACCATACGTGTCTGTTGCCTGATAAACCCTAGTTCCCGGCCCTCTATACTCTCTACAAACAATAAGGAAAACAACCCAGTCCCAGCCCTGCTGTCCTGATAGTCCGTATCATGCTTCCTTCCATTGGGCCCTAATATCCATGAATTTAGGGGAAGGGTTGGTACCTGACGGTAGGTAGAGGTAGGTAGGTAACCACAGCAAACCGGTTTGTCAACGCCACCGAAAGCTTTCATCGTCAGGCCTTGAATCGCCTTCTTATTCCAAGTTGTCGAAGTCTCTGATACTAAAATCTTTGAGCCCTTCTTTGGCATTCCCGGATCTTGCAATCTCATCTACTTTCACCATGTCGGCCTTGGCGGCAAACAGACCCATTATGAACGGTAGCACACGATTGTGACTAGAGGTATGTATTGATCCTTCAGGATTAATGAACCAATCCGGTTCATATTCATCGGTACCCGCACGCAAATTCCCCTCCTCGAGAAACCTGGTTTCAAACTCGCTCACGAGGTTGTAATTGCTTTCTTGGCCCCGAAGGGTGGCCATGTGCTCTCTGATCGCTTCGTGGAATTTTTGAATGAATCTCCTGATTAACTCGTAGTGCGTCCCCTCCGTAACATCTTTCAGGTAGTTCTTGTTCAAGAATGCCACCCATTTCAAGGATGGGGGAGATGGAATTCCTTGACAAAAGTTCTCCCGGCGACACAACACCTGATAGGTATAACCAAGGCGATATGCGAATCGGGCTTGGCTGACCAGTTCCTTGGCGTCCGCGGGCGTGATCTTTTTGTTGTGCGGAAAGATCCAAAGTAAGGGCCAACCAGCGTTGTGAACCGCGGCGCTATTGCCGATGACAAGCTCCCTGATGGCGTCGTTCCAGTACACGGAGGAGACCGTCGAGTCGCCATCCCATAGCTCTGGGTAATGCCAGTACTTCAGATGGGTGGGCGTGGGATGTTCAGTAGGGACGTTAACCCGGAATGCAGGAGGGATTGGAGAGGTACTGCGGTCTGCGGCCATTGCTTTGGGTTCTGGGCCGTAAGGCTTCGTGTGCTTAATGGAAGAATAAGGTAGGTATTGTGGCGAAATATGGCAGGAGTCAGGTTCCGAGCACGTTGTAACAGGCGGACGAAGTGCTGTTTAGTGAGTTGTGTCTGATTTTGCATCGATCATTTTCAGGAGAACAAACACGATTATATAACTTATTCCAGAATAAAATGTCCTAAAACTGTCGTTGATTCTATCCATCCATCTTTGTATGCACTCGACCTTCGGTCCTACCTGTAAAGTCAAAGTGAGAAAGACAAAGGTTCCTTCCATACCTTACGCTACCTAAGATATCCAACTACGACGAACCTCCCAATGATTTGCCTTGTTGTTTTCCTCTTCAAGAGTTCAGTTCGCCTTTGGCACAACAGTGACCTTGACAAATTCCCACGTCGTTTCTCCTGTGTTCTCGCTTCCACTGATCTTCCAATGCACCAACCGTCCTCTGTCCAAGGCGTACCGCTCAAACTGGGCACACTCCATAACCGCCTTCCCCTCAACAATGAATTTCTTGGTGAGCAAGTAGTTATCGCCGCATTCCTCCTTTTTCACACAAAAGCGTCCGTCTGAGGTTAAGACAGGCTCTCTGGCCGCCTGACCGAGCCACCCCCCATGTGCAGTCACTGCGTTTTGAAATCCCAGCCAGCCCTCTGACTCCTTGCAGTGCCAGAGACAGTGCCTGTTGCATGTACCGGCAAAAGTCCCGGCTTGGACGGGATCCGAAGTGTAGGGGTAGGAGGATAGGCCCGGAACAGTGGCCAGGATGAGCTCGCCATGGCTAAATGCAAGCGCTTGGCCGGTGGACTTTTCGACGATGAGGTAAGTTGAGCCGGCGGCGGGGGCGGAGTTTCTGGTAAAGTAATATTTGTCGGCGGCGGGCGCGGAGCGTCTGGTGATGGAAATTGAACCGCCGGCTACCATGGCCGAGAGTCTGAGGTTGTATGGGTATGGGACGCTCCTGCGGTGGTTTGCGTCGGACATCTTGCTGGTAGTAGCAACTGAGGGGGTCGAACTAGTGTCCTTTGGCAGTTGGCACTATGAGGTATGCGTAATTGGCTGCCGACCGAGGAGGCAGTGACTACTGAGATGTTGTCCTTGGGATGAAGTTTTTTGTCGTTATTTGATGAAGATCCTGGATTGAATGCTATGGTGTAGCGTTTGGTAAGGAGGAAAGAACGACGAGGAAACTTGGATGGAGCAGCTGGCGTCCAGAGAGACGAGAGAGCAGGTTTAAATAGATTCAAAATTGGAGATTGATCTGGAAAAAATTGGGCGGGGGCAGCAACTTTTTGAGGTCTCGGTCAAGTTGCATCTGCTTTCCTATGCAACTCATGCAGCCAGAGGTGCGCCAGGAAACTGCACCCCCGCCGGAGTCTTCTTTTCTCAAATTTCCAGACATGCTTTTGCATACCATTCCTCTCCCAACAACCAAAACAATCAACAGCATCCGTCATCAGCACGACCGACTCCGAATGTGTTTCTCTTACTCAAAAAGGAAATTTGCTGCAGAGCCAGAATCCGATATTCCCGAGGTTCTACTGCATGTGCCGTCTCCGGGAAAACTGGCAATCATGAATTTCCTTCTAGGGCGCCCTTCATGATTAAGCCAGCATTATGTAGCTGGAAACTCGTTTATGTTGCCAGTTTCCCGAGTTTTACGGTAGCCCTCGTACACATGCGTTGGGTCAAGGTTGGCTTGGCGCACAAGCGGTTGACTCCGGGTCCAGTTAGTGCACTATTTTTTCTACCGCAAGATCTCCCCTATTTGAGTTAACGTAGCATCTTTTTGCTAGCCGACCACCATCCGGACAGCCATTCGACGAAGACACTCCGACTTCATTCCTCGACATATCACAACTGAAATCAACAACCTTACTAACCTCTGCTTAGGATATCTCCCTTGTCTCATCTAGTTGATACGTTCCTTTGGCGCTTCTGGCGCTTAATTCTTTTTCAGCTCTTGAACAAACCAGCTTGACGACGACATGGAGTTTGCCTCCACAAATATAATATTCTTAAATTCCTTATTGGAGAGAAATGTGATAACCCACACATTTTAAGCGTCAAAGTGTATTGTATTGCCTTTGTGTCTAGTTGATGTCGTCGTTGGCCCCGAATCTGATGCGGCTCGTTGCCCCGGGTTACGACCAAGGACATTTTATACTTGACATCACTGAACCGCGGTAGGCAACAAAAACGGGACGCATTACGCGGGTACTATGGGATGGAAATTGAGGTGAGTATCTCTTTCATCGCTTGCTGACTAACCGCTACAAGCTATTGACGTCAACCCCCCAGGCAATTTTTCCGCCCCAGAACGCAAGTTACCCGGAGATATGAGATGGGCTGTCTACGGTACACACGCTATGGTAATGGTCTCACGACAATACCATTATGTACCTGGTGCTCTGAAGATCTTACAGATCTCGAGACATTCTTGGTCTTCCCAAGCTGTTTCCGCTCGAGATCAGTTCGTTCTCTGCGCGAGAAGCACATCCCTCATGAGGCCTACTCGTTCGCCTCTGTTAGAGGTTCCTGAACATACAGCTCATCTTTGGCGCTTGTCAGCCGCTCTCAGCATGCCTCTTCCAGTTGACAATTGCGGAATCAGACCACATAAAGGGAAGATACTGTTGGGCGTGATCCTGTCCATGACCGCCTTTACATCACCAACTATCCGTGTCTATGTCACTTGAACAACTGTGAGCGGAACACGAAGCCAACATCGAACCACCATATATGAAGGCTTTGATTAACCAGTTGAATCAGCAACAAAGACAAGGACAGGTTGGAAGTTACGCGGGATGAAGATGACTGATGGTACCGCCTCGAGACGAAGAAATAGGTCACAAGTCTACTACCTTAGGCTACCCCTACCGGTGCAGCTGACATCGACAACATGCTTTCTGATTGTCATTTTCTATCGCAGGTTGGGCGGGTTGTTGGGAGAGAAATGTTGAGAATTGAGAACCAACAGCGATGGGCAATATATACACCTACCCACATGAGGATTGAGGTTCTTTTCCGCCATTCTGGCAAATGGTATAAGGTTCCAGTCAGCTCCAGTAAGCCTTCCTCCCAACTCACTCCTCATCTTACTTCTAAGCTTTACTACCACTACCACTATCGACGCAAGAGATAATTTTGTTGCTGCTCCCTACCTACATTCATCAAGTCTTAGACTCCCCCAATCGCCCACTTATACCTTCATCGTCCAAGCGCAGCACAGCTCCAGCCATCACCATGTCTTCTCGAGGTGTACAGAAAAGAGGCAAGATCACCACAAAACGCATTTTGAATGCCATCGGGGAAGACTTGACCGCGAGAGGATACAAGCCTGAGGATTTTAAGCGGAAAGAAGAGGACAAGCTGCCAATGCCCATAATTACAACTATACAGGGTCCTTGGAAAATCCTGTATTCGCAAGAACGAGCAATCGGACGATCGGTCATAGTGCAGCTTGAATTCGGGAAAGAAGCTGACCCATGCGAGTATGACTTCGGTATGTACTGGCAAAACGTCGACAACGATTCGGAGCAGGGGGTTCTACGTGCACATTCGGATGAACACCACACTAAGTGGATAGAGGACCCTGACTCTGACGGCGAGACGCATTTGATCTGGTACAGTGGTGGCATTGAAGCGCCGAAACGCGTGGGCAGGTTCAAGCTCATGTTTAAGGTTGTTCCCAAAGGAACAGAACTGGAAAGAAGGGACCTTGAGGCATCCGACTTTGCGCTGAAGGCCTTGGTGGCTGGATACTACCAGGCCGACGGGGAGGAGCAGGACTATGTGGAGGTACTGGATCATGAGGAGTACCCTACGGAGCAGCAACTGCAAAGGACACGTGCTGGAGGCCCGGACCGTAAGTAACTACCTCTATGTTCTACCAATCCCTCCACTACCTACTTTCATTCATATCTGGGGTGTTTACGATGTGAGCGGCTGTCCTAGCTCACCCATTGCCTCTGACCCAACTGTACTACGAAATATGCTAACCTGCCCTCCTGTTTACTTATAGATCCTCGCCTGAGGGGACACTTCAACTGGCTCAGACAGGAGTCCCTTAGTATGGGCCGTGAAGCTGCTGCTGTCTCTGACCCCATTGCTGTCCCTGGCCCTGATGCTGTCTAAGCTGCACAGCAGTGTCACCATTGAGCTCTTAGTCTTTGATCGGAGGATCTTTTTCATGGGGCAAGGGTCCAGAGGATGGTTGCCGTTAGGGCCTTTGCTCCATTGATTTCTTTTATTATTTCTTTTGGATTTTTTCTGGCTTTTTCCCCAGTTCATTTTGATGTCCAGGTGTCAGTCGTTACCGTTGTTGGTGGAAAGCATAATTGGGTTGAGATGCTTGTTTAGCTGCTTGGGTACCTCTACCGGGTGGTGTTTTTAGTCTGTCATTTCCGTCTTTTGGCTTATCTCATCAGTTGGATCGTTTGGGTAGTAGTAGGGTACCGTGGGCGTTGATCGTCATGGCGAATACTGAGAATATTTCCCCCGATGGCTTCTGGCTTCCAATTACCCATTTGAGTTCCGTACGTGCGAGATTATTCTCATGAGCGGGATCTGGGCACTTCACTATTACTCTGCCTGAAGCATGAATGTATCATCTCCAAGAACTGACGCAGATGCTCCTCGGGACTAACTGTGTGAAATTATCAGATACCGATCTATGGTCTGATCCTGTACGAATCGGCTGAACTGGCTGTCTAGTATTTGGTCTGATGTTTCCACTTCACGCACAGCGTCCATGAAAACCATGACCCATTTAGGGCATGCGCTCATCGAACTGTTCGTCACCAGTACGTACACTACCGAAGTTGATCTGGGGTGAGTCAAGGATTCGTCAACCATTTCTCTGAGCACCATAAGATGCCATCAACAAGTGAATGGACAACAGTGAAGATTTTTGGAGGACACTCGGATATAAATTACGTCAAATGACCGACTTCGCCAAGTCAACTTAACCCGAGAAACCCATAAACAGAGGGAACCCGAACCCCAATTTCCTGAGTTTCTACGCTAGCCCTCGTCCAAGGTTGGCTTGGCGCATAGGCAGCTCACTCCGGGCCCAGCTAGTGCACTATTATTACTACTGCAGAATGTACCCCATCTGAGTTAAGGTTGCATCTCGCTTTCTGGCTGACTACCTACCATCCGGACAGCCATTTGACGAGGACACTCGGACTTCATTCCTCAACACACCACAACTATGATCAAAGAACCTTAGTAGCCTCTACTTAGAGCACCTTCCTTATCTTTGTTTAGACGACCTGTTCATCTGGCGCTTAATCCCTTCAGGCTCTTGAACAAAGGCAGCTTGACAAAGACATCATTGCACATCCGATGTTCTGAATACAATGGCTTTGACCACAAAATTGTCGAGTGTACGAGAATAGCTACATATTATCTCTTTGTAATATCATGGGAGTTTTTGAGTGGATGACGAACGTTGATCTTGACTCTCGTGTACAGCAACTGTTCATGGTGGTTGAACAACACACCGATGTTCACTTCACTGTTAGGGAACTCTGTGGGAAATCAACGTATCATCTCTAAGCTATGACGCAGATATTCTTCGGGACTTGCTGTGTAAAGGTATTGGTTACCTCGTCTTGTTTGATCTTGGGAGTCCACTTCACACGTGCACAACGCCCGCGAGAAGCATGATCCATTCAAGGCACCCGTTCGTTGAACTCTACCTCTATTTGGTCTCGAATACCGCAGTCAGGTGAATGAAGGATCTGTAAACCAATTCTCCGAGGATCAATGGACGCGATCAGTGAACGAATGGATAACAGCACAGAAATCCTAGAGGACGTTGAAATATAAATTCCCTTAAATGAACCACATCCCCAAGTCAGTTCTTGGCCAGACAAAAGTCTTTTTAACGGAAGAAACCCAACCAAAATCTAGCACCAACACCACATCGCTTCAGTCAACGAAAATGTGCATAATCCAAAAAGGCCAATACGACTGCTGGCACTACATCACCGTACGCTGTCGGCCCTGCATCCGCGCAAGGAGAAGAATGAGGAGAGCAAGAACAGCGAGCCTAAGAAGAAGAGCGATGTGTCCGGAGAGGCATTGCAGAGAGCTGAACCAAATACTGGACATGCCGGGCATGTGCCCGGTTTGTGTGAGGTACCCTGCTGCTAGGAATTTGTGAGACGGCCAGTCACGACCTACCTACCGTCAGGGTACCACGTAGGCTTGAGGGGGGAAGGAGCGGGCTGGGCGGTGTGAAAGGGGTTACTAGGCTGGTTGGTCATGACGGGAAATATCTGGAAGCTGAGCTCACCTTCCTATCCAAACCAGCAACGAAAGTGGGAAGAACTCGTCGCCAGAATTTACTGCTGGACTGTAGTGCCTTCCATAAGGTAGGTACTTTCCACAATTCTCCATCAAGAAGCCCTTTTTCCCCGTTCCATTCAAATTCGGGCTGTGATCGGCAACGAACCAGTGCGCATGTATGATGGCTCCTGACGGATGGTCCCTGCAACCCCAAAGAAAATTAAATAAGTACCAGAAAATGGAAAATAAAAAGAAAACTACCAAACCCCCATTATTATCACCACCAAGTTGCCAAATGAAGATGAGATCCTCACCGGTTATGTTATTCGCCTTTCAATAGGTAGAGGTAGGTACCTCTGGCCCAATGCGGTTAGCCTGATTTGCACGCTACATAATCGCCTTCCTGCACCGAAAGAACGGGGATTATTGGATGTACACGGGTCACCTTGGGGTTGGACTGTTGAGAACGCCTGCATGACTTAGTGGTTTTTTTATATCCCAAGATAAGTCGGACTCCATAATAGAAATGTGTTAAATAGGCCCCTCCCCTCTCCAACTTACGAGATTCAAGTTTTGTGCTGGTTTCACTCAACTCTCATCAACCCTCTCAAGATACCTACTTCCTTTGATAACTTCAAACCAGAAACACCCCCATTCAAAGCACACCCCATTCATCCGGCGCCCCGCCAACAACAACAACAACAACAACAACAACAACAACAACAACAACAACAACAACAATGACAAGACATATATCACGCCTCAAAGCCAACCTTGAAAAAAAGAGCGACCGCCCATCCCATCCCGGACCCAGTCACCCAGACCATTCAGAAGCACGCCACTCACTACCTACTCACTACCCACACCCAAATCCCTCTACTGAAAACCGAGCCCGGCATCGACTATCGAGTCCAGTCCGAGAGCCAGCCAGTCAGCCCTTGCCCGTCATGGCCACCACCCCAAACTTCGACCACTACCCACTCTCCGCCTCTCACTTACTCAACACCGCTTACTCCTCGCTTCCAGTCCAAGAACAGCGCAGCAAAGCCGCCAGCGTAGGCGACGAAATCAACGGTTTCTTTCTGGCGATTTTGGAGGAGGCGAAGAATGCTACCTCTACCTGGGAAACCAAGATCAACGCGATGGACGCGATGAGGGAGATGATGAAGAGTGTTTTGTTGGCGGATAACGTGATTGGACAAGAAATCAGAAAGTCGAACTATTGTGTGAGTAAAAAAAGGAGTGATGGGTGCACGTGGGATGCAAAGTTGGATGCGGTGTTGGATTGTTGGACGGATGAGGATGAGAACAAGTACTTTGCGGAGGAAGAGAGGAATGGCGGGGTTATGACGGGGAGGTTTAGGGAGTTGAACGGGTTGGCGAAGAGGGCTAAGGTTTTTAAGAGGATGAAGGATATTTTGATGTGTGTGGATAGGGATGTTTATGTTGATTTTTGAGTTTTGGGGAGGGGGATGGATGGATGGGGATGATGAGGACGAGGACGAATAATAAGCTAAGACGAAGAGGAGGACGGATGGAAAGAAGAACGAGGAGTGGAAATGGGCTGGACGAGGTCGTGATGAGGAGCGGGACCTTGGACGCTGGCGTCATGGTAGATACAACAAACACCTGAATACAACGCTTAGATACCCAGTAAAGCATGGGGAAAGTGGTCTCAAGATTGGTAGCCATCAAGCAGCTCAATTGCGTCGAAACAAAGGTCAAAATCTTCGTAACCTCAAAAAACTACCAATACCTTCTCCACCGACTCAACGCCCTAGTAGGAATGACCTCCCCATTCGCATTAACCCCCTGATCCACCACCCCCGTCGTCGCCACAAGCGCCACATACCCAACCTGATCATCCGGCCTCACATCCGCCATCTTGACCCTCATCTTCCTCAGCATCCGCGCTCTCTCGGGCCCACCGATAGCCGACCCGCCCTTGGGCACCGGTACGAACGGATTCTCGCGCGTCAAGCTGGCGCCGTAGTCAAAGATATCCGGCGCCGGCGTGGTCAAGCGCAAGAAGAGGCCGGCGAGCGACAAGATCTGCAAGATGCTTGTGCAGAGAACGAGGATGGTGGCCCAGTGACGGTTGAGTCCGTAGATCTCGCGATGGGTGTACTCGGTGGCGTTGTTGACCATGACTATGGTCGCTCCTTCGTAGTTGTTGGATAGATATGGACCGGAGTAGACGGGCTGGGACATGATGCGGTCGGTGTTTCCGGGGAACTTGGAGTAGTTGGAGTCGGTGGCGGTGAAAGGGTCGAGCGAGGCGTAGTAGTATGTGTTGAACAGGAGGGTGAGGCGCCGGGAGAAGGCTTCGTCTGTGACATTGGTGGGCCAGGGGCTGAGGAAGTTCAGCTTAAAGGGGAACTGGGTGATGCCGCGGAGGTAGTTGTCGATCGTGGACTGATATCTGGGACTTCCGTTGTCGAAAAAGCCGGCGGCAAAGGGGAAGTTTGATAGGAAGTTGTAGACGACTGGGATCTCCAAGGTGAAGGGAGAATGAGCGTCGCCTTTGTCCCATTGGGGTGATTTGGAGCGCCGAATTCGTTGGGCGCCGCAACCGAGGGGCGATGAGCAGAGAATGTCGAGCTCGAGTGGGACGTTTCGGAGGGTGCAGTTATACAACGTGTAGTTAAGGTCTCCCTCGTGGGAACCAAACATGATGTGAAGGTGTCCACCTGACTCTCGCTCTGGGGTTGAGAAGTCCGAAGTCACAAAGAAGCTGGCTCTTTTGTTGTCTGGTGATCTGGGGTCGGTGTAACCGGGGAGCAGTTTGCCGGTTGTGTCGTTCATCTTGTCGACGTAATAGATCGGAGTAGTCCATCTATCCTCAGGTATGTAAGCAAGCGTTTCGTTGACTGAGGCGCCAGTTTGAACTTGTTTGCAGTCGAGATCATTGTAGGTTGCCTCGGCCGTCAAATTATAGGAGGTGGTTGAGTTGAAATTTCCAAGCCCAAGAATCTTGATACCAATCAATGAGGCGTAGTCCATTTCCGTCATGGCAGCTTGATCAACTATTTGCCAGTCGTTATTCGATAGGTCTCTGAGGCGAGGGATCCTGGGTCGCGTCCAAAGGTCTGTCATGGACCGCCTTTGTTCTTCAGCTGCCATGAGACTGGAAGTGAAGAGAGAATTTGCTGCTGTGGATGCCACCTGGAGGCCGCTTGCCGAGGAGAAAGACGACTCCGAGTCTGTTGTGGAGTAGTAGACGAGTGCCTTCGAGTCCGATACTTGTATCGTTTTGAAGATTAGGCGCGACGAGCTTTGGCCGCCAAGGGGGGAGAGAGCCCATGTGAGGAGGATCATGATACCAAGACTGATGTGGGATCGGACGCTGAACAAGCGAAAGAGACTTCCTGCGAAGCTCTGACTTCCAAGAATTTGCTCGAGGGCACCGATGGTGATACCTCGAGATCGGGTGGCACTCCATAGGGCCAGGATTTTGTAAAATCTACTTGCTACAGCCGCGAAAACGATGGGATAGATTGTAGGAGCGAGCTTGGTGGCTTCGACGAGGCTTTCGCCATGTTCATTGTGTTCCGTCGGTTGACCCTCCAGTTGAATAGCGAGAGCAGCAATAACTGTGTAACTTGATGTCAGCAGAGAGACCATCTGCCCCGGAGTCAATGTAAACAATACCAAAGAAGGCCACCGGCGTGAGACTCAAAATAAAATCGCCAATTGTCCCAATCCACCAGATATACCCTTTCGGTGCGATTTTCTGGGGACCCTGAGGCCATTCGGGCGCGACCTCCTCATAGGCCACCGGTGTCGTTGAATTGTCCAATCCCTTCTGAGATACGTCCCCTATCGAAGCTCCTTTATAGCTTGTTGTTTCGGAGACTGGAACAAATTGTAACCTTTCATCATATTCGACTTGGCCCTGCGGCAGATGGTTGAGTTCAAAATAGTTGGCCATGATGTATGCTCATTGTGAACTAAAAGGTGATAGTATGTGTCAACAAGGGATTTCGTCGTGACTCGAAGATTATGTTCCGAGAGAGAGGGACACCGTGAGTAAACAAAGGCTGAATATTCGATACTGGCTGCCTATGCCGCCGACGGATCGCTACTATACATGGTATAGCACACAGGGGGCAAGGACAAGGGCCTCCCCGGAGCTGCACCGGGAACCGGATTAGGCCCCGGAGTTGACTCCTGTGGCACGTCGGAGAAGACATCTGATTGGAAGGGCCATGTTGAGCGTTGAACATGTATCAGAAAAGAGCTGGCGACAATCTTGTGACTTAAGAATAGCATATCGCGTGCTGACGAATGGGCTCGGCCGCTGCGTAACCTGCCGTGTCCAGGCCCAGCTAACCGTCGTGGCGTCTGTCTCAGGATCCGAATAGCGGGAGAGGAGCTGGCTAGCTCGCCTAATCGTAGGGATCGTTCCATTTGTTTCGCATTAAACGAGGGTCAACGGCTGATCTGCTGCTGTCCATTGCTGCCTGCGCCTGGATGGAATACTCCAATCAGTATGCGACCGTCTGTGATTCGGTTCGACACAAGAGGTATTGGCCAGAGACAGAAGGGCAAAAGGTGGTCATGGTCATTGTGTGATGTTCATTTAAAGTTTTATTTGTGCAAAGAGAGACGAGCCAACAAAGTTCACAACTTTATGCAAAGCTCATAATGTGGGGCAGTCAGCTTGCACAAGGCTGTGGAGCTTGTGATTGGCCTAGCCTGGTTTCTTCGGCGCTTCGGTAGCTTAAGTGGGTCCTAGGCCCCAAGCTCCTTCAGGCAATCCGCTTTCTGACGTAGGTACCCCCGTACCTACTCGCACCGCGGCCTGTACGAGTGCACAGCTTGCACACTGGAGCTTCTCTCCAATAACCAAACACCAACAAACCCACGACACCGAACCGACGACAGCAACCGGCAATTGCTCGTGGTCGACATCCGCACACACATACACAGCCATGACCATGACGGCAGCAACAACACAAAGGGCCCTTGCGCCCCTCGCGCGACACCAGCAAAGACTCCTCACATCGACCACGTCGTCCTCCACCTCGGCGCGATCCCTCTCTGCGCTCTCGTCCACCCGTCGTCCCCGAGCTCTGCTCCCCGCTTCCACAACATCACCAAGCTCAGCAGCAAGCTTCCACACCACCCCTAACAATGCCATCCCCTCGGGCGGCTTCGGCGGCGCCGGCGGCATCCCCACCTACTTCCAGAAGCCCTCGCTACCGGCCAACACCATCATCCGCTTCGTGCCGCAGCAGACAGCCTGGATCGTCGAACGCATGGGCAAATTCAATAGGATCCTGCAGCCCGGTCTGGCCATCCTGATCCCCTTCATCGACCGCATCGCCTACGTCAAGTCGCTCAAGGAAGTTGCTCATGAGATCCCCAGCCAGAGCGCCATCACGGCCGACAACGTCACGCTTGAGCTTGATGGTGTTTTGTACACGAGGGTGTTTGATGCTTATAAGGCGAGGTACGTTTTTCTTTCTTTCCATTCTTTCTTTCTCTTCCTCCTTCCCCTCTTTCCTTTTCCCCTTTCCCCCTCTCCCCATGTCCCAACCAAAACTAACCTTCTTTCCCAACAGCTACGGCGTCGAAGACGCCGAATACGCCATCTCCCAACTCGCGCAAACAACCATGCGCTCCGAGATCGGCCGACTCACCCTCGACCACGTCCTGAAAGAGCGCACAGCCCTCAACACCAACATCACAGCCGCCATCAACGAAGCCGCCCAAGCCTGGGGCGTGACCTGTCTACGTTACGAGATCCGGGACATCCACGCGCCCAAGCCCGTGGTGGAAGCCATGCACCGACAGGTCACCGCCGAACGCTCCAAGCGGGCCGAGATCTTGGAGTCTGAGGGACAGCGCCAGAGCGCCATCAACATCGCCGAGGGTAAAAAGCAGAGCGTTATCTTGGCCTCGGAAGCGATGAAGGCCGAGCAGATTAACCGCGCCAGCGGTGAGGCGGAGGCAATTAGACTCAAGGCGGTGGCTACCGCGGGAGGCATTGAAGCGGTGGCGAGGGCGATTGCGGAGGGTGAGGGAGCGGCGCAGAATGCGATTAGTTTGCGCGTGGCGGAGAAGTATGTGGATGCGTTCGGCAAGCTGGCGAAGGAGGGCACGGCGGTGGTGGTGCCGGGGAATGTGGGCGATATTGGGGGGATGATTGCTACTGCTTTGAGCGTGTATGGGAAGGTGGGTGATACGCAGGCCAAGGCGATGGCGAAGCAGTTGCTGGAGAAGCAGCAGGGCGAGCAACACGAGGCAGAGAAGCAGAAGGCTTTGCCCGCAGGTGTCGCCAAGCAGGAGTCGCCGGTGGATGATATTGTGAAGGGGTTCGATCAGGCTACTGAGCAGCGCTAGACGGGCTGCGAGAATGAGAACGAGAAGATAAAGAAGGATGTCCAGAAGAAGGAAGAGGAAATTCAGTGGCCAAAGCATGAGCCGGATATTTATTGGTTGGGCTGATATGAGTCGAATCGAGTTGAGAGGCAGAGGCAAAAAAGAATGGAAGCGAAGAGAGAGTTTCTATTCGGTTGAAGCCTGGTTGTAGTTTTGTTATTACTCACCCCTCCTCTTCCCTTTCCCGTGTGCTGGTTAAAAAAGAGGTTGGAAGAAGAAGAAGAAGAAGAAGAAGAACACAAAACATAACATTTGTACGTATTAGAAGAAGAGGGCGCAATATGAACCATAGCATGCATGGCGTTTAGTAATGGACGAATATGTTGATCACATCACACTGCGGCCTGGCCTACCTACCTACCTACCTATTTACCTACCTTACCTAGAAGGCTGGCTGCTGTGAACATATCTCCAGGTACAGAAAGGGCAGTTAGTCTAATAGTTTGGTTACCTTAGTTACCCTAGGTACGTACCTAAGTGGAAGCGAATTTGATTTTGATGAAGCTCCCTAGAGGTACGTACTTAGGTACCCAGGTAACATTCTCCGAGACAGCGAGAGAAATCGACGACGGCCTGGTGGGCTAAATCAAGTATTTCGACGGACGGTCTCCAACCTTTTCCGGCAAGGCCCTCTTCCCTCTCTGCCTGAGTCCATGACAGGAGCAAACTTCATAAAAACGCTTAGACTAAACCGCTGTCATACGAAGCATGTGAAAGAAACGCCCCACCAACCGCCATCAGGCTCAGTGCAGTCGATTAGAGGTACCTTAGGATTGGCGCAGGATTGTACCTAGTCTTCATTCATCTTCCAAATGCACAAGAATGATAGTAGTAGTAGAAGAAGAAGAAGAAGAAGACGAGAAAGAGTTGTTTGTCTACGTACTTTAGGTTTGTAGTTGAAGTCCGCGAGACAATGGGAACCTTTCTGTAGCATGCTCTGTCTGTGTATGTAGAAGAAGCTGACGGACGGACGGGCTACTGTTTGGAAAAGGGTTTTAGGGGATGGAGACCGTCGCTGGAAATTATCCTATCCGCTCAAGACCCGTCGGATTATCGGACGGTTGTTCTCCTTCTCCTTTTCTGCTTTCACAAAATAAGATTCCTTGCTCCGATCCCCCCATCTCTGCTTCTTTTCCTCCGGCTGTTTTTTCCACAACTCAAAATCCTTCCTCTCCGCCTGTCCGAGTTCCATCACCTCCCCGCCCCAAAGCACCAACTCCTCCTCTTCCTCTGTCCCTTCTGCTGCCATACTCATCATCCCCAACAGCTTCTTCACCTTGTTCGGAATTTTCACTAGCGAACTGAGCTTACCCGACCGATCATCCCTCCGATCCTTGACCACCATATTATACTTGAAGCTCGAACACATGACCAGTTGGTCCAGTATGGCCTGTGCCAGAGCCTTGACCACCATCTCCTGCGACTCCGGCGTTGGATCTGGCAAGTACTCGGCGGGTGTCCAGATGAATTCTTTGTCCTGCTGCCCGGGTTTCTTGAAGACATGTCTGACGTTAAACGGATTGTCTATCTCCACCCATCTGCAAAGAGCCCGTTCCCACAGGTCCATGGTGTATCTTCCGCGGCGCTGGCGGTAGACAGCATCGTTAATCATCTTGTCTACCCAGTTCCTTCTTGTAGGTATATGCTTTCGGCCAACCATTTCATGTCGCGTTCGTGCGCGATGTAGCGATCTTTGTATAGGTTGCCGTTCCAGAATACGTCCGTTTTGTCCAGTTTGAGGCCTAGGGCTTGGGCAGCTGAGGCTGTGGTTTTGTTGGTGAGTTTGGTGGGAAGCTTGATGAGACGCTTGGTGAAGGGGGTGGTGAAGGGGGTGGTGATGCTGGTAGCAAGCGGGTCGAGAGGGTCATGGGGGTTGGGGGCGCGTATAAGCAACCTTTTGCGGTGGCTGTTATGGTATTGGTAGAGGGAGCAGATGAGGAGGGACTGAATGCGGGTTTGGGCGAAGAGGGTGGCGGCTTCGGACGGGGAGAATTGGTTCTTTTTGCTCCTGCTGGGTTTCTTGGGGGTTGCCGCTGGGGGGGTTGTTGGGGCGGTGGGCGAAGCTGTTGACGTCGGGGTGGTAGTAGTAGGAGCAGCAGTAGCAGCAGCCGTAATAGGAGCAGCAACAGGCTGATTTTGGGAGTTGTGTTCCGCAGAAGGGTTTTCGGAGACTATCGCCGTGACCTTTTTTGGCCTTCCTCTCTTCTTGGGGAGCTTAGAATCCGCCGCCGGCGTTCCTGTTATCTCCTTCTTGGGCCTTCCCCTCTTCTTTTCAGGTCGCTTGGCAATTGCCTCTGCCAGGGCTTCTGTTGCATCCTTCCACGGTATTTCCCTCATCTTGGGCCCCGCTGGAGACTCGGGCTCATTCCAATCCTTGGGGATTGATATGTCTTCCCAGTTGAGGTTCCCAGAAAAAGCTGCTACCATAAACAGTTCCATCTCCCTCTTCGGGCAAATTGTATGCTGTCTGCTCGAGGTGGAGAAGTACATACGATCACTGGGTCGCTTCCGGATCTGATTTCGTCCAGTTGGATGTATGGCCGTTGGTGGGAAAGTGTCGCGCGCAACGCCGCCGTCGTGTGAAGCGCGGGTGGTTTGAGCTGGGGTTCTTGGAGCCGCCTCTTCCTTGTTGCTGTTATTGTTTTCTTCCGGAGGGGCTACCGCTTTCCGAGGCCTACCGCACTTCTTTGGAGCTTCTTCCTCGGTAGGGGTTACCACCTTTCGTGGCCTACCTCGCTTCTTTGGCGCTGTGGTTTCTGGCTCGGCGGAGGGTTCTGTCGCCGGGGTCTCGGATTCCACCTTCCTTGGCCTTCCTCTCTTCTTGGGCGCTGGAGAAGCTGGTGTTGGCTCTTCCTGAAGTTGTACCTCCACTGGTTCCGGCTCTGATTCCTTTTCCTGAAGAGATGCTGGTGTTTCTTCCGGGCTTGCTTCGGGTTCCTTTGCCGGTTCTGCGAGTAGTGCTGGAGACTCGGTGTTCTTCACATTCCCTACTGTCTGGACGTTGGTCTTCTTGGGTTGGCGGGTCGCTTTCAATGCCTGCGAACCCCTTGGACGTCGCTCCTCAGGCGCGTTGTCTTCGTTCTTCACTTTCCCAGATTCCTGTTCAACCGCTGCGGCCGTGGCAGCAGCCGGCTCTTCAGACTTCGCCTCTTCCAGTGGCCGCGCTTCCTGCTCCATCTGCAGTCTTTTCCTCTCAGCCCTTTCCCTCTTCTTCCTCTCCTGAGTCCTAGCCCACCACTTCCGTATCGCCTCCCTCCTCTTTGCTATCCTCCTCAACCGCCTCGCCTCCCTCCTCTCCGCCTTTACCGCCCTCCTCCCCTCCCTCTTCCTCTGAACTTTTTCCTTCTTTTTCCTCCTCTTCTTCTCCTTCTCCGCCAGCGCCCTCTCCTCTAGCACCAACTTCCACAACGCCTTGCCCCTGGCAATCATCTCGTCCCACTCCCGCTTCTGATTAAGCTCGATGTCTGCCATAGCCAGCTTGACAGCGTGCGCATACGACCCATAGCTCGCCCGCGCCCGCTTGGCCGACTGCTTGCTCTGCGTCCATCGCTGCCGGCCCGCACCGTCTGTAGTATAGTACCCTGGCTCTTCCCACGGCTGCGGCTCGCCCTGCAGCATCTCCTCCACCATGTCGTCCCACGCATCCTCCTGCTCCGCGTCAGCCAGCTCTTCGCTGACGAGCTCGTGGTACTTTTCGGCCCGTCGCTGGCGTCGCTGGAATTTTTGTCGGAGCACGCGACCGAGGTATTCGGATTGCGGCTTGCGCAGGCGCAGGAACGGGTGGCCGCCGAGTTCGTCGAGGGTAGGTAACTTGCGCACGCCGCCGGATAGCTTCTCCAGCGGGAGCGGACGCACGGTCGGGACAAAGGTCGGCGGGCCCTTGCCGTCCGGGCTCGGGATCTTGGTCAGCAGAGGGACGGCGTCGGGGTTCGGCGCAAATTTCTTGAATTTCTCTGCCTCCTGGCGCTTCTTTTCGCGTATGGCGAGAACGCGCTCATTGTTTTCGCGCAGAAATCGGAGGACGTCGGCGTGGGCGGGGGAGGACTCGTCGCGCGCGAGGGTGAGCAGCTCCAGGAAGCGGTAGCCTTTGTTGAGGGCCGAATTGACCAGGCGCAAGCTGGTCTCGGAGCTGTTGCGGCGGAAGCCATTGCGGATGAGGGCGCGAATGGGGTTTTGCTTTTCGTCTAGAGCGGTAGCGACATGATGGGGGAGAGGGACACGGTAGCCGGCGCGGAGAAGAGCTCTGAAGAGAGCTTTGCCTGTTTGGTGGACGAGCTTCTGTCAGAACCAGTTGAAGCAATAATGTGCTAGAAAATGTAGGCCTTACAGGCAAAGCGATGCCGCGAATCGCAGCCGGGCTTAATGAAAGCAGGCATTCATCTGTCGAGCCGTAGGGTTCAGGGCCCTTGTATGGTTGTAGTGTTGAAGTTTTGATCTTCGGGTTGAAGTTTAGAGGTATACGAAGTGGAGACATGGGACCAGTGACATAATTGTTTTATCTGATCTTTAACACAAACGCGCTGTCACGTGCGTCCATTAATACCGGTCGGTGACATAACAAACATCAATTCGCAGATTGTTTTTAACCTTGGAACGCTCTCGATGAGTGATTCACGCAGTTGTCGGGACGAGTCACCTTTGTGGTAAATACGCCATAACTTTGGTTTGCATACGAACTGTCCAATGCTTCCCTAGCTCCCATAACAAAACCCCAAACACCAGAACATGATATGAATGTATTAAGAGACTGTTGCTTCTATCGATAATGACCGTGCGGTAGATGTTTACTTGTACATGGGGTACTTGGAGCCCTCGGGAGGCTGCGGGAGCTTCTTGTGCTCTTCCATATACCTGCAATGCCGCATTGTTAGCGCCTTTCTGGTTTCCTTTGTGCATATGTATATAACCGCACTTTCTAATGGCAATGAGGGCAGCCTCGAGGCTCAAGGGGTCCTCTTTCGGGCGGGGGTTTCTCGAAAGCTCGGCCGAGATGCGAGTCCAGTCGCGCAGGATGGCGACGTAGTTGGGATCGACGCGGCCGTCGGTTTGGCTGACACCGGGAAGGTTGATCTGGCTAACAAAGTGGATAACGGGAGGCTCTTTGGGGTAGTTGGGGCCGCACTCCATCTTGAGTTCGTAGATGCGGTTCTCGTGGTTGCCCTATGCGAAACCAAGGTTAGTCGAACGACGGCGACGACGACGACAATGACGGGGAGTAATCGTACGTGAGGGGGACCCCAGATGGTACCGGTCCAGTGGGTCATGAGAATATCCTCGGGGTCTTCGAGACCGTAGGAGCAGGCACCTGTACATCGGATGAAGCAATCATCAGCATCATCAGCAATCATAGCGCATCGCAGACGAAGGAAGTGGAAAACGCACCTGCGCCCATTCCCTTCTCGCCCTTCTCGAGCTCGGCGAGGAGCTTAAAGTTGCGGGGCACCTGAGCAACCGCCATTGTTTCTTACGCGTCTGTCTGGCGATGGTTGAAAAGAGAAAGATGTGTAGGTAACTGAGGGAGAATGGAAGTGGGTTTGGTGACAAGCTCAAAGAACACAATGAAAGTGGAAGGCCAGGCAGAGTGATGCAAGGCGTGGATTCCAGGCGCGGCCGTGGGGCCTGTCAATGTGCTGCATCTGTCGCTGTCAGGCCCCAGCAGGACGGCATGTGCGGGGACCAAACGCTACATGGTGGGGTGTATAGTCGGGCGGTGAGCCATTCTGCCAGGTGTGTCTTAATTACAATTACCTAATGGCAGGAGCTTCCCCCGAGCTCCCTGGTCCGTGCCTTCCGTCTTTCAGCGGGCCGTGGACAGTGAACACGGAGCTTCAGTGACGGCGACCACTGAAGCCGTCCCGTCCCGGCGTATCAACGGCGCATCCCGTCCTGTCTTTATTTCAACAACACTTTAACGTCTTCATAATCGTTCAACATCCGGATGTCCAATATCTAACAAATCACTTGGCCGTTGTTTATTTCGAATTTAATGACCCCCCTTCTTTCTACTAAAGCTTCATCTTCAAAACCATCAAGGTCACAAGGTCCAATTGCTAGGGCGTTTGCTGGTCACCACTCACCACTATCATCACCAACGATTGGAATCAACATCATCGGATCACATTCAGCTTCCATCGACCTTTGACCATCCTACGACGACGCGCCTTCATTTCGACATCAACGACACTTTACGCCCCTGACATCTTCCGTTCACTGATCCAGTATCTCAGGACTCTGATGCTGGCAACCCGACTTTAGGTTTCGGAATGCCATCATGACCGCCCAATTAGTGGCATCCGAGCTTGCCAACCTCATCCAGGAAAGCAAGCGCAAAAACAATGACTTGCGCCAGGTCAGTATCTCTGCTCCTCCCCTTCATAAAGAGCATTTGTTAACCAAGATGGACAGGCCGCTGAAAAGTCTCTGGAGGAGCTCAAGAGTCTAAAAGTGACATCTGAAGCCCAAATATCTGCTGGTGTGTGCTTGTTGTTCTTGTTTCCCTCCTCTCACTGGGCTCCAACTTACACTCCCTTAGAACTCTCCCAACAGTCAAACTTTGTCAACCCATTTATCATCGCCTGCGGCACAAAAAATGTCAAATTCACCGGCATTGCTATCGTTTGTCTTCAGCGGCTCATTGCATCACGCGCTCTGCCCAGGTTCAAGCTGAGCCAAGTTCTCGAAGCACTGCAACAGGCCACGTCAGCTGGACTAGATGTTCAACTAAAAATCCTCCAAGCTCTTCCCTCTTTACTCTCCAACTACGCCGCTGAGGTTAAAGGCGAGCTTCTGGTTACCGCCCTCAACATATGCTTCATCTTGCAGTCTAGTAAAAATGCTATTGTCAACAATGCTTCGGCGGCAACCCTCCAGCAGCTTGTGGTATCCGTCTTTGACAAAGTGGTAGCTGAAGATGGTGAGTGGCTCATCCTACGTTAACAAAAAATCATGATTCTAACCGCTATACGCAGGCGCTGGGGGCCATGTTGAACATGTTGGGGAGGCTCCCACCCAAGACGGGCCAGTACCAGTCCAGGCTGCGGCCATGGATGCATACAGGGTATTTACTTGACCCCTTTTCCTGCACGGGCCATCACGTACTGATCAAATAGGTCTTCAACGATATCTGCCTTCTGACAGAGAATCAACGCCCCGAGTACCTCCGGTTTTCTGGCATGCCTCAGACGTTCGGTCTGGAACTCATAGAATCAGTCTTGACCAACCATGCTGCCATCTTCACCACTCACCCAGAGCAGGCCGACATCTTGCGCACTCGGGTTATGCCCTTCATCATTAGTGCGCTTCGCGGTAAACCGAACTTTGCAACCAGTGTCCGTCTCGTCCGAATTCTCTTCACTTTACTCCGACGTCATCTCACTGTTCTCCCTTCGGAGAGTGGAGATGCCCTTGACATCCTTACCCAACTGTTGGACCAGGACACTGCACTGTGGAAGCGGTCTCTCTGCATGGAAGTTTTCAGAGGCATCTTCGCCGACCATGCCCTGCTCCGCCGTATTTTCATGCTTTACGATGCCAAAGAGGGCGAGAAGAACATTCTCAAAAACCTGACGGCCACGTTTGTGCGCGTCAGCACCGAGAAGCCGACAGTGATAGGTCTCGGCCTTCAATCCACATTACCAGTTGCCAACCCATATGCGAACGCTGTGGCTTCTACAGACCAAGCCATGCTGGAGGCCAGTGGTGTCACAGGCATTATATCCGGTTCAGTCAGCTCAGATGGCCATAACACGGGCATCAGCACTCACTGGAGCACCATGCGCTCTCCCTGCATAGACCAGCTTGATAAGACGGACCCCCCAAGCATTCCAGAGTCATATCTGTATAGCCTAACCTTGGCCTGCATCACTTCCTTGTCAGAAGGTCTGGCAAAGTTCATCCTTCCTCTTACCGTGCCTAGTGAGGGGCGGAGGAAGAAGAGTGCAAAGCCAGAGGGCGGGCGAGACTCGCCTGCTCTAACCGCCGATGAAAGACCCAGTACGCCCAGCGAAGGCTCCAAAATCCGGGAAAGGTCAACCTCGTTCAAGAGGAACCCACTTCCAGTTAATCCGCTAACCCTGGAGACTCACCCTTTGTACCCAGAGATCAAGGTCTGCGCCGCTTTCATCGATGAATGTTGGCCGGCAATTCTTGCCACATGTTCTACCTTCCTATACTCTGCACTCGACTCGGAGTATTATCATGGCCTGGTTAGGGCCTTTCAAAAGTTTGCTCATGTGGCCGGATTGCTTCAGCTCACCACTCCGCGTGATGCCTTTCTTACCACGCTTGGTAAAGCAGCAGTGCCACCAAATGTCTTCACAGCTTGCCTCAATTCCACGTCGTCCAGGAGGGACACTCCAGCATCGGCAACGTCGGAGACGGGCAGCGGTTTGTTTAGCAACGCCCGCGGTTTGCTTACTACCGAGAGCGCCTCGGCCCAGGCAGCAGAAAAGCAAAGGCAGCATTCAATGGACATAACTCCCGCTACACTCAACACCCGGAACTTGCTGTGTCTTCGGGCTCTTCTGAACCTTGGCATTGCTCTGGGCCCTACTTTGTCTTCTACTTGGAGGATTCTCCTAGAGACCTTGCAACAAGCAGACTTTGTCTTGTTTACCTCGGGCAAAGCTGCAGGAAGAACACCGCTGGCGGCTAAGGGGCCAGATCAACAAGCCGAGCAGGAAGCCAGCGTACTTCTGTCGAATTTCAACACCGAAATTCGAGCAGTAGAGACTGCTGCTTCCCGGCTTTTTGAGAGCACGGTTGACTTTCCCAATCCTGCTTTCGTGGAAATTGTAGAGGCAGTGTGTGCTCTTCTCGTCAAGCATGTCGAGGCTCCCCCTGAGTCCACGGGGCAAGCGCAACCATCACCTCCCCCGGGCCCCCTTCGTACCCCGACTTTTACACACAAAAGGGTTCTCAGTATCACAACTTCTCCGGGTGCAGGTGCCAATCAGGAAGATCAGTTCGCTCTTGCCAAGCTGGGAGATCTCGCTTCCATCAACATGGAGCGATTGCTCTCGTATGCTCCGGAAGCATCCGGGTGGACGCCGTTGATAACTGAGTTGATCAACACACTTAGTTCATCCACTAATACTTCTCCAGTCAGAGCGCGCGCCGCTGAAACGCTTGTGCGTATTCTTCTGGAGGCTGCCGGATCTGTTGCAACTCAGCAAGAAGACATCCGTGGTCCCATTCAGATTCGTATTCTCGAAGCATTCCACAACTCGCTATCATCCCTTCAAACAGAAGGTCGGGAGGTGTCCCTTATTAGCAACCACGCTACCGACATGGATATTCACCGTATCGTACTCGAAGGCCTCAAAGGCTTGCTAGAGAACTGCGGCGAGAGTCTTGTTCAAGGATGGGACACCATATTCGCCATTATCGATACGATTTTCGTTAAAGAGGATCTTCCATCGGATGCTCCATCCACCACAACACCCCGACTCATGACGCGCTCTGTCAAACTAATCAGGCCCTCCTTTGCTTCTTTGCAGCTAATATGCTCCGACTTCTTACCCTCGCTACCCAACCTTTGCTTTCTCAATCTCGTTGACACCCTCTACAAGTTTTGTACTCAGGATGATGACCTGAATGTCGCATTAACTGTAAGTTACCTCCCCCACCCAAGATGTGACACAGCTAACATCAGTCAGACCGTCACTTTTTTCTGGGCCATCTCGGACTTTCTTTCTAGCAAAAGCAAGACTATGTCTCTCACGCAGGACATGGTCAATGATTCGGGTGATGACGCGCTTCTCAAGCTGGCTGCTGATCCCTCGCATCACGATTCTGGTGGGGCGCTGTGGATGCTCCTTCTCCTGAGACTCACTTCAGTTGCCACAGATCAGAGACTAGAGCTGAGAAACAGTACGTTTTATGAGGTTCCTGCTGTTATGAGACTTGCTAACAGTCTTCCCAGGTGCCGTCCAAACTCTGCTCCGGATCATCTCCGCCTATGGAGATAGCCTGCGTCCCGAGGCCTGGTTGATCTGCATCAGATCCGTGATTCTAAGGCTTCTCGCGTCGATAGAGGACGAGCTTCGGGCAGTTCATACGTCTCCAGCTAAAGCGAACGACAAAGAGGGCTGGACAGACACTGCCAACGTTGTCATCCGGGGCGTTTCTGGACTGTTCGCTTCATACCTCCAAGTACTTCTGGGTCATGAGGACTTCGCTACTACCTGGCAGCAGCTTCTCGGACACTTTGCCAGAATGTTGGACGTCCAGATCCTCGATATCAATGCCTCCGTCTACAGCGCTGTTCGGGAAATTTTAAGGAGCTGTGCTGAACACGTTCAGCCAAGACTCGGCAAGGTCAGCTTGGACTTGACATGGGATCTCTGGTCCAGAGGAATCCCAGTTCCTGAAGATGGAAAGGACGACAAGTCATCGGACAACCAGAAGTGTCTTTTGGTTTGGGTTGAAGCACTGCTGGAACTCTACGGACTCATCAAAGACGATTTTGGCGTGGAAAGGATCCGACGGATGCTTACCCTGCTTAGGGACGCCATGCAACACGCCACTCCCGGAGCATACGCCAGCGACACCGAATATGTCACTCCTTTGCAAGGTCGGATTCTCCAGGTTTTCTGCACAGTGCAGACAGACGTACCGGGTGTCCCATCTGCTATGATCACCCAAATAGCCGAGTTTGTCTCGCTAGCTTTTGCTCAGGATAACCCGGACAAGGCGGCATCAGAAAAACGCACATTCGTTGCCATGTCAAAGGAGAGCATGTCCATCTTGCAATCCCTCGTCATAAAGCACGCAGCTGAGACCGACATATATGAAACTGGAGCGTTCGCCACGGCGCTCGCAGCTCTAGCCAAGCCCATCATCCTCAAGTACAAGTTCAGGATCGTTACCAAGTCATCGCAGCCATGGAGAGAAGCGACCAAGACAGTCCTAGCAGTGCTCGAAGCAACGCTCCCCCACATCCGAGCGATAGATAAGGCTCGATCGACCGTCCAGGAGATATGGCAGATCATCGTATCCATCGCCAACGGGATCATCAGCGCTGACTGCACCATCGCGCCCACCGGCACGGACATCATGGACGACCAGAAGTTCGACATTTCCTCATTCCACAAGCTGAGAGAGCTCATCATCCCAGCTCTCGGCGCTGAGGTGATCCTTGATAAGACCAGGAAAGCCTACGCCGAGGGTCTCTTCCGGACATCCATCATCCACGCTCTCGCGCCCGCCGAAGCTCTAATCATCTACGGCTCTGAGGACCACGACCGTGACAACACCAACGCCAACGGAAACGGAAACGGCAACGGAAACGACACAGTAGTAGACCTCGACCTCCTCTACAAGCAACGACGCGGCCGCACCATCGACCCCCCGCCAACCCAGCGCAGCGCCATGGCAGAAGTTTGTCTCGACGAACTTTTCGCTCTGGTCGCCATCCACGAGGAAGAAGACGAATCTCCCTCCACTCCCTCCAAACCGTCTTCTTCCTCCCCTGACCATAATACCAATACCACAACAACCTCTCCTCCCGAAAGGTCAAACGAATCAACTCACCCCCTCCACGTCCACCTCGCCCTAACCGCCGCGCCCTATCTGATCCTCCGCTGCGCCCTCTCCATCCGTTCCTACGTCGCCGACCAGCCTCTTCGCGGGAGAATGCCGCAACCTTTATCTCAGCGGAAAGAACTCTACCGGATTTTGAGAGGATTAGTGGACTTGAGATCGGAGCCGGACGCGATTCCGGATACGCCGAATGTGGATAGCGAGACCAAGAAACATTTGTTGAGGTTGTACCCGTTGCTGGTGAGCATGGTTAAGGTGGCGGGGACGAGTGGGGATGATAGGGTTTTGGCGATGGTGGGGGAAGCGTTGGAGGTGGTTGGTGGGGAGTTGGGGTGTAAGTAGTGGAAGCAGTGGAAGTTGAGGGGGGGGTTGTGAGGTTGTGAGGTTGTGAGGTTGTAAGTTGTGTGGTGTAGGGGGGAAGGGGAAGGGGTAAATGGAAGGTGCAATAGAGGGAGAGAGAAGATGGGGAGGAGATGGGTGAGGGAAAAGGGGTTGGATGGATGGATGGGGACAGTTACGGATTCGAGGGATGGAGTGCTAATGGACGTTGAATGGGATTTTCCAGCCCATCACAACGAAAAGGTGTTGGTAATGAGTAGAGACGTTGTAGATGGTTTTACGTGCAAGTAGTAGAGCGAGATGGTTTAATCAAGTTACGTTAGTCTTTTTAAGTCCCTCTCCCACAAACTTCAGCATGAGTTCGACTCACGGTGTTCGAAGCAGACATGGAGGTCTTTTGCATTATCTACCTAATCTATCTATCTATCTATCTATCTATCTATCTATCAGCCTTCCTTTGCTCGATGATGGTGATGATGATCATGATCATATCATGGTGACGGCCTAGGGGTAGTTAGTGACAGACAGAGACAGACCCAAGGTATTAAGCCACAAGACTGACTGGACTTGGACTTGGACTTGGGATCTCTCTTTCTCCTGTTGATTAGGTATGTACTCGGACGTACGTTAGCATGGACGATTAGTGGCAATAACTGAAACAAGACAACGATGCGAAGATCTTGCAAAGTATGATCACTTGCTTGGAAACGACCAGCTCAGATCAGATATCCGTTACTGTTAGACCCGGACCCGTGCAACGAACATGAATAATGGAAGCCTTTCATGTTCTAATTCTTTCGATGACATGCACTGCTTACACGGGTACCCGTTCATGTGCAAGTTGTTGGTCCACGATGGCCTCCCTTCAGGCGAACTTCACTTCACTTCACTTCATTTCACTTTCACCTTGACTTCACTTCTTCCACGATACAGTAGGTATCTATCTATTTGATTCGCTAGCTACCTAGTGATGACTGCTGATAGTCATTCGCGATCATTCACAACTATGATCATCCCTCCGCTTGCTCAAATCGAGCTTTACTTCGCGTTTCTTCCTTGTGATACTTTCATCTCCCTCCTCTTTATCATCTTACATAACCCATCATTCAGGCAAAGAGAATTTCTTCGCTTCGCTACAAGAGGATCTCAGACGGAACACCAATCCAGCGCTCCATCCTTCCCAAATCCCCTTAAACATTCCCCCATATTCCATATCAGTATCAAAAGGCTATCCAATACCCTCGATTTCTTCCGACCCCCGGTTATGTCCGCAACTGAGGTATGGTCCTTGCCACATCTGCCCAACTTGGTGCGGTAGGCAATGAAGGGATCTTTCTCCCAGTGGCTGTACGACTGTAACCACTTCCTACGGAAGGTGCAGTACTCGTGGAAGGAGCGAAACTGGCAACACTAGAATCGTCTCGTATGTCGGGTTCTTCGTTGTTGTCTTCCCGAGAAGCAACGCTTTCCGCTCGTTTGATCTCCTCTTCATAACCCAACCCAAGACCGACACTCTCGATTTGAATAGCAGTTGCAGAATCGCTATCGACAAGTTCGGGTACCATCTCGTCAGACTCCTTGGCTATTCGGTCGGAAGACAGACTGTTGACATTGGGAGTGTTTTCGACGGTCGTTGGCATGCTGAGGTCGGAATAGCGCGATTTGCCAAAGCTAAGGGTTGAACTCGTCATACTGTTTTGGGTGCTATCGGCTGAAGAGGTGTTGCGATTGTACCGTGGCGTGCTAGGCGTGCTGGACCTAATGGGTGTGGCAGGGTTGACGGCTCGAGGTAAGCGGGAAGCTGAGGTGCTGGAACGCAACGGATAGTTGGCGGGGGCAACCTCAAGCGTTGGACTTCTCTTGGGCCCAACAGCTGGGATTGGCGAGTTGAGCAGGTTAACTGGACGAATAATGGAATCTCTTCGTATCGAATCTCGACGAGTCGCAGTCTGCGGTACCGGAATACTACTAGTACCGGTTGAGACGGCTTGAGAGTAGCTTGGACGAGCAGTGAGATCGGCGATTGGGGTGGGCATCCTGACGAGAGTTTGTACGACTGGGGCTGACGACGAAGTTGCTGGCAGGGGATGCGTCGGTGGCCTTGATGGCATCTTCAAACCGCTCGGGGCAGGAATCGCTTTTGTCGATACGGGTGCAGGAGTGGTGGTTCGGCGCGAGGCGATTGGAACTCCGTGCCTTTTACCAGTTTGGAGTTCCATCAACCGAGCCTCAAGCCTCTTTCTCTCCTCAGCTTCGTTTTCCAATCTCTTATCCAGCTGCTCACATATCTGTTTGAACCTCTCAGCAACATGGTTTGTCTCATTCCTGATCCGAGCCTCGTATGTGGCATCCTTTGCTTCGAGTTCTGCTAGCCTCTTGGTGATCGTTTCGTGCTCGGCTAGTAGTCGCTTGCGGTCTTCAGTGACATGTTTGAGCCGCGAATCAAGCTTCTCAGTCAAGAATCGGCTGCTCTTCTTGCAGCATGACGCATGATAAACCTGCTCGATACCGCCTAGCTCAACCAGCTCGAGGTCGGCTTCGTCCGCCGCGGGTCGCTCCGATGGTGTGGTGGACGACATTCTCCTGATCAGGTTGACTGTGTGCTTCGGACCCACTGTAGGCGCTCTGAAGTCCTTGTATTCCTGGGTTGCCAGCGCATACCTTTCCAGATTGCCCAAGAATTGGTCGAGTAGTGCATCTCTCCCCTGTTCTGGTAGCTTGCCGGCAACATGATCAAACTCGGCTATCTTGGCGCCATACACAACCGTTGAGATGTTCAGCAACACCATACCGAGAGAGTAGACATCAGCAGCCCGCATCGACCACTCATCACTGACGCGGCTGACCTCGGGAGCTCTCCACTTCGGGGTTCCCTGTTGCCCGAGAGTAAGAGTGTTTTCCCGGTCATGGACGTCTCTTGCTATGCCGAAGTCCGCCAGGTAGACTCTTCCAGGGCTTAAAAGGATATTGCCGGGCTTGAGGTCCAGATGGCGCACGTCGGACTTGTGTAGATAAGCCAGTGCGCGGGTGAGGCATCCCATCATCTGGCGCATGTACCTGAACAAGCAGCGATTTCCGTACGAAGGGGAAACATGCTTGCCGGGGAGGTAAGGGTATTCGAGGGCGCCCAGGTCAGTCAGATCTAGCGTGGCCAGGCGAGAGAGAATTTCATCGCGATCGTCTTGGCCGGTTTGGAGAAGGTGCAGGTCGTTAAACAGGTCATCCAGGTTGCACACGGCGACAGGCCACAGCAAGAGGTACAGCTCAGGTACATTGCGGTAGCAGTAGGAACCAATGAGTTTGACAATGTGTTCATGCTCGAGCTTTTCCATCACCTTGGCCTCCTGCCGTAGGGTTTCTAGTCGAATATGCCGTCGCTGGGGAATATACTTGCGCGCCAAGCGTATCGAGCGGTTCTTGTAAGTGATGTAGACTTTATCGACGACGCCATAGCTACCGCGGCCCAACTGGTTATTGGGGTTATTCTTGAACTGGTCGTGTATCCGTTTCGCTTTTTCGAGGTGCTCGGGGGTGGTATCTGTGTGTTTTCCGCTGTAAACAACTCGGAGTCAGCCAAGTTTCGGGATAAGGAAAGGTGAAAGATCCGAGGAAGAAAGTAGGGAGGACTGTAACGCACATTCCGGACCAGTGACCTGGTGATGACTCCCAGACCTTGATGATCTCCCTCTCGTGAGCCTCGAGTTCCTGGTGTGACAGTCGTTCGACTCGTCCTGAATGGGTGGTGGGCAAGACTTTGTGCCATTCGTTTCGTGACTCAGACCGCGACATGGCGGCGACTGGAGGGCGACCAGGGATCGCCAACGAAGACGGCAAGCGAACGGAGAAATTCGAGGGCGGAGCTCAGCAGTTTGTTGGCTGGGCTAGGAGTCACGACGCTGGGGTCCTGGGAAGAGGACTAGGGGTATGAGAAAAAGAGATATTCGAAGGGATATATTGGATGACAGAAGGTTGTGAAACAAGACAAAAGAAGACGAAAAAAAAAACCACACGATATCCAAACCAAACGACCCAAAACGAGAGACTAAAACTTTTGGAGAGGGTCCCGTCGAGTGGAAGATGGCAACCGGCAGGTGGGATGAACCAAAATGCAAAGCGCAAGTGGATGCAGAACGGCTCCAACTTCCCCAGTTGGGCATTGCACTTGCTGGGGATTTTGCAGGAGCGCATCCACTGCAGGCACCCGCCAAATCGGCAGTGTCAGTTAGTGTTGAAGTCTTTTTCCTCTTCAAGATCGGCTTTGAGGTACTTGTGCTCTAACAGGGCGCCCTCCATGGAATCAGCAAATGCCATTGGCCAGCAATGGAACCTCGACTCCGACCTCAGAGCGGCTGAGCTAGCACTCTGCAGTGGTGAGCGTGGCGCTGTTGAACGATCGCTGTTATGTAATGAACAAGCCATGATGTCCTGCAGACATAAGGTACCTGATTTGCGATGTTGGGACTTTCAATGTTCGAGGCTATTGCTGAAATCAGAGAAGATGGTAAATCTGTTGCCCGGCGTATACAAGTGAAAAGCGTCGTTAAAAAGGCATGTTGATTGTTTAAGAGAAGGTCCCCGTCCGATCTCTGTCTTGAATTTTGATGGACTCCAATTACGGTGGGGCCCAACAGGGCTGAGCTGGGCGCTGCGGTCACTCCCGAACTCCACTGCGTGACGAACTCCAGAAGTGGAATCGGCCCGGGGCGGGGACGGGGACGGGACGAACTTTAAACTCCGCCGTGAGCACGGGTCCGTCTCCGTCTCCGTCTTTCACCCGATCAAGACCGGAAGCTTAAATCAACATCCGGTGCGCTTGCTGTTTGTTTTTGACCAGGTTCGCGCCGCCCAGATCCCGGCTTTATTAATGATTTGGTCAGCGTTCCTGCTGACTATCTGACAAATTCGCATCCCGCCCCTTCAATCGATCCTGTGTATGGTCTTCACCAAACCGATAACTCAGGTACGTTGTGCAAATTTGAAAGCATCGATTTCATCAAGATGATGTTTGTCCAGTTCCCCGCAATTTTGATAATTGGTAAGGTTGCTTCGTCGTTAAAGACTCCAACGGTCAGTTTAAGGTTAAGGTTAAAGTACTCGGTACTCAATCTTGAGGCTTAATGGCCTGCTGAGATTGAGTACCCAGTACTTGGCACGGTTCACATTCCAATGATCAGTAATCGGAAAACAGCCGGACTTGAGCGGTTAAACCCCACATCGTCGGTTCTCAACCGCCCTGCATCTTATCAGATCCACCAACTTTCACATGCATCGTCAACCTTCGACTTGACGTCTTCAGATGTTCAACACAGCTCACTCGATTTGTAAATACACCAAGACACTTTTTCAACACTAGATTCGATTCGTCTGATTACGTACACATTGTGGTTGTTTGTCATCCCGCCGAACCGTCTAATCTCAACCTGCGACAGCCGCAGCAAACATCAGCTCCAACACCAACCCCAGGTCTTGGCGTTTCTTCCCCTTCAGCTCGACCGTCGGACTTCAAAGCATCTTTGTCATCTTTCACCGTTTGTCCGATATCAACCCCAGTCTCCCGCTTCTCTCCTCCATCCCTTTTTGAACCCAACAATCATCGACTGTGACTTTCATGATGCGATATCCTGAAGGTGACCTAGCAATCCTCGGCGTCGAGACCTATCCCAACCCCCTCGTCCAGACACCGGCTCGATCCCGATCGACTCGTCAGTCAAACTCTACTGTTGCAAGCCAACGACCTGAAGAGGGGGGTCCGCGGAAACGTCCAAGACTACAAGGGGCCGATGGCGGGACGCGCGAAAAAGATGAAACTAAACGGGCCCGCGGACGTCCACGGTTGGACGTCAGTGATGAGACTGCTGCTGACGTGAGTCGACATCACAATTGTAGTGTGAAGCGGTGATGCTGATGGTCCTGTAGCGTCGACGAACTCAGATACGTCTAGCACAACGTGCATATCGGAACCGCAAAGAGACCGCAATACAAACATTGGAGAAACAAGTCCAAAATCTACAAAAGGTCAACAGGGAAATGAGCAATGCTTTTATGAAATTCCATGACTTCGCTGTGGCCAGCGGTTTACTGGACAGTTCTTCCGAGTTAGGCAGACAACTCCTCGCTACCAAGGAAAGGTTCATCACTATCACACCAGCCGGCGGTGACGTCATTGACGCAAATGACGACCATGAAGGACGGCGACGAGGAAGTACGAGTACAACTGACTCCATTGGAAGTGATCGCAGGCGAAAGGGAACTATACAACCAGAGAGTCAAAGAAATTCCCCGGAGTATACGATAGAACCATCGGCCCCCGAGTCACCCCCACAGCTTTACCCAGGTCTCACCATCACTCACGAGCCAATCTCGCAAAGCTACCTGACAACTCACCCGGATACAGACTTGAGTCTTTCCATACCAACCAGCAACCAGGCAGCTGAATTCCATCCAACCACCACCGCCCCATCTCTCCCCAAGACCTTCGACTTTGCCACAATAGACTTCAACCTCGACTTCCTCACCCAACCCCAACCACAACCCCAACCACAACCTCCGATCCCCTCCCCCTTTTCCTCCCTCCCCGCCCCATCCTCCTACGCCTCGCACGAAATCACCTTCGGCCGCCGCTACCAGCGCTTCGCCGTCGAGCGCGCCCACATGCTCGTCACCATGCCCAACCCGCCTATCGACAAGCTCAGCAAAGCCTTCGGCTTCTGCCTCCTCTTCGAGTCACCCGACATGATCTTCCAGCGCACGCTCAAAGCCATTGCCAGGAGCGCCGGCGAAAGCCTCTACAACTGGCAGTACCCGTTCTACCACCTCGGCGGGGCCGGGACGCACAACTTACAACAAATTGCTGGACCCGGAGGACCCCTCCTGAATAGCACCCTCACCTTGGAAGCGGGCATGAGGATGCACTTGAACTTTGTGCAGGTCGGTAACCAAGGGACAATCGACATTCTGAAACCACATGCCGAGTTGACGGCGGGCTTCGGCATGGGACCGTTCCCGCCTGCTGTCAATAATGCGAGGGATAACTTTCTGGATAGGGACATGAAGATGTGTCTCCCCGGTTTTGGTGGGACGTATTACGATTGCGACGAGGTGGAGTTTTACTTCCACCAGAGAGGGGTGGTGATCCCACCCGGAGCGGATTCGTATACCGTGGAGATTTACCCGGCACAATTTGGGGTTGGTGCTGGTGCTGGTGGAGGAGGAGGAGGACCAGGGTCAGGGTCAGGGTCGTTGGAGGAGGAACTGGACTTGGCTTGTCTTGACTCGATTGTTAGTCAGAACTGCGCTCCTCCAGCACCTGCTGCTGCATATGTGGTGGGATCACCGCCTTCTTCGATGGACTGTTACAGTTCGAACTCAATTATTAGCGTTGATGATCTCCCGCTTTCCGGTTACCAACAACAACCACCCTCTACGACGACGACAAATAAACCACTCACACCCAGCGGCTGCTCCATGTCCAGCTCCCTCTCACCCCCCTCAACAACCGCCTGCGAGGATTGGGCTGCTTGGTTTTTGGGTGCCGCCCCAGCGCCTAACGATAGCAGCTTCGACTTTTCCGAATCTTCCTTGCCGGACAATAATAACATATACATGTCCCCCAAGAGTTCGGATTCAGCACGCTCGGCTACGGGTTCCTCCTCCGATCAACCACCACCAGTTCCATCTACTACCACTACTACTACAAGCTATTCATCGCCACCAGTACCACCACCAAGACAGCGGCCACCACAGCAAATGTGGAATCAGCGCATGTTGGTGACGATAGACGTCAATCAGCTGGTGAACGAGCTTACCGAACGTGCCATTTGTCTTGGGAGGACGCCGGGCATTAGGGTGGAGGAGATCAATGCTGCTTTTTGGAAGAGTGTTTCGATGTCTGTGACGTTGTAGGTAAGGTACCTAGGGAATCGGTTATGGTGTTTTTTCTTTTTCTTTCTTTTTTGGATTTTGGTTTTGGGTTTAGCTGGGTTGCCTGGAGTTATGGATTGTATTAGTTTTAGGGTTTTGGGGTGAGTGTCGTCGGCTTTTGATGTACGTTTATGTGTATGATTAGGGCGTGATGAAATGAATATCTGTATTGGACATCGTACCCACACATAACGTGTAATTGTAATTGTTTGGGATAATCTAAGACGCAGTGCCATGTTACCGGGGAACTGAGAACAGGAAGAAAATCATGGTGAAAGAGCAAAAGAGGAGGAGGAGGGGTGGCATGAAGAATGGAAAGATTAAAGGAAGGAAGGAAGGAACAAACGAGGGACAACTGGCAAGGACCACAAACTACCACCGGTAGGGCATTGAAAGGGACATCTTTTTCTCACCAACACAGACAAAATGTTTCTTGTACTTATGCGGTCACATAGGAATATCCTTGATAATTAACAACCACTGGACAGCAGCAAGTGGAACAAAAAAAAAATCAGGAGTGATCCCCTTCCCACCTGGCGATATCCGACCAACCAAGAAAAAAAGAAAGAACCAAACAACAGTTTGTGGACGAACCGTGGATTGAACACGGGACCTTCTGTAAGAGCAGCACTCGAAAACGGCATTGCAAAACAGATATTCTACCACTGAACTATCCGCCCAAGTTGGAAGGTTTGTGTTGGACCATCAGCGTATAAGGGGGGAGTGGAAAATGGGGTGGGCCCACTTTGGGCTGCGCTGGGTACCTTAGCCTTGAAGGGAAGGAACAAAGGTATCGTGGTCCAACAACTGGAACGAGAATAAGGTAGGAAAGTGCATGACATTGGAAGAGTTGGAAGGTCTTATTCATGTTGATTGCATTGGTAGCTGAGGTGGCCCCATTAATATCACCAATTACTTACACCAACTACCTTAGGTACACCAGTCACCACCACAATCTCCCGATCCTTTGTCCTCCCCATTGATCCCGCCCCCAATACTACAATCCCGATCCTACAAATATCTCCGCACCAGGTGCAAGCCAAGGGAACCTTTTGGCCGCGTACAAAATCCACCCATCAACTTCATCAAACCTGCAGCGGAGAAACTTGTAAACACCATCGGAAAGGTAATCTTAAGGGCACGGATTCAACAACGACGATCAAGGATTTGACAGACCATGGGGGTGGATCACTACCAGTTTTCGCCTCACTCTCCACTCGTTACTGGGCTCCCTTAACCGGAGCTTTAATCACCAACCTCGACCACTCTCCCACCGACATTTCTCAAACCCTGAAGTTGAAGTTCATCAGGCTCCTCACCACGACTTTCCCGTTGCCACTGTCCAACTACCCCCTCATTACCACCAATTTTCACCTTCCGTTGACAATGCAATGACCGCAGCGACTGCCCTCGCACCGTTCTCACCAAAGGCAACCCCAACCCCCCAAGTAACCAACTCAAGTCAGACTTGAGCACCGGCATATTTATCATCGTATATAAGCTCTGGTGACTTAGCAACGCCGCAAGGATCTGCAAGTTGCGAGGCCGGAGGCGAGACGGGAGGTATGATGAGGGTTTCGAGTTACGTGGTGCTGTGAGGGATGTTAGTTTCTATTTTTTTTCGGATGACATGTAGGGAACGAATGAAAGGAAAGGCTCCTCACCTTTATGGATACTCCGTTTGACAACCTCTGTCCTACTTTCTCCCCGCTCAACATTTCCACTCTCCCCACTTTGATGTTCATGTTGTAGGGCATCCAATCTGATAGTCAACTCCTCCACTTGTACTGGTGGTCGGGTGTCAAGTTCCACACTTGACCGTTGCTTCTCGACACGAGCGGAAAAGTTATGATGGGACGGTTCGTATGGATGTTCATCGCCAGCTGCGGCAAAGAGGAGGAGGGTCAAGAGGGTGAGGAGGAGGGCGAGAGTTGTTTCTCCGGAGAGGAATGGTTGCATTTTTGCTTGCGGTATCGATGATCAGTATAGTCCTGGGTTGAAAAAAGTTGGTTTTGGATATATCGTGTGTTGTGGTGTTGGTGCTGTCACCTGGGTACCTAGTTGGTAGCTTCCTGGTGCCGCCTACCTAGACTAGGTGCTGGTGATGGATATGGTGATGTACCAGACAGCGAGGGAGGCAGTGATGAAGGAAGAAATGGATTTGGTTGTGAAGTTCGGAGTAGGTCGTAGAGGGTCGATGGTGGTTTGTGTTAGGATAACGAGGGGTAGATAAGGTAGGTGAGGCAAAGTATGTTGTAGCTGGTAACACCGGAAGGTTGAGTGGAGGGGGCGGAGGTACGAATGCTGGCTGACTGGGTATAGATAGAATCGCCGAATATCAAAACCTTTCCCGAAGCACGGTACAACTTTGTGGTTGAAATGGTAGATATCACCAGATGTTAAGCAAAAGACTTTTGAAGAAGGAAGAAAATCGTTCACACAAAAGCAAGGCATCGCGCGACCTTTTATTCCCTTCTGCAGTTCCTATCTCTCCCCTCTCCCCGCGCCTCATCCTCTCATGCCCGCCATGCAACCGAGTGCATATGATAAAGATTAAAAAAACCCGGATCGGTGGTGCGGGACATGCAATCTGCATCCGGACCCGGAATTTCGGCCTTCGATAAACATGTCGTGCGACAAGAGAGGGCGGGGGTCCGGACTGCGCTCGGTTACCGGTCGGTCGAACTGGAATGCAGGAAAGCGCTGCGTTGAGGCCTAACGGTCTTCGAGATGTTTATGTTATGCATACATGTACGTATGTATGTATGTGCATGCGATAAGTAACAACCAAGAGGCTGGGTGCTGCCAATCGCAACCGTTCCTGGTTCCTGGCGAACCTTTGTTTTGGTTGTTTTGGAACCCTCCCTTTGGTTGTCTCATGTCAACAAACTTCGCCCATTCCAGTCACTTGCATTGCCGAGCACCCTGTACTATGTAGGACCTTCCACTTCCATCACCCCGCCGCGATGATAAACCGTTTGCGGCGACCAAATGGTTTTAAATCCCGATAACTTTTGTTTACCTCCGAGACCCCTCTTCCAAACTCCAATCAAGCTCGCATGCGCATGCGTAAACCTATGGCGTAGTGTACCTCAAAACGCACAGAACGCCTGTCGCCTGCTCTATCTCACAGCTCGCATCCCCAGCCACCTGCCTACCCTGTCTACCCTATCGTTTCACTCTTCTTCCGAGCACCGACCGGAAATAACTACCGATCAGCCACAGCAGTTACATGCACCGCCGCTTCCAGATAACACCAATTCTCCAGCAAGCACGTCGCCCCCGGGCTGAGCTTGAACACACCACGTGGGCCAATGGCGAACTCATCTTCGCCATCGTTCACCGTCACCCTCAGCTTGCCGCTGACGAGGGTGCATATTCGGGTCCGGGACCGGTCGATGGGAAGCTGGTGGGTGCGACCCGAGGTGATGGTGAGGACTGTCAGGGTGGTTGATTTACATATCTGGATGGTCTGGTTGGCTGAGAGGTAAGAGGAGGAGTAGGCGAGGTCTAGAAAGTTGTTATTAGTGAGTGTCCAAGAAGATTCATGGAAGAGATGTGTAAAAGACTTACTCTCTGATGGCTGGCGCCGCTTGGGGAGAACCCCTCTTGAACCTCTTTCCCAATCCTCGGTTACGAGATCCTCTCTAGACACCAACAGAGACCGAGCAGAAGCAGCGGTGGCCTGAATTGAGGTCGATACGGCGGTTTGTTCCCTCGTCCGGAGACGTTTGCTGGCCCGGCGATACTCGACGTCTTCTTCTTCCTCTTCTGCGGCATCCAAGCTAGCCGAGGCGTAAATCGGCGATGGATCCTTGAAAGTGATTACTTTCCGAGGAGGTGGTACTCCGTCCATATCTGCCTCGCTCTCTTCCGCAGCAGGAATACTGGGCAATCTTTGCGATCGACGGATGACCGTGGCACCAAGTTGCTCGTCGTACTCATAAGCTTCCTCCTCGTCCTCCTCATCCGCTTCGTCTCCAGCATCGTCCCCCGCCTCGTCGCCTGCTTCGTCGCCTGCTTCATCTCCATCGCCGCCACCACTAAGTGCAACCACACCTGTCGCACGCTCTTCGGTTTTGTTCAGTTTCTTGATACTGCACGCATTGTACGTATTGTCGTACAGACAGTTGGCACAAGTGTTGCGATAGCTGGAAGAGACCAATCTGGTCAGTTTAACGCTAACCTTGGGCAGTATGGTGACACAGCCCTTGAAAGGCCCTGCGCGGCGCCGACATGCGGTGCATGGATTAGGGCTTTCACGTCCAGTAAGTTGCACAACTACCGAGGTGAGTTGCTTAAGTGTTAGTGTGTGGGTTACTGGAATAGGGTGCTTTAACTTGAGATCTCGCCGACGGGGTAAAGCGAGGAGGACTTCCAGTTCCATTTCCTCAATATCGGGGAAGTTGCCACCAATCTGGGAGGTGATATATCGCCGCAGTCCTTCGGGGTCTCCGTCTTCCTCTTCTGCTTCTGGTTCTGGTGGTGATACTGATATTTCGTTGAAAGTCCGCTTTCGGCGTACCCCGCCTCGCACTTTGGTTTTTTTATCGCCATCGTCAGGCTCTTGCGCCTCTTTCAAAGGTGACTCGTCATATCCCATTGGGCCCCTAGACACAACCCGAGGACCACTCTCGCTGCGACCTTCAACGATCGTAAAGGTACCGTCTTGGTTGTCGTTTACGCAAACGTCGGGATGCCACATAGTCCAGTGAGTGCTATAAGCTGATTGCCCTCTGAGGAGGAGTCTGCACGACCTGATGGGGCATATCCAGGGCCGAAGGGGAAACGCTTGAAGTTCAAGTTGGTAGCCTTCAGGATTCAATCCTCGGGTCACCTGAAACCGATTATTCTCCGGATTCAACCAATGGGTATAAGGCCGGCCATCGGTGGTCTTGTCGAACCCAACATCAGAAGAGATAACGCGGGCATTTCCAGCAGAGTTTTGAAGAGCTGGGGAGCTGGCACGTTCTGTGTTACGCCTTTCTTGCAAGTCTCTACTGTCCTTGATGACCGTCTCCGCGATCGAGCTACCCGTTGAGGAACTTTTCCCTCTGCGATGCTCTCGTAACTTTCGGTTGATATAGTTCTGGGACATTTGGGGTTCCGCTAATGGTTCAGTAGAGGTATCCATTGGTCCACGCGATATTACGGCCGGTGGATTATTGTGATAGTCGATCCGAAGTTGCTCAAGTGGGAGACTGGCAGGGCGCTTGACAACGGTAAAGGTCCCGTCCAGATTGTCATTGAACCGGCAACCGTAGTATCTCATTTTGAAGTGATTGGCAAGGTGAGACCTCGCGCTGTATAGGTACCGGCATGATCTGACTGGGCATATCCACTGGTGGGTGGGATGCTCCGTATAAAGGGTCCATTTGTCCGGCAATAAGGCGCCGCATAAATCTTTCCACACCCCGGACTGGTCTGTAAACGGTTAGCCAGGTTGGATAGGAAGAGTAAATGTGGAAAGAACTGACCAGGCCACATGTTGTATGGACGTCCGGATTTTGCGGTCACCAAAATCTTCTCGGTAGGCCCCTCGCTGGAAGGAACAAGAGCACCCTTGACTTCATCCTGGGGGTTAAGTTCGTCGTTACTTATAGCTGAGACTTGGATGGTTCCACTTCTATCGATTTGCGACCGTCGACGAAGCTCGCGCTTGGGGGCTTCCTGTACGGGCTTAGTTTTGTTGGGGGTATGGTGCGTATAGGGTTTAGGTTCAACCATCGGTGATTCCGCAAGGTTTATGTACTTTTTGGATATAATAATATAAGACTTGGTAGTACCGCCGAATTTTCTGCTATCGCTAGGGGTAGGGTCGGTATATCTCCCAAGGTCGGTCAAGGTGCCGTCCAGATTATCGTTTAATCGATAAGTACGGTGAAGCACACCAAAATGTCTGCCCAGGCCCGGAAGGCCCGGTAAGAGGGCTCGACAAGTTCTGACTAGACAAATCCAAGGGAGGTCGGGATAATCGGACTATTCATAACCGGGAGGCAAGAGTACACCGCAGGTCGGTAGTAGCTTACCTATGTCTTTGTCCTTCCAGACTTTGTAGGCGCTAGTATCAAGGGCTTCGGTGCTAGGATCGATTGTTGGCGGCTTTGGTGGTGCTTGGGTCTTGGAGCGGGTCGCCCGAGTCGCGCCCAAGGCGTCCATGGCGAGTTGGGCCTTTATTAGGTCCGAGTCCTGAATATCGCCCATGGAGAGGATGTCCGAATCAGGCTCCTGTTTTGGTTGAGTTTTCGATTTTTGGTGGCTGCTCTGAGTCGAGGTTGAGGCAGAGGTTGAGGCAGATGTTGAGGTTGGCCGGGGTGGGTTGTAGTTTGCTCCTGCTGGAATTTTGGAGAGAGGCGTGCGGGATGAGGTTGAGGTTGAGGTTGAGGCGTTCAGGTTGTCTCCATCGCGATGTTTTCCCGAGTGTCCAGACTTTGCATGACCAGCTCCAGCATGCCCACTTTTAGCCGTCACAACGGATCCTGACCTGAGTGACTTGGCGGGGACATGGGTTGAGGAAGAGGATATTTTTGGGCCAGAGTTTGCGGAAAAGGGAGAAGGGCCACTATGTCCGGTTCTCTTCATCTTGAACACAGGTTTGGGTTTGGGTGGTGAGTGAAGGGTTGAGGCTGAGGAACCTGATGACGTCGCGGTGTTGGGATGAGATGCGGTGTTGGGATGAGATGCAATCAACCTCCCACTTGCCGTTGCCGTCTCATGTTCCCGTGTTTTCCGCGGCGAGCGCTGCCGCTGCCCGATATTGTCGTCGTCGCCATGAGAGCCTGTTGAGATTGTGATGTTCTCTTTACTGCTTCTCGTATTTGCTGAGGGTGAATGGTGGTTGCTGTTCACATTTGACCGACGCGCAGGAGGAGAGGCGGAAGTCGGCAAAAATGGCATGGCAAGAAGAAAGCCAGAGGAGAAATGGACATAAGATGGAAGCAGAAATAAAGTGGATGAAATGTCCCCGGTTGTCTGGTTCAACGAAGTTGACGCGACGCACGAAGTCGATTTGACGTTGGTCGCTGCAAGAGTCCACGTCCACTTTGCAGAATGTTAGTGAAATGCAGAGGCTGCCGCCGACGCGCTAACAGACCTGCCAAACGATCTGGACGCAGGGCATGCAGTTAGTGAAGTGCAGTGTGGAGTCGTAAAGTTAAGCACGAACGATATGTGGAGCAGGTGGTCGGTGCTTAGACGGGACGGGTTGGAGGCAGCCTCCACTCCTCCAGCGTGGCAGCCACCTCAGTCCTCCCAACGACAAAGCTTATATTGACTTCATTTCTCGTCTTCATAGCCTCGTTGGGCTTTTTCCTAGACTTTCCTTTCTTTTTTTTCTTCATCTCTTTCATGGTTATAAATCTGTTGTTTTTACCTTGGTCTTTTTTTCCTGTCATTATTAGCTTCTTGCCTTCTTTCTTGTTGACCTCTCCAGCCCTGGCATATCACCCCCTCCTAAATCAGACACCGTCCTCCACTTGATATCACACATAGCGGACATCCACTACCCAAAACATTGTCAAGGAGATGGCATATCAAGCTTCTCAACAACATGGCCCGCTACAACTGGTGCGCGCCCCAAATCGTCCCGATTTCACTGGCAAGAAGTCCATCTTCTTAGCCGGAACCACATCCAAGACGGGAGATGAGCCAGACTGGCGGGACAACTTGGCCAGACAACTCTCGCGTCTTCCCATCACAGTCATCAACCCGGTCCCACCCAACTGGACTGATTGGCCAGAAGACATATCATTCAAGCCCTTCCGCGAGCAAGTCGAATGGGAACTGGACATGCAGGAAAGGGCAGACATAGTCCTAATATACTATGGACCCAACACACTTGCACCTATCAGTCTGCTGGAGCTTGGTCTCTGCGCGCGCACCAGCAAGGCCATTGTGTGCTGTCACAAGGATTACAAGAAGAGAGGCAACGTCCAGATCGTCGCCAAGAGATACGGCATCTCGTTTTTGGAGAATGAGAAGGACATGGCGGCTGCCGTGATCAGGAAGCTCGGTTCTTTGGATAACTAGGCGTTGTCGGTAGTTTGGGCATTCGGCTTGTTGGGCGCAGTTGGGCTGTGGGTGGTGTGTGGTAGTTCGGCATATTCGGGGGATGCTGGCGCTTGGGCAGTGTACTTGGGCTGTAGATCCTATGAAGAACGTCTCTTGAGCTTCTGAAAGAGTGAAAGACTGAAATTAAGCAACTCCGAATCTGGACCCTGAAGTTAATACATGCAAGTTCACTCCAAATCTGAAATGTGAAAGTGGAGGAAACGGGACGACCCGGTCGCAGATCCCCGCATTGGGAACCCCCTGCAGTGGTCATCGATTTCGGTAGCTGGGTAGTCCCAAACTGGTCCCTGGGTAGTCCCCCCCACTTTTTAACGCTGAGTAAGCCCAGCCGCCCAGCCGCCGTGCCAGCACATTGCTGCCCAACCGCCACCATCGTCGCGTGCCCTCTTATTAACGATAGTTAGTCTTATATAATTGAATAAAGCTATCACGAGACTTTACCTTAATATTAAGTAACCGTTTACAGCGATTATCTATTATCCTTATTATTATTTTATATAGTATCCTCGACCTTATAGTATTTATTAATATATTTCGCCCGCTTGCCGTACGTTCCGTATTCGCTTATATAAATTAGACTTCTAACTTAGCCCAACCTAATCGACTAAAATAATTAGCGCTAATAGAATTTAATTAGAATCCTTAATTAAAATGCCCTTAAGTCTAAAAAATCTGTTTCGAATAATTACTCCCGATAGGAATACGACCCCTCTTACCGAAATCTAATTACTATTAATCCGCCGCTACCCTCGTAAAGAATTAAAAATATAATTACTATCCCCTAGCGAGCGTACTACCTAATTAGCGAGGCTACGGACACTATTTATAATTTTTAATTATAGTAATATAGTCGCTACGTTCGACGTACTATAAAATTACGCCGTATAATAAGGCTTTATAATTATATTATATAATTAAATAAAAAATAGGAAGAAGGGAAAGGAGGGGGTTATTAAATATATTAATTATTTTTATATATATAGCCGCGTTTATATATTGACTAGATAAGGCATTCGAAATATTAGTTCGAAGCGGCTCGATTACCTATACTAAGTAAAAATCGTATTGAAGAAAAGGTAGGGCAATTAGTAGTTTACTAAAGAAATTAAGAATTAATACAATTATAACTTCAATATCGCCAACTTTACCAGTAACGTTATTTATTATTAATAGATTCGTTATAACTATAAAGAGGCTATTAATATTACCGTCGAAAGGTTATTTAATATTGCTAGAATAAATTTTTATTAAATTATTTATTACTTAAACGGTACTCTAAATCCCAAAGTAGAAGTAAAAAACATTATTTTTATTTAACGTACTAACGGTAATAACCTAATATTAAAGCTTTGTAGTTTTCGAGTCCCTATTATTACCTAAAAGGTTTTAAATATTTAAAAGTGTATTCGCTATATAAAATATAGTCCTTATTCTTCGACGAAAATACTTATTGACTTTCTAAAGTAATATAAGAGCGTATATAGTTTTAAGTACTTTATTGATTATAATCTATTCTTTTCAAACGATTAGAAAATATTGTGAGTATTCTAAATTTTCGATTAGTATATTAAAATATAGAAGAAAAACCCCTATATATTAATAGTAAATAATATATATAAAGTAAATATTACCTTTATTTTTATTATTCCTCTTATTAATTTTGATTATTCATATTTAGGGGTTTCTAGTACCTATATTTAAGGTCTTTTATTAATAATAATTAACCCTTTTTTTTCCTTATAAATTAACCGCTTTAATCTCCCCTTATTTAATATTACTAATATTAATACACTAGATTATAATTTTAATGTCGGCTTTAATCTTTCGAATGGAGAGAGATAAAAGAATTTCTAATAATAATTCAATTATTTGAAAAAACTCTAAGAGGATTACAATATTCCTAACCCCGTAATATTTATTACCGATTTTGATAAAAGGTTTAAGAAGGCTAGTATTACCGCTTACTTAAAAGTACTATATTAACTCTACATATAGTATATTATAAAGAATATAAACTACTATATTAAAAAGAAATAGGTTCAGCCGCCTCCTAGTAATAGGAGTAATAATAGTAATAATCCTACCCCTAATACTAACTTCTTAAATTTCCCTCTAATAGTCCAAAATTTAAATAGTAATAGTCCTAATCCCCTATCGTATAGAGGCCCCGCGGCGGCGGTTAATAGTAAAGTTAATAACGAGGTTATTAATAACGAGTATATTAATAATAACCTAGAAGAAGATAACCTAAATGAGGTTAATGATATTGCCGCCGCTAACCGCTTTACTTAATAACCTAATAATAGGTAAAGAATTTGTAAAACAGTTGAAAAGCTAATAATTAATACTGTTACTCTACGCAACCGTACTTATAACGTACTAACCTTCAACCCTACTCGTCGATTCTATTTAAATACGTATAAAGGCTTTTAAACAGCTTAAAAGTAAATAATTTATATAAATAATAATAATTATTTCAAATAAGTATAGTATTTAATAACCTATAAATTCAAATAATAGACTCGTACGTATTTAATACCCTCCCTCCCCCTTCCTCTCTATAATATATTATATACCTTTTTCGCTAATACTTTTTATCTATTTATAACTCTCCTCGCCTACCTTTATAAATATTACTTCCTATAGATCAACGAATTTAGGAATTACGCCGTCTCAAAATATAAGAATTTTAGTATCAAGGCAACCAATAGAATCGAATCTATACACAAAGCTATTAAACGCCTCCTTAAGAACCGTCTCTCTTCTTTAAACTAGCTATACGAATATATACGCTCTACCTACTACTCTCAGAAAGAAATATTCAAATTACGATATACTGTAGCAAAGTAATCGTATCTATATAAATATAAGAGGGTGAGAATATTTAATAATCTAGTATTAAAGGTACGTAAAAATATAATCGTTTATTATTACCTTTATAAATTAACTTTTTTTTTATATAAGTAGCGCTATATACCTTTAAACTTATATAGTATTAATACTACTATACTTATAACGACTAATTAAAAAACCCTTATTAAAACCTAAATATTAATTGTAAAAAGGCATTTATAACCTAGTATAACTTACCCTTTATACTAAGGTTATTATAAATAAATCCCCTACTAGTACTAACTATAGAAGATATAAATATATACTAATAATTAAAGCTAGATGGCGGTATAAGGTTAATCGAAACTAAATGCCGTATTTATATTATTTAAAACCCTACTTCCTTATTTAACTGCTGACTAAAAGTAATTATCCCTAATTTAAACTTTACTAATTATATATATAAAATATCGGGATAAGATTTTATAAACCCAGAAATTTTCGAACTACGTAATTTTGAAAGTAATTAAAGCTCGCCTACCTAACCTATCGCTGCCCAATTTACTACCGCCGTACTTATCGACCGTAATTAATATAATAACCGCCATATATTTTCTTATAACGAACCACCCTGCTAAATAATATAGCGAAATACTTAGAAAGGAAGGAAGAAAAGAAATATATAGAGAGAGGGTATATAAAAGGCGTTTCGTACCCGTAATATTACTTAAAAAGATTAATAACGAACTATTACTAAAGCAATTAATAATATAGCTAATAATACAGCCAAAATTATTATTATATAATTAACTCTAGTGCTAACGCCTTCTCTAATACTCCCGCGGTCAACTCCAATTCCCTCACAAAAAGCTCTAACGCCCTCCCTATCTCCCCATCCCCAAATCTAATAGCCGCTAATCTAGCAATAATTATCTCACAGCTATATATTAATTCCTATCAATTCTAACCAATTTAATTATAAAGTACTAATACCTATTAGATAGTTAATACTAATACTCCAATCCTAACCAAACTAGAATCTCCCTCCCCCTTCTAATTAATAGTAGGAAAGTTCATAAAGCTAGATTATACTAACAATATAATATAATCGAACTCTAGTCGATATAAGACCGCCCCCAATACTTTATTCCTAATATATAAGGGCTCTCTAACATTCTAGGCAGCACTTACATAGCAGGTATTAAAATCAGGGTAGGTACATACATTTTGGGTAGCAAGTATAGTATATATAATATATATAGTTGTAATAGGGCTAATATAGAGGATAGTAGTATTATTAATAACCGTAATATTAACCCTCTCAATAGTGGATAATTGACTAGATTAATAACTCTAAATACCCTCACGTAAAAATAATACGTAAAAGATATAGATCTGGCGATGCGCGGCCATCGATTATATAACCTTAGTTGTATGGTGTGCTGAGCGGCTGGGCTGGGCGGCTGGGCTTACTCAGCGTTAAAAAGTTGGGAGGACTACCCAGGGACCAGTTTGGGACTACCCAGCTACCGATTGCGAGTGGTCATAGCTCCTCAGATGTGGCTGGAGAGAGTCCAGAATTCACAAAAGACCATCAATGCGCCACAGCTGGGTGGAGAACTGTATCGCAATTTGCGGCTTTGTCTTGCTCGACAGGATGTGTGCGAAATATGCAGGTTATGTGATGAATATAGATATGCAACGGACTTGCGTAGTCCTTCGGGCGTGTGAACATTGCATTTATCTATCACACATCTACTTAGGTTAACATTGAACAGAGGTAGCGAGGGAGTGATGCTTCTCCTCTTCTCTCCTCAGGAACCAAACAACCCCTCATTTAGTTTTAGTACCCCTAACCCTGAATGAAGGACATGGTTGCCCCACCCATTCGTTTGAAAGATTGCACCACCTTTCGTGCAGGACACATTCGGGGTGCTATACAAAAGGTGTGGCTTGACTCATTCGTTCTCTTTCAGGTCTGAATACACTTAAGGGCACCTCACTCAGTCACTGTGTTGGAGTCATTCATGCCACGCTGACCTCTCACTCTTGTGACCTTTTGACTAACTCGGGACTTTACATCTGATAGGGCTGGAAATAACTCCACCACCGGATGCACTCCTTTGCCCGTCTACGCGGCCTCATTCCTTCGACCAGGACTATCGCGGCTATTAGTACAAGACCAACTCGTCTTTTTCCTCGTCCTCTCCCTTCATCATACCCCCGCCGCCCATTCTCATCGTCGCCGTTAATCATGGCCGCCATCACCGTTCACAGCACTCTCAAGCCGGGTCCCCCCGTGCCGTTTGTACCAAGGGAGGAGGGTGCCGTTAGCTGGTACGCCTGCGGACCGACTGTTGTATGTACTGAGACCTAGACTTCTACTTGACTTCCATTAACATTTCGTAGTACGATCTCAGCCACTTGGGCCATGCCCGTAACTATGTCTCTACAGATATTATCCGCCGCATCCTTATGCATTATTTTGACTACAAGGTCAACTTTGTGGTGAGTAAACGAATAGATATTTTACCAATGAACGTGCCATGGTCCTCGCGCTAATACTTTACCATAGATGAATTACACAGATGTCGATGACAAGGTGGGTTTAATCTCTGCTCATCCACAAACGTCAATACCAGTCTGACTTTCCCCAGATCATCATCAAGGCAAGGAGAAAGAGGCTCCTTGAGTTGGAAAAGGAGAAGCCTTATACCGCCGAGCAGATCCGCGATTTGATTTTTAAGGCCTTCCAGGCCTACACCAAGAACCTTCCCCTCCTGGTTTCCGAAGATGCTACTCCCTTGGACGAGAAGAACTACCAGGAGCGGAAAGAGGCCGCTTACGGCGTCGTTCTGGCTGGTGGTCCCCTCGTCCCCGAGACAAAACCTGGTGACGCCGAGGCCAAGGTCAAGATGCACCTAAACAACATGGATGCTGCGGCCGAAGCACTTAAGAACGGCTCCGGTCTCGATGCCGCCGAGGACGTCCTCCTGCCCTACCTCGACTCCCTTTACAAGGAGACTATCGACACTAGCGACCAGACCATCTTTACCAACCTCACCAAGACCATGGAGCAGGCCTTCGCTGACGATATGGAGGCCTTGAACGTCCTCCCCCCTGATGTCATCACTCGCGTCACCGAATATGTGCCCCAGATCGTCGCCTTCGTCGAGCAGATTGTCCAAAAGGGATTTGCCTACGAGGCCGATGGCTCCGTTTACTTTGACATTGGCGCCTTCGAGAAGGCCGGTAACACCTATGCTCGTCTTCGCCCCGAGAGCAAGAACGATACTGCCCTGCAAGAGGAGGGAGAGGGTTCTCTTTCGACTGCTTTGGGAGGTAAGAAGCGTTCTGGCGACTTCGCCCTCTGGAAGAAGTCGAAGCCTGGTGAGCCCTACTGGCCCAGCCCTTGGGGTGCCGGTCGCCCTGGTTGGCACATTGAGTGCTCTGTCATGGCTTCCGACAAGCTTGGCGAGCAGATGGATATCCACTCTGGTGGTATCGATCTTGCTTTCCCCCATCACGATAACGAGCTGGCTCAGAGTGAGGCTTACTTCCATGACTGCTGCAAGGGTGAGCATACTTGGGTCAAGTACTTCCTGGTAAGTGTTCTGTTTATGATTTTGCTCGTGTTTCTGATTAGTCACTGACCTTGCATACAGCACATGGGCCATCTTTCCATTGCCGGAAGCAAAATGTCCAAGAGCTTGAAGAACTTCCAGACGATACAAGACGCCCTCGCCTCCACCTACACCGCCCGCAACATGCGTATCGTCTTCCTGCTTAGCCGCTGGAACGACGGTGTCGAGATCTCCCCCGACATGAGGAAACAGGCCGACAACTGGGAGACCACTCTCGACAACTTCTTCACCAACATCAAGGCTCGTTTGTCCGAAGTTGACGCTTCGTCCGGCATCAAGGATCTCTCCCTCTCAGAGGATGCCGGTGCCAAGGGTCTGCTCGAGGACTTCGATCAAGCGAAAAAGGACCTCGACGCCGCCCTCAGGAACTCCTTCGACACCCCCACCGCCATGCAGGTCCTCCTCAAGCTGGTCCGCAACGCCAACATCTACATGAACTCCAGCAACTCCAACGTCCAAGCCCTCGAGTCCGTCGCCCGCTGGGTGACCAAGATCGTCGGCATCTTCGGTCTCGACGCCAACGCCCAGCCTCCATATGAGGGTGGTCTCGGCTGGTCCTCCGCCACCGCCTCCAACAAGGCCAACGTCGACCCACAGACCGCCGTCAAGCCCTACGCCGCCGTCTTCAACCAGGTCAAGCAGGAGGTTGCCGCCCTCGACCTTTCTTCTGGTAACGAGTCCATCAAGTCCCTCCTCGAGCAGCAGAACCCCGACAGCGAGTTTGCCGAGCTCGAGAAGAGCGGCGAGAAGGACGCCGAGAAGCTGGCGCTGCCTTTCATCCGCGCGACTTCCAAGCTCCGCGACGAGCTGCGCACCACCATTTCCTCGGGCGCTGCCCTCGACCCCAAGGTTAAGCAGGCGATCCTTGCGCTCAGCGACCGTATCCGTGACTACGACCTTACCGACCTCGGCGTGCAGCTCGATGACCGCGTTGACGGACCTAGTCTCGTCAAGTTCGTGCCGGCTGCCAAGTTAATTCAGGCGCGTGAGGAGAAGGCTGCGTTGTTGGCTGAGAAGGCCAGGCAGAAGGAGGAGGGTGAGTTTTTTTCTTCTTCTTTTTTTCCACTTACCTTTCCCCATTAAAATCATGACACTAACTGACACCTTCCCAAACAAAAAACAGCCCGCAAAGCAAAGGAAAAAGCCGAGCAAGAAAAGTGGGAAAAGGCCAAGCTTCCTCCCCAAGAGCTGTTCAAGAACGACGCCAAGTACACCGAGTTCGACGCCGACGGTTTGCCCACCAAGCTGGCGGACGGCAACGATGTACCCAAAGCCCAGGTCAAGAAGCTCAAGAAGGAGTGGGAGAAGCAGAAGAAGCTTCATGAGGAGTATCTCGCTAAGTTTGGCTCTGCTTAGAGGGCTGACGCGAAACTGTAAAAGAGGGGGGGGGGTTGGTTGTCTATCCAAGAGAAGGGGTTGTTGCGTGGGATTTTTACCTAAAAGCTATGAGAATTGATATCCCGTTGTGTATTTTCACATGTCCTTTTTGGGTGATGTAGTAGGGTTCTAGACATGCCATGTTATCACGCTTTTCAAGTTGTATTGTAACTCAATCCGCTCGCTACCCTCCCACCCCCTCCTACCTTACCCCCTCTCAAAACCCAGGAAAGAACCCCCCCGGCACCTCCCACTCGGCATCCACCTCCTCTTGCATCACCCGCACCGTCCTCTCCACCACATCCGGGCCGTACTCAAGTTCAACCACCTCTTTCATCGATTCTATTTCCCACGTCAGCAGTCGTCTCCTTCATCTCCCTTAACCCCCCTTACCCACAGTCCAGGATATGCGAAGAAAAAAAGAAAAAAAGGTAAAAAAAAAAAAAAAAAAAAAACTTACTAGGAACCCCCTTCTCCCATCCCTCCCCCCTCAAATACCCCTCCAACTCTTTTGGTGCTATTTCCTCGTCGAAACCAACGTTACTCATCACCTGGATAGCCGAGGCCCGGTTGCGCCGGATCTTTTCGTAGAGGTTTAGACGGGCGTCGATTTCTTCGGAGGATGAAAATGAGGAAGAGGAGGGTGATGGTGATGATAAGTCACCGAGACATAGGCCCAGGGCGAGACCGTCTTCGATGGCTTGGGCGCCGCCTTGGCCGTGGTCTTGTGTTTTTTTGGGTTTCAGTAACGAGGGAGAGAAGGATGAGAGAGGGGAGGGATGAGAGAGGGGAGGGGAGGGGAGAGAGGAGAGGGGAGGGTGAAGGGAGGAAAAAAGAAAAAAAAACTAACGGGGTAACATCGGGTGAGCAGCGTCTCCTACGAGCACTAAGCGGTCTTTGTGCCAGGTTGGGATGGGAGGGCGGTAGAGGAGGGGCCAGCGTTTGAGGTCTGTTGCTTTGCTATACAAGTTTATGGGGAGAGACACTGTTAGAGAGGGAGAGAATATGTTGGTATGGGTACCAACCAACCAGTGGAGGAGGACAGACGACGGACGTACTTGATCACTGCTAGGAGGCCAGGGTGGAAGTCGGAGGAGAGCTTGGAGAGAACTTCGGACTTGGAGACGGGGGCGTGCCAATCTTTAATTGGGAAAGAAGAGTTTGTGAGGGTCAATGAACCGAACCGGTCTTGAGCAAGCACTTTCTGGCATGGGGCGGGGGGGTGGATGAGAGGTGTGCAGGTACTGACCTTCTCGCTTCGCAATATTGGTTTCGTCCCGGAGCATGACGACGAAGTTGAAGACCTCACCACTGCTCACTCATCAATCAGCCCTCTCTTTCCCTTGTTTGGTCCCAATCTCTCCATCTTGAAGCACTGGTTACACTCACGCTCGACACCGATAAGCAATCAACCTCTTCTTCCCCGGCACATCCGGCCAAAGTCGACAAACCTTGGCCTCCTTCTTATCCGAGTCCAAGAAAAACCTCGTCTCCGGATCGTCAGCAATTTCCGCTGTTGGAATCAGGAACCGATAGCAGGTGTTCAGCTTTGGGTCGGGAAGCATCTGAGGCTGGTTCGGGTGTCCGAGGACGTAGTTTACTGCTTGCGAGTGTACCCCGTCGGCAGCGATGATCAGATCTGCGGTTAAGACGGTGCCGTTGGCGAGGGTTACTGAGGGTGTTGAGGGGTCCTAGAGTTTAGGTAAGGTAGGTAGTGATCATGTTAGCAATTAATTCTCTTTACCTCGTTTACAGTTCAAATAGTTCTTCTCACCAGTCACAACTTTTGCTTAATACTTGAAAGAAACGGAACTAATGGTCTTCTAATATGAAGTAGGGTAAGGTAGGTACAACTTACATACTCGACAACCTCCTTCCCACCCTCGATTCTTACCCACCCCTTTCTTTCTTCACTCCTCCTCCTCCCATTCACAGCCTCCTCCTGCCCGCTCACGTTCAGGTTCATGTTGTCAATCTCATTATTCGTATCTAAAACCAATCCCAACAACCCCCCATGTAAATCAACCCGATGCGCATACCACAACGCCCCCCCTCCCCACACCTCTTCATTCCTCGAGTGATCTAATCCCTCACACACTTGCTCCATAGTCTTGGGGTTGACGACCAACATCCCTTCACTTTTCACAAACTTTTGTTTTAACGGGTCTAGGCCCCATCCGCGGCCTGCAGAAGGGTGGCAGAGGAAGCGCGAGATGTTTGGGGGGACATTGATTGCGGCGCCGATTTCGTGGGAGGAGTGGGATTTGGTGGTGGTGGTGGTGGTGGTAGAGGTGGGGGACTTGGGGGAAGAAGAGGAGTGATAGTGGGAGGAACGCTCGAGGATGGTGATTCTGTGCAAAGGGTTCGCACGCCGGAGGGATAAAGCAGTGGAAAGACCGGAGAGGCCAGCGCCTGTTATTATGATGTCCATTTTGTTCGTGGTGTGGGTTGGACAGCTCGTCGGGGTGGGAGGTGGTGATAGGTAAGGATGGATAGTTTGAGATGCTTGCAGGTTTGAGTGAGGCAGTTATGTAGAGCAAGAACGGCAGAGGAAGAGGGAGTAGGTGATTGCTAGATCCCAGAACATATATACCAACATACCCTGCCACACACGCGGTAGCCGAGCTGAAAGGAAAGTGCCATTCATTGCTACAACTTGGGAACGCATGAGATACGGGCAGATACCGAACTGCAGTGTCACCTTGCGGATAAGCGGATGGGTTCTGGAACGAGCCAAAGGAGGGTCCGATACTATAGTCTAATCGTTGGAGGTATCGTCTCTTGAACGACCGTTTTTGCATGACCACGATGGCTTGCCAATGAGGATCAGCAGTGCTGACTGTGGTCATACTTAATATTCAGTCCTCGTTCCGGCCGTGAAACATCCTACCCGGTGAGGAATCCGTTGGGTCAAAAGGATGAGAGACCCTTGCATTTGTTTGCATCGTAACACAGAGAGGTGCTAGGAAGGGTAGAACCGCAGGTCAATCACCCGCCTACCGAAGGATCATGAACTGTTGCCGAAGTCAACCACACTGCCTTCACGTGGAACGGAGCAAGGTAATTCTTACATGTGTACTTCCATTACATAACCCATATACCGGGTGCTTATACACAACAACAAACAGTTCAGTTACATTTTCACTCCGCCTTCTTCTCCTCCGCAGTGACAGCCGGAGCACTCCCCTTCCTCTTCAAAACCCCCGCCAACTTCGCCTTCAACTTATCCACCCCCTTCTTCAACCCGTTCTCCGGGCCCTCATTCGCCGCCACGAACCTCCTCACCAATATATTAAACATGCCGCCAAATGCCAGGGCGATAGCCGTCGAGGTGAAAATGATGACGTTATACGGCATGCTGAAATCGGGTGTAGGCAAGTTGCACAGCAGCGTCGTCGTCCTCAGATTATACGCCGCAAACCGCGAGTTTCCACTGCCACTGCCACTGCTCTTGTCCTTATTCAAGATAGTAATGACAGCAGCAGCCACATCAAACCCGCGATTCGCGTCGGGCGGGTACTCGGTATACCTTAGGATGGACTTCTCAAAGTCGTAGGTGAGGAAGACGGTCGAAGCGGGCGGGACGGTCATGCGGACCTCGAGTTGGGTTCCGCGCGCGCGGTCGACGGCGGGGCGGTAGTAGACTTCCTGGATCAGGGAGTCGGCCTTGCCCGGTTGTCCGTCGACGCGGGCCGAGATGGTGTGCAGGTAGATGCGCATGAACCAGGGGAGGGATTCCATGTAGATGAACTCGACTTCCTGGTCGGGGCTGGGGTTCCGGAGGATGGTCTGGACGCCGCCGCGTTCTTGGCCGTGGCCGGTGAAACTGCGTTCGGCGTAGAGGAGGGGCGTTTCGGGCTTGACGAGGTGTTCGACTACTACTGATCCGTCCTGGGTCTCGGGGGCAGGGAGGAACATATCGAAGTCGTTCTCGGCGGGGAACTCGAAGCAGCGTGAGGCCTGATCGGGGTTCTTCTTCTCGATAGCGCCCTCGGAGGCGAAAACAATGCGCGAATCGGGAACTTGGATGCAGACAGGAGACACGGTAGGGTCGGTCAGTGGGCAGGTTCCCTTGATAGGCCTACCGAAGATGTGGGATAACGACCAATCTTGGTTGGCGGCTGAGTCGGTAGGGAAGCAAGTATCGTGTGCGTGGTACGGCTTCGAGGTATTGCACTTGATGTCGTGAGCCGGAGGTGGCCTGGGAATCGGGTTATCTAAGCCGGTTTCGTCAGTTACAGTCCATAGCCATGTCGTTCAAACATTAGAACACATACCCCTAGGTCTCTTGGATCGATCAATATCCAGAACCATGTCAATGCTCTGCTCGATCTGCAAAACACACTCGCCGTCCTCCGGGCACACGGGCCGGATATCGATCGCCATAGTCTGCCATGAAGAGTCGAAGAGCTTATGTCCATCAAGCAATGACGCGATACCAGCCTTGCCCTTGCATGGAAGAAGCTTAAGGAAGGGTGTCAAGTTCTCGGTACAGACAACTTCATGGGGAAGCACTCCGTATAGCAGGTGCATGTTCGTCGCGTTCGCATCGATGTGGTTGCCCTCGGGCTGGAAGGACATGACCGGACGGGTGGTTCGGGTGCTATCGATGAAGTTGAGGGAAGCACAGAAGAGGCCAGACAGCGCGTTGGTGAGCGTCAGCCATTTGTGATCGGCCCTACATGGTTGCTACAGTTAGTCTGTGTCCAAGTCCGTGATCCGTGGTGTTGGTGATAGAACATACTCCTCGTCTGTGTCTGCCTCCAACCACGCCCACATCTCAACACCTGTTCCACCCTCGCGCGCACCATTCCACGGCCTGGCGCCCCAGCTCTCGGCATCCCATCTTCCCAAGCTAAACCTCAAGTGCAACTCGCGCGTGCCGGCATGTTCGAGGATCTGACCCAGCGACCGGGGGAAGAAACGGAAGTTGTGCGCCTCGAAGGCAGAGAGCGATGTGTTGGAGCGGAAGTTGAAGCTGGCGAGGAGGGCCGACAACGGTAGCGGGCGCAAAATTAGCTGTTCATGGTAGTCGGATCGGGAGTCGGAAATGGAGTCGGCCGAGGCATTCGCGATCGCAGCGTAGGGCGAGAAGCAAAGAAGAGAAAGTAAGGAGAGTAAGAAGGAAGGAAAGAATCGACGCATTGTATTAACCGTATCGCCGTTGTCTATCCATTTGCTTTATTTTTACGTCCACCACAAACTGCCAAAACCAATTTCCGGAGACAATGGCAAGACAGAAGAAGCCCAGGCGACGGAAGATGTGATGGTGACAGTTGTGATGTTGGTGTTGCTGTCAGATCGCAACTTTGGGCCCCCCCCCCCGTTGCTGAGGTGCTGGAGGACGGGAGTGCCTGCCGCGCCCTGTCACAGCGGGACAAGACCCAGAAAATTGTTGATGACAGCACATTTCCAGTGGATGAACAGGGATCATAGCGGCAACAGGGGAACGTGAAAGTGGGTCCACTTCCCCAGCTTCAGCGATCAGGTTCCATCCAACAAGCAGCCTTGCAGCGCGGCTGACTTTTGCGCCTGCATTCAACCTCCAAAATCTTGGGAATTTCTCCCAAACAACAAAACACCATCAACCACGAAAGTCCTTTTACGAACACCGACTCGCGCATTTTCAGTCAAACCGAATCCGAAGACAATTTTCGAACACCGAGACGATTAATAGTTAATAAACAACACCACCAACAATGGCGGCCGAACAGAGAAAGCTGCTCGGTAAGTCTCTCCCGCCACCATCGCATCCTCTCCCCCCCATCCTCCCCATCCCCAAACTCCCACTCACTAACTTCTTCTCCCCTCCCATCCCAGAGCAGCTAATGGGCGGCGGCATCTCCTCCCGCTCCGCCCAACTCTCCCTCACCGACCCCAAAGTCTGCCGCTCCTACCTCGTCGGCACCTGCCCGCACGACCTCTTCACCAACACCAAGCAAGACCTCGGGCCCTGTTCCCGCGTGCACTCGGAGGCCTTGAAAGCCGAGTACGAGTCCCTCCCCGACAGCGACAAGAAGAAGTACGGGTTCGACTACGACTACATGCGCGACCTGCAAAAGTACATCGACGAATGCAACCGACGGATCGACGCGGCGCAGCGACGCTTGGAAAAGACACCGGACGAGATCCGGCAGACGAACGTTTTGCTCAAAGCCATCTCCGATTTGGGCACGACCATCGCCACGGGGCTTTTGGAGGTGGAGATCTTGGGAGAGCTGGGCGAAGTCGGACGGGCGTATGACGAGCTTTTCAGGGTGCGCCAGGCGCAGGCGGCGAAGGCGGAGAAGGAGAGAGAGCTGAAGGCGCTGTCGGATACGAGTGGCCCGTCGGGTCATCAGAAGCTGCAGGTGTGCGATGTGTGTGGCGCGTATTTGTCGAGGTTGGACAATGATCGTAGATTGGCGGATCACTTCTTTGGCAAGATGCACCTTGGGTATGCGCAGATGCGGAAGACGTATGATGCGTTCCCGAAGGAGATGCGTGGAAGGCAGAGGCCGATGGGCGGCATGTCGGGCGGTGGTGGCGGTGGTGATGATGATATGGGTGGTGTGCCGACGGGTCCGGGTGGACGACATGATGATTGGGGAAGGGGCCGTGGACCTAGGAGTGGCGGTGGTGGTTATCGTGGTCGTGGTCCTAGACGTGGTGGATGGTAGAGTACTTGAGGTGATGGTGGCCAGACCAAGTAACGGTCAGTTGGCGTCCAAAAGAGAAACTGGTCGGTTGGAAGCGCGTCAAGGGAGATGGATACCATCCAAAATCTGGCGGTTTTATGTGCATTGAAAAGGCGTTGGGGGCGTTTTACACTATTCGAGCTTGGGATTTGCAAGGAACTCGGAGCTTCTCCCGTTGTGGTCCTTATTTTTGCACCCGTGTATCGAAAACAAAGCTGTTAGTTATATCATGAAAGCGCAGCACACAGATAGGTATAGAATCGATGATACCAGCAATTACACTTTTCTTTGAGCGGACCGCTCGGGTATAGTCTGCAGTGTATATCAAGTGCGGTCCAACTAGTAATGTCTTAAAGTCCTTGTGGTATCAATTCGCCTGTTCGCTTCTACATAATCGCTGTCGTCTAGAGGATATATCTCGTCTCATGGAAAAATCCTTCCAACTCGCTAGTCACAGAAACAAACCCTAGCTTCTATCCTCTCTACCGTCAAGTTGCGCTTGCATCTCAGGATCCGTCCATTTAAATACACCAGTCGCCCTTGGGTAAGAAAAATTCCCATTACTCCCTGCCTCGCTACCAACGTCGAGGTACTCATCTGATGTCGCCTCTGCCGCATCGGAATGCCTGTCGGGACCCGTCCACTGACACATTTGGGTAATATCGGATTCCATTACCCATTTCATAAAGTCTTCGGGGTTCTCATATTGGCGAATAGATCGTTTATTTTCATCGTGCTCCCTTCTCCAATGTTGATCGTCCATCAATGTTTTGTAGCGTACTGTAAGTGGCAACCAACCGGATAGTGCGTGGCTCACTTGTTCTTCTATTGACCTCTCTGCGAGTTCCTGTTGTGTTTTCCTGTGTTCCTTTTGATATTGCTCGAGTCCTCGTTGTACCTCCTCCGCCTTTGATGGTTTGAGAGATTGGAGGCCAGCCGGTAACTGGCCTGGCGCTGGAGTAATATCAGCCGTCGCTCCTTTGAGAATTCGGCGGGCAGCGACTATCAGATCTGAAGTTGGAGTGAAATCAACCTTCGGTGGTTCGAGATCTAGGTGGGCAGCCACCCTTTGGGCTGGAGCTGAGATGAGATTCGTCACCTTCGCTGGCTTTGCTGACTCATGCTCCGGTGTTGGCTTTGCCGACTCATGCTCCAGTGTCGGCTCTTTATTGACTGTGTCTTGCGACTCAGATTTATAGTAACCTTTTGGGCGTTTCATTGGAATTAACCTTGGTTTGGTACGAGGAGGGTTCTCATTGCTCGCCAACGGGCTCTCTGCGTTCGGCGTATCCTGTACATTCGCTGGAGTTTTCTGGGACTCATTCTTTGACATGGTGAGATTGGAGCGAATGGTTGAAGCGAAGGTTGGCCGCGCATAGGAAGGTTTCTAGTTTTCCTTTGACTTCGCCTGCGCGTCCGCCGCCTCCTTTGCCTGTGCCGCCTTTTTCGAAATACTTTCTTCCACCTCATCGTCCCATCTGCCGACAGCAGGCGAGAGGGGCAAGGAAGCAAAGGATAGGGGAGCGTTTGTGCTGACTTGCGGTGCGGTGGATTTGCTGCCGGGGAGCGCAGGGAACTCGTCGGGGGTCAACTTCGGTTTGTCGGCCTTTGGTGCACCAGACCCAGGCCCGGAGCGTTCAGCACGAGGGGCCGCTGGGCCATCCGCCTTCCAGTCCCTGCCACGGTTTCGGTGGTTGTCACGCTGATAAAACCGCTGACCAGACTCGTTCTCCGGGTCCGGCTCGAAAAGGGTGCGGCCGCCATACCCATCACCTCCCCCACGCCCTCTTCCGCCACCGAATCCCCCTCTTCCACCACGACGTCCACCACGGTAACTGTCTCCTCGCTCATTGCCGTCAGCCGGGTCTTGCGCCCACGATTGTGTGTTTGCAACCCCCTTAACACCCCTGTAGCCTCTTCGATCCTCCTCTCTCATGCGCTCCTCCTTACCCTCGTCCCAAGAGCCACCCTCCTTGGCGCCCATAGCGCGCATCTTACGCTCACGGTTCTTTTCCCGCTCATCCTCCATCTTCTTGCGGTCTTCCTCGGCAGCCTTCCTCTTGGCCGCTTGTTCAGCACGACGTTTCCTATCCTCTTCCATGCCCTTAGCGTAGGCGGCAGCATGCTCAGTTTCGTCACGCTGGGCTTGTTCGAAACGCTTAGTTTTCTCGGCGGCTATAATACGCATCTTCTCCATCTTGGCTGCCAGTTCGTCTTCAGTAAGCTTGGTGCGTGGATTCGCGCCGGAACCGATTCTCGCAGCCGACGAGACGCTCGCAGTGTTGCGACCAGCTTCCTTGTCCCTGGCTTCTTTCTCGCGAAGTTCTTTGGGGGCAGAGGGAGGTGCGTTGGAGGTTGACTGCTGTTGTTGAGATTGAGTCGCGCTGTTGTTGCTCGCGCTGTTGTTGGCTTTAGGGTGACGATTGTTGTTGCGCGGTTGCTTTTCAGGACGATTGGCAGGGGCGTGACGCGAGTTGGCAAGTCCTCTGGGTGCTTGAGGCGCGGGGGCAGACTTCTGAACAGGCGCTGGCTCGGATGGTTGAGAGAGTTCCACGGCAGTGGAAGCAGGACTCGTGATGTTCGTGTCTTGGACGGGCGCTCCTGTTTCCGTAGAGATGGTCGCGACCTGCTCCTCAGGCGCTACGGGCTCGAAATCGTCGGCGAAGAGATCGTCGTCAGTACGACCTCCATACTGTTCGGGGTCCATGGCTCCGGTAGTATATGTTTAACGCTTAGAGAATGTAATTGAAGGATGTTGGTGAAGCGAACGTGGCCTCTGAAAACGCCGGTTGTGATAGTAGGGCCAGAGTGGTTGTGGTCGTTTAAGTACTTCTGGACCTGGCGAATGTCGAAGGCGAATCGAGAAGCAGAAGGTCTGACCGAGACGATATGTACAAAATTCCAGACAATTCGGTGTGATGAAGGAAAGGACGAATGGATGGTTGACTGTTCTGTTGGCTGGGACACAACGAAGTCGCAGGTGGGGCAAGCAGAAGGTCGGGCAGGCGGGCGCGGGAAAGCATCGGAAAGCACAGGCGGGGCAGGCAGTGACAGTCGAGGGGAAAAGGCGGGGGCAGGCAAGCGGGGGTAGCCGGGCGGGCAGGCAGTGGGACAGCGCCAAGGGACCTGATTTCCTTCCACTTTCAACTTCTCGCTCTTGCAAGTTGATGCCATTTCCAACTTCCTCGTTTGGACTTCAACCACTCTGTAGCGATCCACTTTTCTGAGAGTTCCCGCCCTGAATCTTGACAGCTTCGGACTCAATATCTGACCACATACATAATCGTTGACTTAATTCACAAGATTCGCGTACACTTTGGGCAAAGCCTCACTGGGCAACACCTCGCTTTGTTGGTGTTTTCCCACATGAAATGGGCTAATATCATGTGCAGTGCAACCACACTTGTCACTCGGCGAACTCAACTAGCCATAAATCGAGTGACTGCGGCACATATATCACAATTTAACGCCTCCTCGCTTCTCAACGACGGATCTCGGCTGCTGGATAAGCCTATCGTGAGCAGGGGATTTGACGATCCTGGCGATGCAAGTTGGCCGTTGGATTTGTGATTGAGGCTCTACGCCGTGTACTAGCGTCTTTCACAAGCGAGTGCGAGAATGGAGCACTTCACCACCTTCCCGTTCCCGCCGTCCCACTGTCTCACCTTTCTCGCGGTTCTTGTTGGACCCAGAGGTTCCACCATCCCAAGGTCAAGGAGGGCCTTCCGGGCCCAGATCACACAAGCGAAGGGGGGCCTGTCATCTTTCTTTGTTCACCACTTCGCGACTTCAGGAGTTCTCAAATGTTTAACGATGAAGAATGCCCACCCATTTGCTACCGAGTGCGAGTGGCCGAGGTCATCTCCATCCGGGCTGCAACAGTCTCACCCTCAGCCAGAATATCAGCCCCCGGTGCCCCCCGCAGCCGACGTAACGCTCACCTTGTTCTGACTTATAAATGATCCCATATATCTTTAGTGCCCATGTCCTCTTACCAAACCCATTCCCTTCCCTTTGTTCTTTTTTAATACTGTATACATACGTTTTTGAGCACATTTTATATTTACAAAACTATCAACATCAGTCATTGTCAAGATGGGGGACACTCTTGAAAAGCCAGACTTCCGACCAATCTTTAACCCAACCAAGCAACGCCCGCTTGGAAGTCCTCCGCCCAAGGAGGTAAGCACTTTGCCCATCCTTTTGAGAATGTCGAGAAGCTAAAACTAACATTCCCCAAAGATTATCATCAAAGATGCTTTCAGACTTCGCACTCTGATGGCCATGGGCGCCCTCGCCCAGATCCTCCTCTTCGCCATCCTGCCCTACCGTTATGCCGTTGTCCCCGCCTTGATCCTCGCCCTCCAGTCCATCGGTTCGACCATCGGCCAAATGCTCTTCTACAAGACCAATGAAAACCCGTTCATGACGGGGGTTGTCCAGGGCATCACCAGCGGCCAGCCTCCCTCATGGCAAACCGGTCGCTACCCCAACGCGCCCTGCTCCAGCCCCATCGTCGTCTTCCACCTCGGCGTCTCTTACAACCACCCGCTGGGCCCCGCCTGCCCCGGCGGCAACGAATTCTACACCCACTTCATGAACATGATCAAGGCCATGAACGAGAAGAAGGAGGAGTACGGCCTCCTGGGCATGTCCAACTGGAAGCAGACCAAGCGCGCGACCCACAACGCCGGTCTGGTCATAATGTACTTCCGCAACGTCGAAGGGCTGCACAAGTTTGCGCACGACAAGGAGCACCGCGATGGCTGGGATTTCTTGCACGATTTCCGCAAGAAGGGATACAACCACATCACGGCGCTGCATGAGACCTTTGAGGTGCCTGCGGGCGCCTGGGAGTCTATCTACCTGGATTCGCCGCCCATTCTTATGGGAGATACCACTATCAAGGTTACGGAGAAGGATGGAAGCTCGACTTGGTATAAAAGTCTGGTTGATGCGTCGGTGAGGCCGTTGACGGGAATGATGAACAGGATGGCGAGGGGTAAGGCGACTGCGAGGGAGCGGTATGCTTACTAGAGTTGGGTCGTGAGTTGAGATGGAAAGTTGTTAGATCTAGTGCAATAGGGAGGATAGGCAGCGAACTGAGCAACAATATACCTACTCTTTTCAACAAGCGGTACGCCTCGATGCAACAAGACGACAATGCCGTGAAAGATTCAGGTATTTACAACTACGACCGACCATCCATCCGTCAAGTGACCCCTCCTCGGGACGGCTTCCATCCCAACTCCCGTCCTCGCCTCTCGCCTGAGGCGCCACTAGCCACCAGCCAGCGCCGCGTCACCCTCGCAACAAGCAGCTCCCGCTCCTTCCATCTTCCACTTGGAAACCACACCCGGGTCCCAGACCACCTTATAAGCTCCCTCATCCCGTCCTAGCAAACGGGTCTACCACAAAAACTACCCTCGTGGTCAAGTGGTCGAGCGGTATGGTGCGTTGCTCACAGCCACCTTTCTTCAATACCTGCTCGAACCACATAGTTCTCAGAACAATACCCCGTCAGAACAAATAGGCCGGAACGTTTGTGAATGTCAGACAGAACTGCGGTTCACGTTATTCCGCGCCATCTTGAGTAACCGGTACCTACGCAGTAGAGGAAAGTTGTAGCAATCGAGATGGAAACTGAAGACGGGAGAAAAGAGTTCTGAGGACGGACTCGGTTCAATCCCGGGTCGGTCGTCCCTTTTTTTGGGTAGTTTTTTTGCAGGTTTCTTTCCACTACCCCTTTCATCCCTTTTTGGTTTTGAAGTGTGAGATCAATCTCCTTGTGTGCTCGTTCGTCTGTTTGTCTCGCTGTTGCTAATATGGTTTGATTTTGTTGTCGCATTTGGGTTTACCGTTCGCCATCTTGGAGCTCCTCTATCTGTCTCTTGCGCCCCTTTTGTCGCGAGCTGAGGACGTCCAGCGCGAGCGGGGGATGATTGAAGGGTCACTGCCAATAAATATTACATTACATCAACAACTACCGCACTCACCGTCCACAACTCCCCATGTTAGATGATGCATAAGGTACCTTTCAGATTCCCAGGTTTTATTTTGTCCAAGTCACGTTTCACTTCACTTCACTTGACCATCATCCTCTTCGGGCTTCAACTGATCAGTGTCAACGGATCTATCAACTTCCTTCTTCCCCAGATGTCACACACACACCCAATTTGGCGACACACCCCGGAAATCCCTGGCAACCTCGTAACTGTATCAAAATAGTCTTGGGGATAAGATTCCAAAGTCAAAAAGAACTGGTAAATCGCACGCTGACAGATTCGCGAGGTCGGAGTGGATAACTTCATGGAAAACTCACCTGGAGACCCCGCAAAAGACCAGTGAGAGAATCATGTCTTCTGTCAAACTTAGATCACCTGATATCGGAGTTTTATCATCTTCCCTCAAGGTGTTTGAGTGGAGATTCAAAGAGTGATCAACATAGGTGGTCATGATCTGTTAGTGGAAGTTACCTATATGCTTGTGGATCACGGAATCTTGATGGGATCGAAGTTGTCATATGGAACTTCTCTATGGTTAACCCCAGTGCCATCTCGGTGCATTCCAGTACAGGCATCTAGCTTCACTCTTCACATCTATCGCGATGATATCGTTGAAGTTGATGATGTCGATGTTGAGCAAGATACTTCATGTACCCTAACCCTGTGACACTCTTGCCCCTGTCGTTGTGCATACTTCAAACCTCGGAACATCGATCATGACATTGTTCTAGCTCAAAGAAGCCAAAAGCTTCCAACCGCAACTAAACGCATAAAGAAGTCAATCTCTCAACACTTACCAATGTGGGTTACCCCGTGCTTGGCTGGCGGTCAACATGTCCATCAGGGACCAACATCGCCAACCGAAATCTGCACTAATTTCCGGAGCTTGGATCCGGTATTGAACCGATTCGTTGTTTCGATATCGAAACAGTTTCTGGAAAGCTATTTTGAGATTACAAAGAACTCGCGAGAACTAAACAATACCATTATCCCGAGGGACTGGTTGTCAGAATCGATCGGGAAATAACCTTGAAGAAGAAGAGGAAGCTCTTTGCTTTTTGAGAGACATGCCGAGGTACCTGTGGAGGCTCATGATGGAGGCCGCAATTCCCGTTGACGTCCGGGGGCAGCAGCGAATCGTGGACGAGATCTCGAGTTTTCCGGGGAAATTGCATCCAGGCGTCAGGCCTGACGTCGGTACTATGTACAGGGACGGTACAGTGGCCTCCCTTGTTGGCGCGGCGCAGGCCAATCACGAGCAAATCAGCGTCCAGATCCGGCATGTCGTTCAGTGAATGGGCCACTGATTGACCAATCGGTGCGGGAGACCGCGAGAATGACAGGCATTCCAAGGACAACTCCTTTAGCACGTGTTTGTGCCTTGTATCTCGGCCGAGCAATCCTGGCGTTTGTCTTGTGGTTCGCTCATTGTATTTGTCCCGTCCTCTCCCACATTGTCCATTTCTTGCATCTGTATGGCCATCAAAGGCCTTTGTTGACGTCCTTCCTGGTTTTATGATTGCTGGCTGCTTCCATTCAGCTTCACTGGTGCTCGCCTCAGCTCCCCATCCGCCTCCATCATCCATCTCGAGGTCGTCAGTCGTCCGCTCTATCCGCACCAAGAAGAAAACAAACCACAGGCACGGTAGGCCTCCTCCTGCGCGAAAAAGTCGCCCAGACTTTCTCCTTCCAAGGTATTAAACCCTTTTCCATGGCTGGCTCGTGGCATAGGCCCACGCGTACAGCATGGACCTATGGTGGCGCCTGCTGTCATCAGATCGACAAAAGCAATCGAAGGAAACGGGGCAATCAAGCGCCGTAGAGGAGCATCCAGTACATCAGTTACACACAGCGCCACAACTACGCGCCGGATTGGCCAATCTCAATACGAATGACCACAACCGCCCGATAGAAGCTCGATCGAACAAGAATTCTGATACTCCTGTTTCCACCTCTGCTCCAGCTCCTCTCTATGTTCCTTTTGTTCCTGCCACACCACTTCGAACTTCGCTCTTTTCTCTCGCTTCTCCTTGCTCTCCAGCTTATTCGACTGATTCCTCACCTGCATCTTTGTCGCTGGCCTACTCCGATTATGACACGGAGCTCATGGCCCTCTCGACCCCGGAACTACTCGATACCCGCCGCCAACATAGGGATAATACCCCAAAGGCTTTGGCAACACAGAAGGGCGGTATTGTGACGGACCGAACAAATTTCTACAACAGCCGGCAGTATGTGCAGCGAGCGAGTGGCAGCGGCATGATGCCCAATTCGACACCTTCTACCAACATGTACCGTCCCACAAGGCCACCAAGTCTGGATGTCCAACTTTCACGCCAACAAAAGAGGTTATCGCTGCTGGGAAGGCCATCGCCTGCGTATAGTGAGGCAACCAGTGCCAGAAGCAGTCTGGTGAGCCCAACTCAGCGAAATCCTCCGGCGCGGAACTCATCGTCCAATCGACTCCTTCCCGGACTCGGTCTCCCGGACCATCCCCGGCAACGGTTTACTTACCACCCCTCCGGCGGCCTACGGACTTCGACCATATCCGAGGACGCTCCCAGCGAGGGAGAACTGGCCTCTGAAATCTCCGCCGCCATACTGAAGGAAACTGAGGAGAACGCCGCGGCGGAACAACCATCCACAACGCTCAAGATCTGGGGCGCGGTGGCCAGATGTCTGGAGGAAATCACCGTCTCACTTGGACCGCCAAATCCAAGTGCGCAGGCGGTATCTGCACCACCAAGCATAGCATGCGCTCCACAACTAAGAGCCACACCATCCATAAGGAGAATGTCGAACTCGGTACAATCGGTGGGACCGCGAAGGACGTCTTACGATGTTGGAGCCAGGAACGATCTTCCGTCCCGGCATCGGAGGGTGATGAGTAGCAGTTCCATCCGAAGCGGCCGACAGGATCGCGATCTGGAAGCGACATATGCGATGGGTGAGCAGGGGGTGGAGGAATACTCCTGCCCATTCCGGGTGCGCAACCCGGTTCGCTTCAACATCCGCGACCACGAAGTTTGCGCCATGACTTCTTTCGAATCTCTGGCCGACTTACGACACCATGTGATGTCTTATCATCGAAGGCGCGCAATGCCTCATCAGTGCCAGCGATGTAAGGTCGGTTTCCCCACACAAAGATTCTTGGACGACCATTTGATGCTCCCCAAGGATGAAATGTGCGACACAGTGCCGGCGGGGACACCCCGCAATCCCGAGGATGGGATATCTGAGGATGTGGATAAGACTTTGGCCTCTGGCAATGGCATCCGAACCTGGGATGACTTATGGCGTCTGATCTTTCCCATGGATGATCAGATCCCTAGTTCCGGTAAGCAGCAAAGCCGAGAGCCTCGAGCTGACCTGATGAAGGAAGCTATGACAACTAACTCACCATGCAGACTTCCATCCCGTAATCGAACTAGCCGAAGTCGAGCAGCAATTCGACGAGGGCCAAGAAGCGCTGAAAACGCACTTGCAAGAGACACTTCGACTCTTAATTCCGGAGGCCATGGACGACGCCTACCGTAACTTCTTGACCGGCCAACTGGAACTGGTCTTTGAGGCGCACAAAGCCAATACCATTAGGAAATGTCTCCACCGCATTCACGGCAGCACCAACAACGACACCACCGGTGGAGAAAACACCTCGCCAGAGGACAAGAGGCGTCGGTCCTCAAGCGGCGCCGGTAACGTAAACCTAGCGCGCCGCTCAACGCGCAGAAACCGGCAAAGCGCCATCCTTCAGGGTTCTCGCGCCCAAGAAAGGCATTCATCAACATCAGATGGCCTGTTCTCCCCCTCCTTAATCCCGCCGTGGCAATCAAGGCGGGGAAGCAACACGCCCAGTAACATCAGCAACAACAATACTAACAAACCGACATCACGGCGAATGTCAGACAACACCCGCAGCCGACCAAATCTTACCGGCAACCCCCCAACCAGCCCCAGACGTCTCTCCCCCCACCCAACACCCACCCTCTCCGTCTCCGCCACCGTAACGACCAACGAGTCTGACGACGGAGCTCTCAAATCACCCACCACACCCGCTTCCGCTTCCGGTTCAGCGCCTTTCCTCGGTGTCGTGTCCTCGGACAACGGCATCGAACCCTCAACTATCACCCACTGCACCTGCGCCTCCTCCTCCACCTGCCGATGCAACGAACTCCTGGCCTTCGGCATCCACCATAACAACCATTACCACGGGCATCCTCCCGCCCGCCCCAAAACAGCACCAATCCCCTACCGGGAGCGTATGGAAGAACTGTCTGTCCCCAAGCATCGGTTGCGCCACCAGCCTGCTCTGCAAGTCAGGACGACGGGCATCGATCTAAACGGAGGATTGGAGGGGCGAAGGGCTTGGACGGGTGATGTCCGGATGTATGAGGATGATGACAGTGACGATGATGATGAGGATTTAAACAACGTGTTCTTGAGGCCGAAGACGGGCGGGAGTTTGGATTCGGCTTTTCGAGGAGCCATGTCAGCGAGGGAGGTGAGGGATGTGAGGGAGTCGTACTCGCCGCAGAGCTTTAAGGAGAGGTTGTTGAGTAGGGGGGGTAGTTCTAGGGGGTTGAAGGGGGTGTTGGTGGAAGGTGGTTCGGGGGAGGAGGAGGCTCAGACGCAGGGACTAACTGGGAATGATGGAAATGGGGGGAGTGGTAACGGTTCTGAGGAGACGTCGAGCCAGAGGGGGAGTTGGATGGGTTGATCTTGGTTTGACCGAATGAGCTTCCTTGGATGTGAAGAGCCTACCCAGACTTAGCTGGAGTCGTGATCAGAGAGAGTATGGGATTAATCTGAAGAAAGAAAGAAAGGAAGGAAGGAGTATGATAGCTAGTTCTATTGCTCTGAGAGTTTACGCGGATATCTTGGATATTCATGGGAACAAAACAACTTAGTTGCCATTTTTACTAGAAGAATGATAATGAATAATGATAGCTGTTAGCATACAGTCCAACGCTGGTTTGTTTGTTAGCTCGAGACCTCATGTAAACATTCTCAGGTGTTTTCAGATCCGATTCATGCGTGTCGATTTATAATTAAAGTCTGATCGGTCTTCGAGTATCCCAATTCTGGTACTGAATATGTCATGTTAAATCTTCTTGATGCATTTTCGATTCGTACTTAATCATTTCTATACGTCCTTGCAAGTTTCAGGATAGTTCGGGATAGATCTCGTCCAAAATAGCAGGAGTATCAAACTAACAAACAAACCAGCATTAGATTGTAGAGGTTGCGGGTGGAAGTTGCCGTTTGGACTTGGGATGTCAGCTAGCTTTGGAACACCTAGATCTCGAGTAAAATCAGTCATCCGGCAATATCAGACCCATCACAACCAAATGGCATCTGCGATGCATCCATCAAGGTCCTCCCGTCAGTCCTTCATCGTCGGGTTCAATCGTGTCAGCGACATCAACTCTTTAGTGTAAGTGGCCGTCATGGAGCTTCGCTCTAATCTCAACCCAACCGAGGCGGAGTCAAGGTAAGGTAAGCATCATGATATTTTTGCTACTGAAAGCAGAGGTGAAGATGCATTGTTGGTTGGTCGTTGATGAAGTTGCAGGCAGGTTGTTGCTTCTTTCATCAGACATCAGACATCAACAAGTGAAATACTACAGCCCATACAGACCCTTACCCAAATCCTTATTAGCGCTTATCGTTGATGACGGGAAGTTGTTGCTTCTTTCCATCAACACTGGTCCCTCGACCCAAATCCCTTATCGCCCCGTATAGTCGCTTATCGTATACGCGTATATCTCACAAAACTGGGGACCGAAACCGAACCAAACCGACTACGCTAAACCGTATTGGGGTGACTGTTCTTCAACTTGTTCGGGATGGGACTCGGACTGGGACGAACTCAGCCTCAACTCAAACCGAGAAGCGCCAGATCGGATTCATCGCAAAAATCTGAGACCCTGGAATTCGGAATACAATACGCGTATAGCCCGGCAAGGAGGCCCGAGAAGCTTAGCTTGACCATCTTGTCAGGCTTTCCAGTCTCCAGTGAGGACAGAGGACACTAACGGGATACGGAGGAAGTAGGCGAGGTTGTGAGGAACTTGAGTAGAGCTATGCGCGTATAGACTTGCGTGTAGACTTGCGTGTAGATCTTCGAATACGGCCTACCAACGGTCCAAACGGCCCGCTTCTTTCCACTTCCACTTGTTAAGCTTGTCTTATCACTCTGCTGCAGCAGCAGCATAGCCGTTGGTACGGTAGACGGTAGGTAAGGTAGACAAGTCCAATCCAGCCCACCTCAGTCCAGGCAGGCAGGTGAGGTAGGGCAGGGCGGTAAGGTAGCGGGTATCAAATAGCAGATTCGCTGTGCGCAGCAGCGGAGATACTCCGCAATGTGGTTTGGTTTGGTTTGGTCGAGGTTGCGGTTGAGGTTGAGGCTGTGAACTTTTGTCTGAGGATACCTAGATTACGCGTTTAGGTATCCATGTTTCCTACCGACCTCTATGCTTCTGGAAGTACTTGCTTCGGTTTTTCCTCGTAAGGGTTTAAGGGGCTGTGGTACCCTTCAATTCCGAGCTGGAGACGGGACTTACATATATCCTGAAGCGGCGCCGGTTTCTGGGGATGTTGTACTCATCATCATCATCATCAACATCAGTAGCCCGACATTTCTTTCTTGTCCCTCTTTTCTTCCGTCTTTTTCCTCCTCAACCTCTTCTTTTGGCCTACCTAGAAGATCTTTAATCTCAACCGCCGCATCCTCGAAGGCTCGCAACCATGTCAGACTTTGAGTTCTTCAAATATGACCCGTCCCTAGCAGCCAACGCCGTCTTCGTCGCCTTGTTCGGCATCACCGCCGTCGGCCACACGTTTCTGCTCGTTAGGAACAGGACGTGGTACTTTATCCCGTTTGTGTTGGGATGTCTTTGTACGTTTTCATCCGCCGTTGAACGCTTTACCCAACCCGACACTTGCAGTTCGCTAATCATCGATGCCGAACAACAGTCGAAGCGATAGGATATATCGGCCGTATCATCGCCGCTGGCCAGACGCCCAACTGGACCTTGGCGCCGTACCTCGTCCAGAGTCTGCTAATCCTCTTGGGACCTGCCCTCTACGCCGCGTCGATCTACATGATTCTCGGACGGCTCATTCGCATGCTGGAGGCGGAGGCGTACTCGGTCATCAGGGTGAACTGGTTAACCAAGCTTTTCGTCTTGGGTGACGTCTTGTCGTTCCTGGCGCAGGGTGCTGGTAAGTTACACTCCCTACATCATATTGCTAGTCAGCATGCTAACAAACACGAAAAACAGGCGGCGGCATCCTCGCCAAAGCTTCCTCCGCCAAAGACCAAGACCTCGGCAACAACGTCGTCCTGGGCGGGCTGGGCATCCAAGTCTTCTTCTTCGGGCTCTTCATCATCACCACCATTCTCTTCCACGTGCGCATCGCCGCCAACCCCACGCCCAAATCCCACTCCGTCACCGTCCCCTGGCGCCAGTTCCTCTGGGCCCTGTACGTGACCAGCTCGCTCATCTTGATCCGCTCGCTGTTCCGCATGGTCGAGTACGCCTTGGGCTGGGATTCCGTGTTGATGAGGCGTGAGGTGTACCTGCTGGTGCTGGACGGCATGCTCATGGTCATTGTTAGTACTGCGTTTTTGTGGTATCATCCCAGCAGAATTCTGGTTGGGTATAAGCAGGTGGGGATGAGGTCCGTGGATCTAGAGGGAACGACGGTCGAAGGAGAGTACACCATGACATCGTATGGCGGCGGGCAGCAAAGTCCGAGTCCGAGTCCGATTCCTAGCGCCAACCTGAAGGCGCATGACTCTCGCCAGTCGTCGTCAGGGGGGAGGAATAGTTTGATGTTGGGCCAGGGTAAGCACCACCGCCAGACGCCGTCGGATGACGTGAGCTCATACACCCCGTTGCGCAGATGAGAGGATGAGGGGATGAGCGTGGCAGTCGAGGGGGCTTGGTTGAGGTTTGTGTTTGGTACAATTTGGGTATGTTGCCTATAGACGGTGGTTAGGTTTTCTTTTGTCATGAGTGGAAAGACGGACGATTGATGTCTGTTCAGCGGGATGTTAGAAGGGCGTTTGGCGGTTAACATTTTCTTTTGTCTGATAATTGTCTTGTTTGATCGGTAACGAACAGAGAGACGCGAGAAATAATGTGTATAGACTTGGGATATAAATGTCATGGGAGATCAGAATCAACTGAGATAAACACAAACGTCGATCTCAACTCAACGAGCTCAACGGTGGTTTCCACCGTAGCTTGTCATCCCGTATCAGCGCGCAAGACCGCAAACAGCTCTGAAATGCTGTTCATGTGGTTCTTGAAGCAAACATTGGACGGGCAACGCGATGATGTAGCCTCCTTCGTTCTTTAATCCGAAGATCCGGTGCCAGAGATCATCAGTCATAACCGCAGGGTTCAACCACCACGAGCTGCCCAACTCCTCGTCGCGATGTCGAGGTGTTAATAAGATGACTGCCGGCAGGCAAACAGCAAGCAATGAGAAAAGAGCGGTGAAAACGGGCAGAATTCCCAAGAGGACGAGATGATGAAGGTAGCATCGAACATCCGCGACAGCCACCATCAAGCAGAGCATACAGGTAGGAAAGAAAAAAACTGTTGAAAGCTCATGAGAAACAGATACATAACTGTTCCAGTAATTCTTGGTGTTTATATACGTTTGACCTCACGACCTCATATTTTTCTGCTCTCAACGTAGAGTTTACCCCTCAATTCATAGGCACATGATAGCAGCCAGTGCAGTGGTGGTTCCCGCTCGTTGTAGCGCCCAGGCTGCTACCGTTCGTGCCGCGGCGAATTTCCTCAGCTGCAACCCTTGCCCCGCAGCAAAATTTCTAATCTCTTATCAGCGCGATTCCACAGTGGAATTAGATCAAAATCCAAATTTTTTTCTTTCTTCACGACACCTTCAGCTTCTCCCCGGGGTCTCGTCTTTTCCATCCCATCTTCGCCTCCAGTCTCTTCACTGCAGTACTGTGCCCCCCTCCTTCAAAACCCTTGCTATCCCCCCGCGGTGTGCCCGACGGGATCTTGTTCTTCTTTTCCCTTTCTTTTTCTTCTCTCTGTTCTGTTCATCTTTTCTCTTTTTTCTTTTTGATACCCCTTCTGTTCACATTTCCTTGAAGCGCCATGGACAAGCAAACGCTTGCCGCGCTCCTCAAGGAGTCGCAGATTCGTAAGCATTTCCCACGCTTCCCCTCGTCAGCGACAACAATGAACGCGCCAAACTGACTCCTCCTCTCCAGCTGATACCCAGAGAGTCAAGGCCATCACGGCCGAGCTCCAAAAGAACTACTATGTTCACCCCGAGTGCCTTCTCCTCCTCATTGAAGTTTTCGCGACACACGATGACCTCGGCGTCAGGCAACTGGCCGCCGTCCAGGCTGCCAGACTCGTCACCAAGCACTGGGCCAAGATCCCCAAGGCCCAGAAGGTGCAGGTCCGCCAGGTCCTCCTCGAGGCCACTCTCAAGGAGCAGAACCCCAAGTGCCGCCATACCGCTTCCCGTCTTATCGCTGTCATTGCCTGCTTTGACTTCGAGGAGGGCGAGTGGGACGATCTCCGCGACATTGCCATGAACTTGGCTACCAACGCCGATGTTAACCAGCGTGAAGTCGGTACCTACATCATCTTCAGCTTGATCGAGGCCAACCCCACCGCCTTCGAGGACCTCCGCAAGCTTCTCGAGATCTTCCACCACACTCTCCGCGACCCCCAGAGCGCCGATGTCCGCATCAACACCATGATGTCCATTGGTGCCTGCCTCCTCATGTTCGACCCCGAAGAGGATCCCGAGGCCGTCAATGCCCTTCAGACCCTCGTCCCCTCCATGGTCGACGTTCTCAAGCACGTCGTCGAGTCTGGCGATGATGAGAAGATTGCCCAGGCTTTCGACGTTTTCCAGCAGTTCTTGGCTTGCGAGTCTTCGCTGCTCGGCAAGTACCTCAAGGATCTTGTCAAGCTGATGATTGACCTCGGCGGCAACCCCCAGGCTGAGGATGAGGTCCGCGCTCAGGCCCTTGCTTTCCTCGCCCAGACTGTCCGTTACAGGCGCATGAAGATCCAGGGCATGCGCGATGTTGGTGAGGAGCTCACCATCAAGAGCATGGTCATTCTCACTGAGATCGACGACGATGAGGATGACGACGATATGAGCCCCGCCCGCTCCGCTCTCATGCTGCTCGATCAGCTTGCCAGCGACCTTCCTCCTCGCCAGGTCATCGTCCCCCTCCTCAACGCCTTCCCCAAGTTCGCCACCAACCCCGAGGCTGGCTACAGGAAGGCCGGTATTCTTGCTCTCGGCACCGTCGTCGAGGGTGCTCCCGACTTCATCGCCAACCAGATCAAGTCCATCATGCCCCACGTCATCACCCTGCTCAACGACCAGGACGTCGGTGTCAGGCATGCCGCTCTTGTTGGTTTGTCCCGCCTTGCGGATGACATTGCCTCTGAGCTCTCTCCCTACAACGAGCCCATCATGACTGCGCTTGTCAAGAACCTCCAGGCTTCCATGGCCGCCACCACCGATGCCACTCAGGCCAAGAAGAACGTTGAGATCATCCGCTCCGTTTGCGGTGCTCTCGACTCCATGTCTGATGGTCTCGATGCCGAGTTCATGAAGCAATATGCTGGCGAGCTTGTCGCTAACATCGGCGCTCTGATCGGCCACGACGACTACAAGGTCAAGGTTGCTGCTTCCGGCGCTATCGGTGCCATTGCCGAGGCTCTCGGCGAGGAGTTCAAGCCCTACTTCGACAACATCATGCACGCTCTCGGTGCCTACCTCACTATCAAGGAGTCTGAGGATGACCTTGCCCTTCGCAGCGGTGTTTGCGACTCCGTCGGTCGCATCGCCACTGCCGTCGGTGCTCAGACCTTCCAACCCTACGTCCTTCCCCTCATGAAGTCCAGCGAGGAGGCCCTCCATCTTGATAGCACCAGGCTCCGCGAGTCCTCTTTCATTCTCTGGAGCTGCCTGTCCAAGGTCTATGAGAAGGACTTCTCTCCCTTCCTTCCTGGTGTCTTCAAGGGCTTGTTCCACAGCCTTGAGCTCGAGGAGGAGGAGATCAACCTCGAGCTCTCTGAGGCTGAGCGTGCCATTGCCGGCACTGATGAGGAGATCATCACCGGTGGCAAGCGCCTCAAGGTCAAGGCCAATGATGATGAGGACATCATGGACGATGAGGAGGGTGAGGACTGGGAGGACATTGGCATCTCCCCCGAGGCTTTCGAGAAGGAGGTTGCCATCGAGATTATGGGTGATGTTATCACTCACTCTTGCTCCGGTGCCGAGATCAAGGAGTACCTTGAGAAGGCCGTCGAGATGATCTCTCCTCTCCTTGAGCACCCCTATGAGGGCTGCCGCAAGGCTGCTATTGCTACTTTGTGGCGCGCGTATGCCCGCGTCTGGCAGCTTATGGAGGAGGAGACTGGCTCTAACTGGGAGCCTGGTCTTCCCCTCAAGACCCAGCCCACTGTCACTCTTGTCAAGCTTGGTGAGATTGTCACCAGCGCCACCCTCAAGGTGTGGTTGGAGGAGATGGATCGGTACGTACATTTTCTTTCTTTTTCTCTTTTCGATGTTCGAATGATGAGCACCTTTGCGTTAAACCCAGCTCACTCAGAGGCATTAAATGTCGATGCTGAGAACGCGCTACATCTACTCCTGACATGAACATCATACCCTACCTTGTTTGATCAATCAACTTTTGCAGCATGAAGCTAACTGTTGAAAAGTGCCGTCGTTACCGAGGTCAACCGCAACGTTGCCGCCACCCTCAAGGCCTGCGGTCCTGCCATCCTTGCCCAGGGCGAGTTCATGAAGGAGACCATCAGCATCCTCAGCACCATCATCACCCGCTCTCACCCTTGCCAGCAGGATCTTGGTGACGAGGATGAGGAGCAGGAGGTTGAGGGCTCTTCCGAGTACGACTGGCTTGTTATCGACACTGCCCTCGATGTCGTTATTGGCCTCGCCGTCGCTCTTGGCCCCGCCTTCTCTGAGCTCTGGAAGATCTTCGAGAAGCCCATCTTGAAGTTCGCCTCCTCCGAGGCCGAGAACCTCGAGCGCTCCACCGGTGTCGGTGTGATCGCTGAGTGCGCTGCCAACATGGGTGCCACCGTCACCCCCTACACCGGCAAGCTTATGCACCTGCTCCTCAAGCGTCTCTCTGATACCGATAACGAGACCAAGAGCAACGCTGCCTACGCTACCGGCCAGCTCATCCTCCACTCCACCGACAGCAACACCTACCTTCCCCAGTACGAGACCATCCTCCACAAGCTGGCCCCCATGCTCCAGATCCCCGAGGCTCGTATCAAGGACAACGCCTCTGGCTGCCTGTGCCGCATGATCCTTGCCCACCCCGACCGTGTTCCTCTTGCCCAGGTCCTTCCCGCCTTGGTCGATCTCCTGCCCTTGAAGGAGGACTACGAGGAGAACACCCCTGTCTACCAGTGCATCTACAAGCTCTACGAGCAGGGCGAGCCCACCATCAACTCCCTCACTCCCAAGGTCATCCCTGTCATTGAGTCTGTCCTCAGCCCTCCTGAGGATCAGCTCAGCGACGAGTCTCGTGAGCTTGTGAGGAAGCTCGTTCACCAGCTCTACAGCGCCAACCAGGCTCTCTTCGCTGCCAACCCTAATGCGTTGAAGCTTGCTGGCATCCTCTAGAGTTGACGTCGAGTTGAGAGAGTTGTATGATTTGCATAGCACGGACCGGGGTACAGGTGTTTAATTTGGCCATGATTTCGAGCCGCATGAGCGATGACATTAAGACATGATGATTTACAGATGCCATTCAAGGGTTTAATTATGTTCATGCCTGGGAACAAAGGCTGGCACTTGTTTATAAGGGATATAGAGGGAACAAAGGCTGGGAAAAGCAAGGATGTTTGGGTTATGTTTCAAAGATGACAGTTATTTGAACGAGCGTCTAAGATATGATGCTTCAGAGCTTCCAAAGCCAATAAAAGAGCGTAATGCCGTTGGCTATTCTTCACGTTGTCTTCCATCGTCCTCCTGTGTCCATGTCTTCCTCCCACCTCCACCACTTCATCCCCTCCACCCACCCACTCATTCACTTATTCACCCACTAGACATATTCAACAGTAGCCCTCAACACATTCCCCTCCGCCTGATAAAACTTAATCCTCACCGTCTTCCCACTCTTCGCCTTTGCCTCAAACTCGCTCGCCTGCGCCCACAGAGCCTGGTACTTGGCATCCTTATCATCATAATACTTGGGATGCAACTTCGTCAACGGCGCGTCATCGGCCGTGTCGACGAGAACGTCGCACCACCGCTTGTAGTTGTGCACGCCGCAAGCCACGGCGAAGAAGTCGCCCTTGCTGGTCTGGAAGCGAAGCATGCCCGAGGATCCGGACCCCCCCATGGAGAGGACGTAGACGCCCGTGGAGTCGATTTGTGACCAGCGAGTGCCTTTGCCGAACCAGCAGGTTTGTTCGACGAGGGTGAGGGTGTCGGAGGTGTCGTTGATGAGGCGGAGGTGGAGGGTGTAGGACATTTTTGCGGTGGTTTTTGGGGGGGTTTTGGTTGGTGGTTGAGGGGGTTGTTGGTTGGGAGCTAGATGGGGGTGTTAGCTGGATGAGATGGGATGGGGAGGAGGAAGGAGGTGGACAGAGGGAGAGAAGTTGGAGATGGGAGATGGGAGATGGGAGATGGGAGATGGGAGATGCGTTGAGGCTAACCTTGAGTGCTTTGAAAGAAGTTATTCAGGTATCTGGCTTGAGTTGACTTGTTGATGAGTCTGATGATTCTTCTCTTTCAACCTTTGGGAGGGGGAGGAGAGCTACTTTATACTCAACTCCCACCATCACATCTCCCTCTTCCCTCTCCCCCTTTCTCTTCTTTTTTCTCCTCTTCGCTTTCCAGCCCTCCCATCATCGTCCTCCCCTTCTTCCAGGTTGTCTCAGCTGAGAAGTTTCCATTACACATTCGAAAGCCTGCTTCTAGAGTCAACATGTTTCGGGTCGCGACGTATCACCAGACATTTTCCCCTCAGACCGAGTGGGAGCGGTGTCGAACCATGGCCTGGCCTGGTCTCTTTACTGTCTCCGATGATCTGCAGTTAGGTTGGAATGAACATCCATCCTTCTACTTCTACCACCTCTCACTCGTTGGAAGATAGAACGCGAGGTGGGTGATGAGAGGGCTTAGTTAGGGCTGAAGACAGTTTACGCTGGCCTTAAGACGCCTTTGACGCCTATCCCGAGTTCTCACAGACTTCACAAACAGGGGTGGTTGTTGTTGATTGGACTACGCGGGCTACGCTGTGGGCATCAAACACCGACCAATTCGAGAACTAACAGAAGTAAACAACAGGGGTTGGTACAACCTCTCACAAAACTTCCACAGCATGAGAAACACCTCAGTTACAGATTTACAGTTACAGATCGGGCTCGAACCTGATTCCCGTCGGTGAGATAAACGATCAGGGAATCTCCCAATTGCCGTACCCGAGCCGGTGATAAACGTAGAAGATGATCCCGCGTGGAGTCAAACATCGTCAGACATACCTTGCCCATGGGGATGGCGAGATCCATATTTTACTCGTTGTCTTGCTTCTAAGCGCCTAACGAAAGCACATCTCCCTCTTCATAACCGTAGGGAGTGTATTCACTGACTCCTGTGGCTGGCTTTTCTTCGTCATCTTCGTAACCACCTACTGTCAACCTACCTAGAGGTACCTACCGCCCCCTGACTCCCTGCTTACCATACGGAATTCGCTCCGAACCACAATGGCCAAGTAACAACAAGTAACACAAAACACGGTCCCGTCCCGAGAGAAACTTCCAGGGACCAGACCGCCAAAGCCCAACATTACACAAACTGTGGGGTATATGGTTTCACGAAAGAGGGACAGAGCGACGGCCACAGATCTTGTCTTATTCCACTCCCGTAGATGGCGACACCATTTTCCCGTGTGCGAGCTGAGAAACGGGAGATGTACGTAAGAAAGAGGGCTGGCTGGAAATGTGAAGAAGAATGAAGGAAGGTGCATAACTGCGGGCATGCAGACTCGCGGACTTGCCGGCGTGGCTAACCACTGGCTCAACTGTGGTGAAAGAGGGGAAGTTGTAGGGCTTCATTGGGTTAGATTTTGTTAGACATGGGGCTGAAAGCATGGTGGTTGTTTGACGGAAGTTGAGAGGAGTTGGTACGTCCAAGCTTTTCGTGTTGAGTTGAGGCTTTTGAGAGCGAGGTAGATCAACTCAAGTTAACACCAGATGGAGTATCGCGGTACAAAAGAATCGCAGCATTTGAGTGCAAGTGACTCCGGTTTCAGCACGGAATAAATCGATTTGGTAACAGAGTTGAGAAAAATAAGATAAAAATAAACTGCGAGTGATAATGCACAAAAAGGGAAGAGAGCTAAAAGAGCAAAAAGTAAAGAAATTTGCCCACAGCCAGAATCGAACTGACGACCTCATCATTACTAGTGATGCGCTCTACCACTGAGCCATGCGGGCTTTGTGATTTGTTGTTGAAGTAGAGAGCCGGCGATTAGCTCATATCGGACGAAAGAAGGCTCTCCACCATTCATCGCAAATGGACCGAAGAGGATCTAAAAAGATGACAAGGCGAACCAAACCAAAGTGGTGAAATTGTAGTTGATTGGAAGGTTGAAGAGTGGAAGATGAAGTGCCCCGCAGGATCTGGAATATAAAATACAGGATTCAGAAGTATGGTCGGTCACGACTGCCACACCACCATTCATCGCAACAGAAATGGACCGAAGAGGGTGTCACAAACCGCCCAACTTCCGGGCGAATCTCTCTTCGAGATGATAAGGAATCTGAGTTTCAACAATTATTGTATTGCATTAGCATATGTCTGTAGTTCGAACCCTATTTCCCAAGGCTCAGAACCATTCAATGGCTGCTCGTCTGTCTTCCACTTGCCTGCTACCATCCGCAAGCTGGAAAACCAAACACCGTATCATCTATCATCACGCATCCCTCGCACCCATCAAGCAGCAAAACTCAAAGTAACACCATCCTCCAAAGACTCCCAAATCCCCAAAGAACAAAGGTCATGAAATCATCCCAATCCCATCTTTCGAACCCATTTACTTGGCATTGCCAACAGCAGGGTTATGAGGCGCCCGCTTGCCCTCCGCAACAAAGTCGAGCTTCTGAGAGGCGGCAGCGGCCTTCTCGGGCTTGCCCGTCATCGTGGCGTAGATGCCGCCCACGGTGAGGGCGGCGACGCCGGCGTAGCTGTTTCAGCGTGTTGGTTAGCTTGAACTGTACTTTAGTGGGAAGGCTGTCTGAGGACAAGAGAGCAGGTTGTTGGAGTGGAGGGGAGGGGAAAGAAACGTACAGCCATGGCTTGTTGGTGTTGCCCGTCTTGTTGAACTCCTTAACGGGACCGTTGTCGCGAGCGCTATCGGTAGACTCGGTGCTCTTGAAGCGGACCTGTTGAACGCGCTGGGGGCGGGCGCGGGTGACAGGGCGGAGGGCGGTGCGGATGGCGGGAGTAACGCGGACCATTTTGGATGATTTGGGGTTGTTGATTGTGTTTGATGGTGTTGTTGGTTGTTCGAAGTTGGGGGTTTGTTTACTTTCGATAACTGGAATCGAAGAGTTTTCTAGTTGTAGTTGCTTGTAGTTGTTAAAAGCTCGTCGTGTTTGTAGAAGTGGTGATGGCAATTATATGGTTGACCACAAGGGTTCTCGGGGTGTAAGTGAACGCGGCAACTGATGACATCACCATTTCTGCGACTGTGACGCGAGCTCGAACCGTTCGTGCCTGCAGTCGTTGGAGACGGAAACATCGAATGACGAACATGCGGAGGAACTGATCTACTGTTCCTTTCTCTATTCAAACATTATCAGATCAAAAGATTCCGTTGATGGTTCGTATAAAGCTTCTCATGACGACACGATATTGACGAGCAATTGCACGCTGGAGATTAAGAACAGGAAACAAACGCTATCTTATCGATAACCGCTAGATACAGCCCGGGCGCTATCAACCCCGCAACATCGCTGTTCTCGAACAACGACCGAAGTCGACTGCATGCCAAATTCTCACTTCGAAGTTTTTCCCAAAATCAATTAGCGACGGCCGGAAAAGCATGATTACCAAAAGGTCGCGAAAGATACCATGTTGCGAAAACTGAGCAATGCGCCCTTATAAGTACTTGCTCAAAGGCCTGTTAACAACCAACTGGCAGCTTCAGCTGCCCGGCTAGCTCAATCGGTAGAGCGTGAGACTCTTAATCTCAAGGTTGTGGGTTCGACCCCCACGTCGGGCTCAATTCCCGGCGTCGCAAACGCCTTCTCTTTTTGCGTTTTTTTCTTTCTCACTTGCTGTTTCCTATGTCACTCTTCTTTTTTTGCGCCGTTACTGCCCCTGATGCCTTGTGGTCAGAGCAACGAAATCTTCAAAGATACACCACTGAATCCAGAATCTCACAAAGTTACATAGATGCGTCGAACTTCAACATTGTCTACGGATGATCGCCACAGCCCTTGATATTGTCTATCCAACTTCGCTCGTCTACTAAAATCTACTGTACTGCCATACATACCAGTATCAACCACCTCTCACTGCGCCGGCTGCGACGCAGCCCCAGAAGAAGCAAACATATTCAACTGCCGAATAGCCCCCATAGCCAGGATATTATCCTGACCAGGCGCATTCTGCGTGATGCGCGAGTTGAACCCAATAACACTGCGAACCTTCTCAAACGTCAAAGGCGAGATCCTTAGCGTCTGCGTCGACACGAGCCAGCTGACGCCTTCGCTGCAGGGAGGGGTGGTGAGGGACCCGGAGTATCTGTGGACGGGTTGGGTTAGTGATGAGCGAGCTGAAAAAGGGCGGTGGAGAGAAATAGTGGAGGACAAAAAACACGTACCCCTGGAAGTGACCCGACTTCCAGATGTTGACCACCTCGGATAAGACCAAAGGAGGGGTCTGGGTCACGGTGCCGGGCGTGCGGATGGCGTCGACGGTGCCGAAGATGGTCTCGAGAAGGACGGTGGGCGCACCCGAGACGGGGGCGTCTTGCACTGGGGCCGCCGTCTCGTTGGTAGGAGGAGGCACAACGGCTTCTTGTCTTCTTTGGCGTTTGCTTCCCCTGATGCGGAACCTGGCTGGTGCCGGTGCAGCTGGGGCGGTCCCGTTGATGGGGGGAGGAATAGGAGCGCCGCTGGGAGCGGGAGGAGCGGGAGGAGCCGGAGGAGCGATGGGACGGATGGCAAGTGCGGGACCAGCCTCGGTGGCGACGTCGATGTAGGTGCCGATGACGGCAATCTCCTGGTTCTCGGTTTGCCAGACCATGTGCATTTCCACTGTTACGAGGTTGTTAGAGAGCTGCTGACTGCAGGGAAGCGTTAGGGAATGCTAACTGGCTCGGGTCGTTCCATTATCCAAGTGCTCACTAGGCAAATGGAAATGGAACTGCTGCAGAGTATACTGTTTGTCGCCGAGAGTCATCGAGCCACCCTTCGCAATGACCTCGATAGTGGTTCCGAGGTTCTCGAACTCGGTACCCTCGGTGAAATCGGGGATGTCGACCTGGATATCGGACGAGGACATCATGTTGAAGGATCCTTCCGTCATGTCGATGGGCGACTGCCGCGTTCCCGTCGAGCAGACGGTGTTCTCGGGTGCAAGCGAGGACCAGAACAGCGGACCGGTAACGCCAGTGTATCCGAACTTCTTGACTTGAACTGCCTTGCCCTCCTCTCGCGGGTGGAGGAAGGTGTTGTGCGAGCAGAGCGACCAGACGGGCGTCACGGACGCGGCCGCCACCACCACCAACGACTTGAATATCCTGGCCATGATTTCGACTGGAGAGAGAAGTGATTAGGGAGCCAAGTGGGAGGAAGCAGTACTCGGGCTAACGGCAGAAAAAAAAGGAGAAGGACGAATTATGGATATCTATCAGTGGTTCCGGACCTACTGACGTATGACAAGCAAAAAAGTGAAGGCAAAGGGAAATACACAAGAAGAAGTGAAGTAATGGAAACCGAGAGATGGTACGATTAGAATGAAGCAAACAAGAAGGATGACACCGAGAGGTGGGTGCTTGAGGCCTAGATATCATCGCGCCGAGAGTATGCACTGGATGCCATGTGCCTCGCTACCAGTGTCAGTCCAAATCCCTCTATCGTGCGGACCAGTCTACAGCCGAAAGAAGGGGGAGTATCTGGCCTGGGCATCGTGAGAACAAACCCCCTTGTTTCGACGAGGAGGTTCATTGGATTGGTTGGTCTGTCTGGGGAAGCTGGGCAATAGACTCTGATGCAGGTACAAACATGCAGCAGCGTTGACTTGCTTGCAGATGGTACTGAGCTGGGTTGGTCTAGACACTCAACGGTCACTTTCCGTATCCGGGGTCTCTTGGCCGTGTTTGACCCCAGCCTGGGGTGCATCACGATGTCTGCCGCCTTGGAGTTGCTTATTTTCTTGGGGAGCATCTTTTGAGCTTCGGTAGTCTAGGGTCTCTGCGAACGAAAGAAGTCGTCAGGAGTCTAGACTCTCTACCAGGGGATTGTCTCGGTAGTCGCCGTCACAGTCAGTCTTTTGGAGGTGTCATTGGAAGGTCAGGTCTTGTTCTTCAAAGCCTCGATGCATCAAAAAGCCAAGCAGGTGCAATGAGGGAGATTGTGCGACAGCCAAGAGAGCGCCTGCCGTCCTGGCAGTCCAGTGATCATGATGCTTGGCTTTCTTGGCTGTTTGGGCTCTCGCTCAGGTCGTTCCTTCCCGTTCCTTCCTGGAGGCGCAGCTTCATTTTGAAGTAAACGAGTCTACTTATAGAAGCCACTTATATATCAATTGGGAAGGAGGTGCATAGGGTCAAGTACATATTGACAAAGGATCACCAGAATGATGATGAATGTCAACATATTAGGTAACCCAGCCTTACAGCGAGCGCATCCCCAGACCCGATCGTTCGAGACGTTAGGGACACAAAACAAATATTTAAGCTTATTCCAACATCGAACAATGGAGAACATGGATACCTATCTTATCCAAGAAGATCTTTCTGGGGAAGCTCACTTCTTCTTGGGTCGACCATGTTCGTTATGCGGCGGATCTTGGCAGGGGTAGACCCTCGCCTTGGAGTCTCGAGTACATTTCCCGATTGGATCTCACGACGGTGACAGTACTCGCCTACAGGTCGACGGTCCAGAACATGAGCTGATGTCTGAAACGCACGTCATAGCGGATGAGCCCTTGTTGATAACAAGCGCTGTCGCCATCAGTATGTTCCTTGGGAGTAAGAAGGCATGCCTTCATCTTCGTGCACCTCCTTTTCGTGACGTTGAGGTTATCATGGCTCCTGAGTAACAGTGTCAAGTTGTTTTACTGGCTCTTGGCTGAGATATCTATGAGAAAGGACGTGGGTGGCTTGGTTGGCTATGGCAACGAGAGAAGGAAGATTGATAAAACTTAGCACCTGGGACGGAAGAAGTTGAGGAGTTCATGTAAGATCAATAACTTTAGCTTGTGTCGAAGCATGGCGGTTGATGATAGTTAAAGACGTTTAGCGGGATCCTATTGGTCAATTGGCATCTGTAGATCAAATTCCAGTCCCAAAAGATCAAGGAGAAAAGGCTTAGCATGGACTTCTAGAATCGATGAAGATTGACGAATTAATCCCAATTGTGCTCCATCCTCTCCAGATGATATGCAACTTGCATAGATGTGCAACATTGGCCGAATTGGGCTGGGCGCCATGATGCCGTACTCGCACTCGCGATTCCGTGATCAAAGCAGTCTCCTGTAATAGGCCAGATGCCACTCACGTCAGACACAATGGCTCTTTCACCAATTGCTGCGCGTTCCAGTTATCGTAGACTTTGTCATGTCGTGATGCATTGAATGGTGTTGTGTGACGGTGCTGTGCTCTCCTGTGGATGGTAGTTGGTGGTTGCCAAGAACCCAGAATGATAAAAGACATTTGGAGGATGAAAAGGGAAAGAAAACAAACAAAACCCGACGGCTGAAAAACATTTCGGAAGAAACAGTCCCTTTGCATTATCATTGGATGGAAAGGTGCAGCAAGCACGGCAGTCATCCAAGTTCCCGGAACGGGTCCCTGAATCGTGACGTAATGCGATAAGATCGTCGATTGCCCAGAACCTTTCAACCTCCAACCATTGTCTTAACTGTCTACATACAAAACAAAGACTTTCCCTCCATGACACCCTTTACACCACCGACCGCATATTGCCTGGAACTCTAACCACCCAGTCGGTACTGTTCTGGCCCCCCTCACCTCTGTCGCGTGCCCCTCTTCGTCGACAGCAGCAACACCAGAACTTGACCCGACATAACACTAGGAACACTCGACTCCAGAGAAGCAACCAACACAATATATAGCATGGCGTCGTCAGATATTCTGGTTTCCTTCATGGGGGCCGTCCAGGCCGCCATATCCGTACTTATAACCATCTGGATCGGTGTCCTTGCTGCTCAGTTCGACCTCATTGACGACGGTGCTGCCAAACGTCTGTCGTCTATGTGTGTCACCATCTTCCTGCCTTTGTTACTGGTAGCAAACCTGGGAAAGCAGCTCGATTCTGCTACTGCCATGCATTACCTTCCCATCGTTGGTAGGAAAATACACCAACCTCGTACCTTACATCGAAGCCACTAACTGTTCGTGAATAATAGTTTGGTCCCTCATTTTCGTCATCCTGTCCATCATCGTAGGCAAGCTATCCGTCCGCCTCTTCAAGATGCCAGCATGGACCACTCCCGCCCTAGCCTTCAACAACTCGACCTCGCTGCCTCTCCTCCTCATCCAAGCCCTTGATGCCGCCGGAGTCCTCAAGAACCTGACCGACGACCCCGACGTAGTCGAAAAGGCGCGCTCCTACTTCCTCGTCTGCGCCGTCATCAGCAACACCCTAACCTTTGGCTACGGTCCTGCACTCCTCGAGCAAGACGACGGCGGCCAAACCGATAGTGACCCCGAATCTGGACGGGACTCGGGCGAAGAAGACGGAGACAATGGATCCGGAAGCAGCGGCAGCTCTGGTCCCTCCGAGACGACCTCGCTCCTCCCCAAGAAAGCCGTACGCTTCGCAAAGACCACAACCAGACACATCGAGAACGCGCAGAACAAGACTTACAATGCTCTGCCTGGCCCCCTCCAAAAGGCCGTCAGCTGGATCGCGCCCTTCTTCAACCCTCCGGCCCTGGGAGCGTCGACTGGTGTTTTGATCGGCTTGGTGCCTGCTCTGCACCGCATGTTCTTCAACGACTCACAAGAGGGTGGGTACTTCAAGGCGTGGCTTACCACCCCTATCAAGAACACTGGCGAGCTGTTTGTTACCCTCCAGGTTATTATTGTGGGCGTCAAGCTCAGTCTGAGTCTGCGGAAGATGAAGGAAGGCGATGAAGGAGGACGCGTGCCGTGGCCTAGCATCGTGTTTATCCTCGCTTGGAGATTCTTGGTGATGCCGGCGCTGAGTATCCCTATCATTTGGGTGCTGGCCAAGAAGACGGGTCTCCTGTTTGATGACCCCGTGCTGTGGTTCACCATGATGATGATGCCTATTGGCCCGCCTGCTATGAGGTTGGTGGCGCTCGCTGATGTCAATAACCTTCCTCAACAGGCCAAGATGGCGACCGCCAAGCTTCTTACTGTGAGTTCCTTGTCTCTAAAGAATCGACAAAAAAGCAATTACTGACAGAAGCCTAACAGATTTCTTACATTGCTACTCCGCTGATTGCCTTCTCTGTCGTTGGTGCGCTCAGAGCAGCCCAGAATGTTTCGGATGCGTAGTAGATGTGCAAGGTGTTGGTATTAAAACATACTTGAAAGGGGGTATAGACTCTATGATACATGAAGCGAAGATAGTACTGAAACGTTCTTAGACGCATTAGACAATGTTCAAGCGAGCGGTCAGCAATTGCCCCGAAAGCAAGCTTTACATGACTGTACAGATCGAGGACTGAGACTGCTCCTGCTCATCCCGAGGCTGATGCTGCTCATGTTCCTTGGGGTCCTTCACTTCATGATTTTTCTAGACATCGTAAAAAGACATTATTAGCTCCACTAATCATTCATCATATGCTATACGTAAAAGGTATATCCAAAATGCTATACAAACAACAGCCAAATCACCAAAAGAAACACCAAATCAATCAACTCGCTCGCTGGATTAACTGGAGTGTTCTCAAACTTTTCCCGCCTTGCGATCCTCCTTGATCAGATTCGCCGCCCGCTCAGCAACCGAGTAGACAACTGCCTGGATGTTACCCGCCGGCTCAACAGGGAAGATGGAAGCGTCCACGACTCTGAGCTTCTTGGCACCATACACCTGGAGGCGCTCGTTCACGACACCACCCTCATCGCGGGGGCGCATGGCGCACGAGCCGGACACGTGGAAGACGGAAATCTGTCTCTGGCGCACAATCTCCTTGGCGGTCTCGAGGTCGTCGCCCTTGAGCTGCGGCAGGCGGCGACCGGTCTGGTTCAAAAGCTTGCCCATAGCAGTGTCGGGCGCAACCAGGTTCTCGACGAACTGCACGCCGCGCGCGAGAAGCTCCATGTCGAGCTCGTCGTCGTTGAACTTGGGGTCCCACACGGGCAACGCCTTGGGGTCGGAGGACTGGATGTGCACGGAACCGCGCGAGAAAGGAGAGTTCAAGATGGTCATGATGGTCAGGAAGTTCTCGGGCTCGACGGGGATCAGGTGCGTCGCCATGTTCTCGGGCTTGTCGGCGATGTGCACCTGCGTCGGGAACAGGATGTACTGGAAGGTGGGCTCGTTGGGGTTGGCGACGATGTCGCGGACCGCGGCGCGGGCCGGGTTGGAGAAGTCACGGCCCGCAAAGAGTTCCTGGACGCACTCGTCCGAGACGACGCCCGTCTTGTTGACAAGGGGCGTGTAGGCGACCGAGATGGTCAGCTGGCCCATGGGCCCGGAGCGGTCGGCCGTGTACATGTCCAACAACGCCTGAACCACGGCAGGGTCGCGCAGCACGTCGCCGGAGGGAGTGCCCTCGTTGACCTCGAAGGACTGGCACACGATCGGGTGGTCCTGCATGCCCTCGCCGACGGCAGGGTTCTCGATGACAACGGGGATGTCGTGCTGGGCGAGGATCTCCTTGCCGCCGACGCCGGAAAGCTCGAGGATCTGGGGAGATTGGAGGGCGCCAGCGGAGAGGATGACTTCGAGGTTGGCGGAGACTTGACTGACGGTGCCGTTGACGTTGATCTCGACGCCGGTGGCGACGGGCTCGGACCCCGTAGTATCAAAAAGGACCTTGTTGACGTGGGTGTTGGTCAGGATCTTGAGGTTCTCGCGGGCGCGGACCTCGGCAGTGAGATAAGTAACAGCCGAGAAGGAGCGCGTCTTGGTGGCCGGGTCGATGGAGTTGGCGTTCTGGAAGGCGCCCAGGGCCTGGCCGTCGCGCGCGTCCGTCTTGGACAAGAGGTCGAGCGACGCAAAGGTGTCGAACCAGCCCTTGTTGGTGACGCCATACCCTTCGCCGAAGGAGACCTGGACGGGGCCGTCGCCGTAGGCGACCGTGTCGTTGTTGTACGTGAGGGCGCAGATGTCCTTGGTGCTGGCCGAGGGCACGTCCACGGTGGCGAACTTCTTGAGGTAAGGCTTCAAGGCCTCGTAGTTCCAGCTGGGGTTGCCGACGGCGGCCCAGGCGTCGATGGAGGCCTTGGAGGGGTACACCAGCATCATGAAGTTGAGGGCGGAGGAACCGCCGAGCATCTTACCGCGGGCTTGGTTGATGATGCGGTTGTTGAGAGTGGACTACATTACCTACTGATTAGCCCCTGAATTTGCTTCGTTTCGATGTTTGCTGCTGCCACAAAGAAACTTACCTGAGGAACAGACTGGAAGTTCCAGTCGTACTCATCCTTGCCGTAAACGGCGGGAACGAGGCCGGGAGTGAGAACCAAGGGGTCGGTGGTCTTGTCACCACCGGCCTCGAGCAAGAGGACGCGGACATCTTTGTCCTCGGTGAGACGGTTGGCGAGAACGCAACCGGCGGTGCCACCACCGACGATGACGTAGTCGTAGGACTTCTCGAGTCCTGCTAGTGAAACAGCAGAGGCCATGGTGTGATGAGGTGACTTGTTTAGACAATTAATTTCATCAGGAAAGAGTAAAAAGGTTGTAAGAAGGGAAAGGGTTGAAGCTTAAATAGCAAGGGGGGAGGGGGGAGCAGGGGGGAGGAGCTGCGGGCTTGGCGTGAGACCAACACATCACCCGTTCTCATGGAACCGGGACGGGAGGCTTATAAAGTAGGATCACCACCCCCGTCCACCACGCAGTCCTCCGGGGCCCCGGAGGTCACGGAGTGGAAATCATACAACATGAACCCGACAAGAGTGCCTGACAGCCATCAAAACTTCGCACGAGAGCACATGCACGAGCGGCAATCTGCAAGTGCCACGCGAATTCACCCCTGAAACCGGGAGCACACATCGTGCGCATCGTGGGATACGTTTGATAGAGATCGAGGATTTGGGATGCCGCGAGAGGACCCCGAAGAATTCACAAAACGGGACCCCGTCCTTGTGTCGGTGTCCCTCTGTAACGCGGAGTGGATTCCATTGTTGGAGATTTACAAGTCTGTAGACCATGTTCACCAGTCTAACTTGCATCTTTTTGGCTTTTCATGATTGCGAGCGTACGCATGCTATGGAGCAAGTGTGTTGGGGTTGGTTTCGTGGTGGCTTCATCCAAGGATATATGATGGGTTCGCTATGATGCCGTGATGCGGTCTGGCTTGATATGTAGGGATGCAACACGGGGCGGGGGGAAGAATGCTACTACGGATACAAGATACAGATACACGTGTATGACCTTGGAGATATCGTACGCTGTCATTGGGAAGAGGGGAAGATCGGTTTGACGAACGACCACAAAGTGTCTTGAGATTGTGCAGTGTTGCGTTCGGTGTAGTGTAAGAACCCGAGCCGCAACAAAACGTGTGTTGCCTGGGCCCTGGAAGAGCCATGAGAAAGCTTCTTGTTTTCATCATCCAACAGCAATCTCTTGAGAGGGGGGCGAAATTCGATGGCGCAGTGTCCCCAAAATATCGACGAGATGGAGTCAGACGGTCGGGGCCCTGGAAAGTTTGTTGGCGTGATACTTTGGACAGGCACTTTACTGCTTCCAGTTAGTAAGTATGGGTTAGGTAGGATTCTCTCGGCAGGTCAACACCATGAGTGGTGCTTGAGACGGTGGAAGTGGGGCGGCGAGGTGGCCGTTGTTCGAGAGTTCGGATTCGAAGTGTTCTTCTCCACGTTCGCAGTGAAATAGCCTCCAAGGCCAATCAATTCCCCTGTTTCTATCCCCTACGAAGTTTCGCGCCAACAAATTTTCCTCGTCAGGGGTTCAGGGGTTTAGAAAAGAGAAACTCTATTCGCACGTGGAGAAAACTCTATTCTCACCTTAGGTAAAAGTTTCCAGACTTTCACCGATTCTTCAACGGCACGTGTTTTGGTGTTAGAGAGAGAACTGAAGCAACAGTATAAATTCAGCATGAATCAAATCGCCGGTTTCTTTTCCACTAGGCAACCAAAACCCTACGCTGCAATGTAGCAGCCAGAGGGGATAATGGAACTCGACATACGTGTAATATGCTAATCTCTATTCGACGAGGGGGGGAAAGGTCCCCGAACTGGGGGACTTGCTTCCTTTGCCAGTGGTTGTGAGTGGCCAATGGCCTCAATGGCCCAGCCTTTTGTTGCACGGTGAGCCAAAACTTCTGCTAGGTTTGCTGGGAAAGCGGGAAAGCAGCTCGTGGACGCCGACATGTTTCCGTGCCGATCCCACGCCGGCGCCGTTTGAGGTTTCTTGTGAACAGTTTTCCCGGTCTTTTGGCACGTGTCGGTGTTTGCAGCCCGCTCTGCCGTCTGCGCCGACCGCGCGACCGGTATGTACGCGCCAGGCAGCCAAGCAACTTCAGGATTGTTGGTTGCACAAGGCAACAACCGAGCCATGCTGCCGGCATACCTCTACCGCGTATAAAAGTACGCCATCAAGGCTACATACATAAGGTAGATGACTGCGGCAGCACGGATGCGGTCAGCTGTGCCGTGTGCGGCACCGCCAACATCAGAAATTCGAGTTAAATAAGACCTCATCGGACCTCCCTCCAGCCTCGTCCGCAAGCGAACGTCGAGAACTTATGTTTCGGTGGCGCAAACATCACTCCGTGTCGGTGAGTCCATGTCTGAGAGTTTTGGACTGGACCATCTGCACATAACCCGCAGGCCCCGATCACGACGGCTTGAATAAAAGCAAAGTGAATCGGATATAAACCTGGGCGTTCCCATGGCTGTGCTCAGCTCGAGTCCATCGCCAATCTGCGCAGGAGATTATTCAACATTGGGACATCTCAGACATGTCAGTGTCGATACCTTCGTCAGAAACACATGAACGCCTCTCCCACCTCCCACCGCCTCGACCGCCTCGATGCAATCTCTCACCAAAATACAAAGATGGACGAGGAGCACCGCATTGCCGAGCTAACAGGAAAAAGGAATGGGTCCCCTACCTTGGGTTGACCTTGGGGGGGCAAAGACCGGGGATGTGAGTCCGGCTGCTGTCATTAGACTGAATGCCCTCACTGCCTGCCAGGAGAGCAAAAGTGCCCAGGCACTGTCACCTCACTTTCGGTGTGTCCCATGGGCGGGCACAGCGGACAAATTGGGTGCCGGACGCCTTTCTCGTTGCCTTGGTTGCCAAGTAGGTCGTTATTATCCTTACGTAATCGGTCTATATAGAAGATATTAGCACTTTTCTATGCCGGGCAGAGGTCACATTGAGAGCCTTGGCTGCTTGCCTGCTTCCGACACCTTGCGTCCTTCACCGAGACCCTGCCCCAGGCCCAGTCAGGGTCTCGGTGACCGTTCGTTGCTCAGCTTCTGCCAGTCGGGTGTCAGTGTCAAATTGGCAAGTGCCCACCCACAGAGGCCCGCCCTGCTCCTGCTTGTTCGACAAGAGGCAGGCACTGGCGACCCAGGCGTGTGCCAGGATGGCGGAAACGAGTGGGCTATCCAGATGCAACAGGAGGCGGACACCTTCCCGTCGTCTTGAGGTCACCTTCGCTAAAGTTTCATGATCTTCAATCGCCAAAATTGGTTACTACAGCATACCTTGAACATCCGAGTTCTTTCGGAGAACGTTCCTTTGCACCTTCCATTGCTCCAATCCCACACTAGTCCCCTCTTCAACCTCCCTCGTCACTGCATATTCTGTGTCTGGGCACTCGCTGGGCACTACACTCCCACTGCACTCCCCAAAAAGCCAAGACAGGATTCCCAAGGGGAAGGAAAGACCAACATGCGACCCATCACGACAAGGCTCTCCAGGAAAAGAAGCAGGCTGTGTGCTCAGACGTTCTCATATACCGGCCTTCCCGCCCGTTCCCGTCCCATCCACACTCTGACAGTCGCGGTCACGGTAGCCAAACATCCGGACCCGAGTCTCTGGAACAGCACAGATCAACCTGGCCCGAGCCGTGATTTGCACCGAGAACTGAAACAACAACACACCGGTTGACTTGAATCACACAGATACACTCGTTTACAACTTCACTCACTCACTCCACTTTTCCACTTGGAGTCGATAGCACCTGCCCAAGGCAGTCACAGGAAAGAGACACATCACGAGAACAAAAGAAAAGGAAAGAGCAAATGATAGGGGAAACCAGAGGGAAGGAACGAAGAAGGCGCACACAAGACCCAGGAGGTCGAACCTGATTTAAAAAGCAATCTAAAGAAGGGACGGAGACGAAATCTCAAACGACAACAACGACGACGATAACATCATGGAGGCCCCTAAACCCGAAGAGATGACGCACCTGTTCGGTACAAAATACTTCGAGCCCAAGGGCATAGTCATGACGCACTTGGTTATCAACACCTGCTTGGTGGCCTTGACACTAGCAGTCATCGGAATGCGCATGTTTGCTCGATTCCTGTCTGGAGCCAAGCTATGGTGGGACGACTGGCTCATTCTTGCTGCCGTCCCCCAGGGGATCGGAATGCTAATCATTCAGGGCTTGTGTAAGTTCACCACTTTCTCCTTTACAGTGATAATATCTAACAAGTTGCATCACAGGGACTGGAATGGGGGTCGGCTATCCCTTTACAGAAACCTACATGAACCTGGTCCCTATCCTCAAGCTGTTGGTCTCGTACGAACTCATCTTTGCCACATGCATCAGCACGGTCAAGCTGTCCGTCATGTTCTTCTACTTGCGCGTCTTCGTCAACCAGGGCCTGCGCACTGCTACCAAGATTGCCATGACCTTCGTCCTGCTCTGGAGCACAGGCAACATTCTCCAGGTTTTCTTGATCTGCCGCCCCTTTAGGGCTGCCTACGACCCCATGTCTGCTCCGGGCGCCGTTTGCGGTAGCCAGGTGGCATCCTTCATTGCCATCGGTGCTTTCAATGTCGTCACTGACGTGGTTATTTTGACGCTGCCGCTGCCTACCGTCTGGGGTTTGAAGATGAACTGGAGTACCAAGGCCGGTCTGACGGGCGTTTTCTTGATCGGTTTGCTGTAAGTTTTACTATTTATCTTTTTTTGCCTTTTGGTACTAACAAAACATGCAGCACTTCCGTCGTCGCCATCATCCGTATCGTCACCCTCGTCGGTCTCGATATGCAGAACCTCACTGGCACCATGATCTACGCCGATTTCTGGTCTACCGTTGAGCCTAATCTGGCTATTCTCTGCGTTAGTATGCCCATGTTGGGCTCTCTTTGGTCTCGCTGTGCCACCCGTCGAGGAGCCTCCAAGCTGGCTCCCTCGACTGCGGACGGCACGGCCACTTTCGGCGGCACCAAGAATAGCGGCTTCAACAAGCTCAAGAATAACAGCCACTTGGCCGAGGAGGACCACATTGGCCTTGAGAGCCTGTACGCTTCCAACCAGAAAATCCACCACCAGTCCGCCGTGGCATCTTCGGGGGAGAAGCAGCATCACCGTCACCACAACAGGCTGGGGAACCTCAGCAGGGATGACGGGTCGGAGGTTGCGCTGACCCCCGAGCCGGGGTCTTTCAAGGATCCCGGCGTTATTACGGTTCAGACGAAGTGGACCATTTCCGTTGACGAGACTCACTAGAGTATCATCATTCATTTTTGCTTTTCTGTTTCTCTTTCTCGGGTCTCAAAAGTCCTATCATAACATGGACACGGGCGGGCTGCATTCAGTCCTTGCCACAAAAGGGACACACAGGCTTCATTTGCTACGGCGGTTTCCATTTCAGACATTTTTTTTCGGGCAACCTCCCCTTTGATTTACCGGTGTGTATTTCTGAATAGACATTTTCCTTCATCTCTTCATTTGCGAGATACCATGAGCGACGAATACGAGGAAGGCAACGAAATGCCTTCGATCTTCAAGGATCGACATAGAACAACGTTTTACAATGCAATTTCTCTCTCTCACACACACACATGATGGTCAAAATGATGCAGTGAACTTTTGTCTGTCTCGGATATCCGCCTTCGGTAGCAATGAGTGACACGCTGCTGTCTCGGCCCCGCCCGTGTAGCGTAGCAACCCCAGTTCCGTCCCCCCGTGCTGGGTTGTACTCGCTGTGACGCCGTTATCCTCAACGGGAGAGGACTCGAGAATTCGGGACAATGGCGCACGGTAACGGCGTACATACGCCACAAAAGGGAGCGGGAAACACAAAACCAGGGAATCGGTAACGCATGAACAACCAACTACCGAAGTCTCGATTGTGCTACCATGGGACTCACCTATTTCATAGGTTATGAGGCTCTATATACATGACATGATGTCTATATATATCGTAAGTTCCGTAGCCAGTGACAAGTCTGGACTTCTACTCCTTTTCTTAACGAGCGAGGCGTCAATAGTTCCTAACAGTTACGAAATATCATCAGATGCAACTTCCAGGTTGTTGTGGGGTTCTCAAACGGGATGCCCAGTCAAGTCTGGCCATTACGTAACAGCCAGGTCACGGTTAGGGGAGGAACCTTTAAGATGCCAGGCACCGCTGTAATCCAAATGCGCACTAGCGTAAAGGGTTCTGTAACCGGATGGATACCATCACGGGCAGGCGGACATTGCTCCGTCTGTAGGATCCTATCACGAAAGAAAGGGACAAGGGACACCGGTCAAGGGGGGGAGGCACGGCAGTTGAAAAGTCGAGGTGTGCGGAATGAAGTCCAAACACACTTGCACGACAATACACCAGAAGAAAGTGTTCGTCTTTTTTTTTTTTTCGCACACCTCGAAAGTGTAACACATCCCCAAATGTTCGGAACCGAGCGAGACCTGGGAGGTGAATGACATTGAGAAGACATTGACATGTCAAGAGTCAAGACGCCAAAATCTCACCTCCTCCCACAGGTATTTGGGACTTGGGGAGAACCAAGTATTCGGAGGCGAGTCGCGGAACCAGCACACCGGAATAGGATCAAGATGACGGTTTTGAAGCGAGCGAGCTATGGCAGAGAGATGTCCAAATAAGGTTTAAACGAAAATCTGAGACGCAACGGCTCTGCATCCGCGACTGATGATTGGTGAACCCCTGGCAACCTCCCATTCGGCAAACCATACCGAATCAGGCAATGATCGGCCAAAGGTTCACCCTCTTGGCTTGCAGCTGCAAGAGTAAGCTTTGGCAAGTGGCACCAGCTGGCTCATCAATCTGGCCACTGCTGGCTTCATCACCGCCTGTCAAGTTGTCAACTGACACACCTCCACGATAACAACCCCAAGTAGGGATAGCCTCAAACCATTTTATCCCTCGTCCTCGTGTCCTCCTCGTGCCATATCGACCCCCCTTCCCCATCCTCCATGTCCGTCCCCTCATGACTCCATCCACTTCAGACTTACCCTTTCCCCTCCAAAAACACACTGCAAGACCGTCTAAAAAGACTTCACCGGCCACTACGGCATCTCAGACGAGCCACAATGTCGTCATTGCCGCAAAACGGTGGACACCACCACTCGGCCTCGCTCCGGGATGGGAAGGATGCCCCCGCCGCTACTAACACCGCCTTTGAAAGCACCCCGTTGCTAGACCCTCGTCAGGAACGAAGGGTGTCTGCCACACCAACATCATCACCACAAGCATTATCAGCAAGGCAGCGGCTTTGGAACACCATCTCCAAACGACTCGTTTTCTTGCAACGGGATGATGAGAATGAGAGGTCGCCGTTGGAGAAGGATCTGGTGCGGAGGTTGGATGTCTTTCTGTTGACTTTTGGGTGCATCTCGCAAGGTAGGTTTGAAGTAGGGGGATGATGGATAACTTTGTGAGGACGACATGATGTTGATGTTGATGATGATGTTGTTTGCAATTTTAGTGATCAAGTGAGAATTTTCAATTTGTCCAGTTTGTTTAGTCGTAAGAAAAGTCAAAGTTGACAAATTCGGTCTCGATAGATACCTCGACCAAACCAACATCAGTTCTGCCTACGTCTCTGGCATGAAAGAAGACTTACAACTCAACGGCAATGAGTTAAACTAGTGAGACCACATTCACACGTAAATAGTGACACAGCAGAAGAACTGATGCTTTTGTCACATCCAAACAGCTTCCTCACCTTCTTCAGCATCTCCTACTGCCTCATGCTCATCCCCTCCCAAGTCATCATCACCTACGTCCGTCCCAGCTACTGGCTTCCCGGTCTCGAGATCGGATGGGGTTTCGTGACCGCTCTCATTGCCTTCGCCCAGAATGCCCACCAAGTCTACGCCTTGCGAGTCTTGCTCGGTTTGTTTGAGAGCAGTGCATGGCCGGGCATGATGACTCTTTTTAGTCAGTTTAGTTTCCTTGTGATCTTTCTTTATCTTTGTCTTTCTCCATCCCCACGACACCCCTTTTCCGACTCCATCAGTGTGCCATGTGCTGCTACCTGCATAAGGTAGTGGTTCTCACGGCCACTGAAATGGGTATGCAAGGTACGAATGTAACCATGAATGGCACGATAGCTGACACTTTGACTGTTGGGTCGAAAACGAAAAAGTGTACTGGTACACTCCCCTAGAACTCGCCAAGCGCATGGGCTTTTACCATTCATGTCAAGCACTGGGGTCTATGATGTCTGGGGCGCTACAGGTTGCTGTGCTCGAGTCTCTTGAAGGGAAATGGGGGCTTAGGGGTTGGCGGTTAGTAGTTTGTTTGTTTACTTCCCCTTCCTTTTCCCTTCCTTTCCTCCTTCCCTCTTCACCTCCACCTGTATCTTTATCGTACACTTTTCTCTACCTTGAACCCGCGCATACTCTCCCAATCAACAACCCCCTACCAAAGCTACGCATCCAATATCTCACCTCACCCAATGCTAACAAATCCTTCCATATAAAAAGATGGCTCTTCATAATAAACGGCCTCCTAACCCTCCTAATCGGATTCACCGGCTTCTTCCTAATCCCGGACTATCCTAACTCCCCCAACCCGCGCTCCCTTTATCAAACACCCGCCTATTCCTCCCCTTCCTCCTCCTCTTCCTCCTCCACTTCCTCCACTTCCTCCTCCACTTCCTTCATTTCCTCCCCTTCCTCCCTCTTGCCCAGATTTGGCTGGCTCTCCCCAGCACACATCCACCTCGCCAAACAACGCCTCACGCGGCACAACCGAACAGACTCCAAAAAGATAACCTGGCGCGCCGCCAAGCGTACCTTCAGGTTATGGATCTCCTACTTCATTCCGGCGCTGTATATTGCTTCGGTGCTGGCGCCGTATGGGTACAATTACTTTAATCTTTTCTTGAAAGAACTGAAGAGAGAAGATGGGACGACGCCGAGGTGGAGTGTTGAGGGGGTTAATGCGATTCCGATTTTGGGAAATGGGGTGAATGTTGTTTTTGGTGAGTACCTACTTACTGCAAGAGTCTTGGGGGGGTTTGATAAGGTGAAGTGAACATGAGGCTGACTGATGAGTGAAATTGTGACAGTTTGGATTTGGGCGATTTTATCGGATTTGTTGCAGACTCGGTGGACGTTGTTGGTTGCTCAAGGTGAGTCTTCGACGTCCTCCGGTGCAATTTCATGAGTTGAGATGTGGTTGTGCTAAAACAGCTGTACTATACAGGCGTGATCGGACTGATCCCATGCATCATCATGAGCGTCTGGACATCTCATCCGGACACCACACCGGTTTCTGCTGCTTACGCCAGCTATTTCATGACTTATATGAGTCTAGGAACTGCACCGTTGATTATGTCGTGGCTGTCTGATATGTAGGACCGCCCCTTGCTTGTATCAAGCTCGTCGTTTCGACAGGGAAAGACGATAACTGACTAGACCTTGATCATACAGACTGCCGCAGGACTCAGAGGCTCGCACTTTGATAGTCGGCTACTCGATAGCCGGAGTCTACGCCATCCTGACTTGGTCTCAGGTTCTCATATGGCCGGCTTCGCAGGCTCCTTATTGTGCGTCCCACTCCCTCTTGACATTTGATTGGGTCTAATAAGCTGACCTCCTGTTTCACAGACCACTATGCCTGGCAGATATCCATCGTGCTTTGGATACTCGTCATCATCATGTGTTGGATGCTGAATATTATCGATGTTCGTATTTTACTGTGAGTCCCAACACCTGATCATATCATTGGGAAACCCCTGTTTTGAATTGTGGCCACCCTAACTCATTCCGTCACACAGACCGGAACGTCTCGCAGCAAAAAGCCGAGCCTCCCGCCAGGGTCTACTCTCTTCAACCGAGACCCCAAACGACGACAATGAATAATCACTCGCCACGCTCACACCCACTCAAGCCTCAACCGTCTTAACAACCCCCTTCCCCTCTCCCGACTCCAACAGCCTCTGCACCACCTCCAAATCCCTCAACGCCTCCTCAGGCGTCTGATACTTCTCCGTCTCGCCCTTCTCAATCGCCTTGGCGAAAGCAACCATCTCCTCCTTAACGCCGGTGCTCTTCTCAAACTCATCCGTCTTCTCCCCCTCCTTCGTCTTGGTCTTGACCTGGTTGTGGTTCCAGTAGACGGACCCCTGGGTCGTAACCACCTCGATCTCGAGTCCGGACTTGAACTGGGTGCCGAACGACATGCTGATGGTTCCCGACTTGCCGTTGTTGGTCAAAGCAACGGCGTGCACCGTGTCGACAGGCAACAAACGCTCTTCCAGGAGGGCGCTGAAGCCGGCGACGTGGGTGATTTCCTGGTTGAGTTCGGAGAGCAACATGCGCAGGCCGGCGATGAAGTGCACGCCGCCGTCGAGGAGGAAACCACCTTGGTAGGAGGGGACTTTGCGCCCTGTTTTTTTTGTTTGGTTTGTCAGCCTCCAGTCATCTACCCCTACTCTCAAAGATCCAAAGGGAGGAAAAGGGGGAAGGGGAAAACTCACACTCAGTCTTAAAATACTTATTCCCCTCCTCCACCCACCCATTCATGTTCAATCGAAACGTGGTCAACTTCCCCCCGACCTCCTTCACCCTCTGCGCCGCCTTGATCAGACTAGGCGTATACCTGAAATTCTCCGCAACCGCCCACAACGGCTTCTTTTCTCCCCCAAGTGCCTCATAAAACCCAACCAACTCCTTCGCCGCCTCCACATCCTTCGCCACCGGCTTCTCGCTCAACACATGCTTGCCGGCTTTAAGCGCCTTCTGGATGACAGCCGGCTGCGCGAGGATGGGCAAGGCAATGACGACGGCGTCGATGTCGGTGCGGGCGAGCAAAGCGTCGAGGGTCTTCTCTTCGGGCCCGACGTTGGCTTCGCCGGTGCCGGTGGGCACGTCGTAGTAGACGTCTACGGGAGACGAGGCAGCCGAGGCGAGCGTGTTGGCGGAGGATTCGGAGCGGGAGTAGATGGCTTTGAGGGAGACGGAGGGGACGGATTCGATTGCGGGGAGGTGTTCTGATTAGTGGGTTGTTAGTTTGGTTACATTTTTTTGGTTCTGTCACATTTCGATCGGTATTGTCATGATTGGAAGGGTTGTAGATGTTGTTATGTGGCTTGGTGGTAGTGATGTTGTCGTGGTCATGGTGTTGAGCACCATATAAACCGATGACATCAGTGAGGGGTGAAATTGGGGAATCGAAGGTGAAGGACTTACGCTCCCGGGCAAAGATGCCAGCGCCTAGCAGTGCGATTCCGACCATTTTGACAGGTTACAGTGACGATACAGTTATTCTTCTTTGTGTTTGAAGAATTTGATGAGTGCGAGAGCGTCGGTGACGATGTTTTTAAAGACCAAAGATTCCCAAGAAGATGGTTGACGGTTGTGGTGGTGATGCGGGGGCCCAATCTCGAAGAGTGGGGATTTGGAGTCACTATGTCCGACACGAATGGGGGTCAGTGGATGTCCGATACGAATGGGGGTCAGTGGATCACGATCCTTTTAATGTTGATAATCGGTCCGTATCGCCGGTCTCCCGTCCGTATTTCCTGGATTTATAATGCGCTTTCGACCTCGGTACAGCGCAGTCTCCCGTCTTCTGTGTAACTGGTGATGGAGTCCGAGGCGGGCCGTCGAGTCATCTATGACACCAAATGTGCGGAGACGGCGCTGTTACCCCAGGATTGAGGAAGGACTTTGGCAGTTGATGTTCAAAACCTCGACGATCCGTACTTGAAGATCCCCGAGCATTCACTGCCGTGTGCATACAACACGGTTACATATGTTGAATATGTTGAGTGACACATCATCCAGAATTTGGAAGGGAGAGGAGCACGCGATTGCACACATGCTGGCAGGACATGCCTCATCAATACACCTCCACTAGCAAAACATCGCCCTTCAACTATCACGAGGATTTAGAAGTACATTTTCCTCTGCTGGAAATACCATTTCCCCAGTACCTTTAAACATGTGAGCATAATAAAGTAGCAGAAATCACCGTACCAAAAGGGCCAGCCAACACACCAGCAAAAGCAGCAACCCGCACTCCATCATCCTACACTACATCAACTTCCCTTTTCCTTCACACAAATGTTACAAAGCCTCGAAGCATGTCAATAATGTCAGGGTCCATGGTCGATACCCACTCTGGCTCACCCTCTATCTTTGGTTTCTGGTCTTTGGCCCCATTACTCTTGACATCGTTGGGGGTCTGGGGGCTGCCATGGGCAAATCCGTGTGGAGAAGGGGCTTCGATGGTGTAAGAAACAGATTGGTCATCGTGCGTAGCATCTTTACCTCCCATGGGCACGTCGTCCCAGTCGAGATCAATCACGGTGGCTGACTGGTTGATGTTCCCCGCGGACTGTGGATTGAGCGGAACGAGTTCATCGGGCAAGTTCATGCCAGGTCCGAGAGACTGACTGGAAGGAGTCTGATAGAAGACTTGATCCTTTCCGCCAATGCTGAAGGGCGATTTGGTTGTGTGTCTGTTGCTTGCTTCCAACATCATGCCATCGAGGATTGCGAGATCGCCCGCGTCAAATGGGTCATCCCCATAGACTTGGGTTGGCAATGGAAACATGATGCTCTGATCTGCCACCATGTTCTGCGTTGACGCTGCAGGGCCTCTTGCATCTTCACTTTGGGTCTGAATAATTCCCCAAGCCTCATTGTGTGAAGATTGGCTGTCAATGCTGGTACGTTGCCCCTGGTTGGCGGTGGTTGTTGCGGTTGTCTTTCGCTGCACGCCAGCCGCAATATCTTGAAACTCGTCATCATCAAACGAAAGGTCGATGTAATCAAAATCAACTCCGTCGATGGTTTGCTTCTGCAGGGGCAGTTCCAACTTGGGCTTCTTGTTAACCGGCTCATAGGGCTTTTCGAATGCCTCCTTTTTGGTCGCGGCACGTGGGATTGTCTTGTTGACGGCCACTTGACTTCCCGCTGATGATATCTTGTTCAACGCGTCAAAAGACGATTGAGTCAGTACGCCCTGAGATTCGCTCTTCTGATCTCCTTGCTCTATCTCCTTCCGCTTTTTGGTAGGTCGCTTTCTTGGCTTCTCGATGCCCTCTTGACAACACTTGTGGGTACAAGGCTTCCCCGATTTCGTAGGTGCTCCTCCACTGCAAGCATGGTTGCATTGCCATTTACCGTTTGGCAATTGCACAGGCTCACGGTCTAGTATCTGGCTGTTCTCCATGTCTCCCGAGTCATCGGCCTCATTCGCAGCCAGATGCCTATCAAATTTCTGATGCGCTGGCTCGCTCGCTTGGGTCACAACTTCCATGAGCTCTTCCACCTCAGGATACTCGTCGGGATCTGATTCTGATTCGTACTTGGCTCCATGAATGGCAGGAGCACAGGAAGTTGCTTCATCAGCTGCTTGGAGCAGGTCCGAGTCGTCTATTCCATCATCATCCAGGTATTCTTCGGCTGTTTCCTTCAATAGCCGCTGCGTTTGCCCTCCGTTTGTGGGAGTTGTTCTGCCCTGCCGAGACTGCTGGGATGGAAAAGCTGCTAGGGGTACCTCGTGCTTCAGAATTTTCGAGACGAGTGTTCCAACAATTTCCTCGCAGCTGAGATGGCAGATAATACGCTCATCCGGACTTTTTAACGGAACAGGAAATGGAAGTACGAGCCCGATCTGTTTGTCGATCTTCCTGAGACTTCCGCGCCAAAAGTATAGCAGATTCCCATTTGAAGACTCGATCATGAATGTAAGCATCGGGCACCTGCCCAGCCAGTTTGGGGGGCCGTTCTGGTTGTGGTATCGAAGTGTGGCTTGAACGTTGAGTGTTACGTCTTCATTGCGCCTCTTGGGGGTGATATATTTGACGACCGACACCTCAATATCAAGACGAGGGAACTTGTCAAGATCTGCTTTCAGCTTCTTTCCAAATGGCGGCTGCCGAGACATGAGCCGTTCGAGTTCAATGCCTTCTTTCTCTGCAAGCTCCAACACTGTCCGAATGCCCTTGCTTGCCAACTTCCTCATACCAACTGGACCAATGTTGGGAATCTGGGTGAGTTGTGTTGGACGACCTTCCCAAGACTCGGCTGAAAGTGCCCTAGCCAGTTCCAAAGCGCTCTTCACTCCGGGGGCATCACGATCAAACCCCTTGCAATCAATTACAGCACGTGCAAGGCGCTGGAGTCTCTCGAATATCATCTTCTTTTCCATCATGAGCTGTCGTCTGAGCTTGGACGCCTCAGTGGAATCTGGATACTGAACACACCCAAGATGAACCTGCACAATCAGGGAGATCTTGTGTTGAGTATGCTGGACTTGCTCTTTCACTGGATACATAATGAGCGGGTTCTTGTTGATCTCCCGGAAGAGTGTCCTTTCGGCGGGTTTTATGCGAAACTCTTTGAACTCTACTGCTTCAGCGAGAGCAGTGATCTGCAATTGAATTAGCTATTTGTTGTAAACATCTTTGAGAAGATAACCATACCAAGGCATCAATGCCAGCAGCTCGCGGAATCTTCAATATCAACTTCATCGTCTCGAACTCCACCATGTACTTGGACATTGCACGGCCATACTCTGTACACTTGAACTTTGCGTCTGCAGTCACTAACTGGGTGTTCTGCAGAAGCTTTATGTCACGCTCGCAAATCTCTTCGAGCTTGTCGTCGATCTGGGAAGGATTCGAGATGTCACCTGTAAGTCGGTAATGATCAGGGTTTCGTCTGAGACGAACACTCAAGAATGTCCCACCAAGCCATAACTTTGCTGAAGAAAGATCACTGATTGTTCCAAGACATATCTCAGAGTTAAGGTGCTCGATGAGGTTGAGATGCAGGGTGCTTTCGAGTATTTCCCGACCGGAGACCATGTTTTCGTAGCGTAACTTGTTTGAAGCACGCGTCAGAATGACAGCGGTAGCGCTGGTATCAAACTGCGGTCGGCCCGCTCGTCCTAGCATCTGCATAACCTCGAGATCCGAGTACTCTTGAAGCTTGTCGTCCATGAAAGCGACGGTCCCTTTCATGACGACCGTGTGACAGGGGAGGTTGACGCCAACGGCCAACGTTGATGTGCAACAGATGACGCTCAAATCCCCTCTCAGAAAATGTTGCTCAATAGCAACTCTGTCTTGGACGTCAAGACCCGCATGATGGAAGGCAACACCAAACTGAACAATTTCCTGCAGTTCGCGGCTGACAACAGGAATTCTCTTTTTTGGAATCGGCCACAGGCTGTTAGTTTCTGACAACGCCGAGGCATACTCCGCCAGCATGGTGGCCGTAGACTCGCATGATTTTCTCGTAAAGCAGAAGACCAGAATCGGTTTCCGTTGACTGTGCTTAGAGAGCAGCATGGGGAGTTTCGAGTCGAGAAACTTGTCAAAGATGAAGTCATTCCCATTGCATTCGTATCCGTAGACATACTTCTGCAGCTTGACAGGACGAAATTCCTCACCAAAGACCTCACGGTGAGCAGGGAGCTGTTGAGTCGTGTGATTACGTCCCAGCCACTTTGCAATGTCATCTGAGTTGGGAATAGTGGCGCTCAGTGCAACGAAACGAACATTAGCCCCAATAGTCTTCATCCGCGACACCACAGCCTCAAGGGTAGCACCGCGGACGTCCTTGAGGATGTGAACTTCGTCGATGAGGAATAATTCGACAAGTTGGAGAAGCTTGCGATGGTCCTGCCACTTGCGTGTTATGGAATCCCACTTCTCGGGAGTGGTGACAATAATGGAAGCTTCCCCGACTCTCCTCATCTCGGCTTGGGAGGTGTCGCCGGTCAGCTCAGCACATTTCAAGCCCATATGGCTGAATTTCTTCTCCCAATCCCTAGCCTTCTCGGAACAAAGAGCTTTGGTGGGAGCTTGATAGACAATCTTGAAGTTCTCGTTGCCTCGATCAAGAGCAAGTTTGCAGATGGCGAGTTCCAGGATGGCTGTTTTGCCGCTTCCTGTCGGTGCAGATATGACCACGTTGTCGGTGGACCCATAGACAACTCCGAAACATTTCGATTGTACAGCATTGAGCAATTCGTAAGGGAAGACTTCCTGAAACCTGCTTGGCAAGGCCTGTCGTACACTCACCAGCCGTATACCGTGAACAATTGGGGTCGACTGAGTAGAATCTGTGTGGGTAGCTAGGGATGGCTGGGATGACTGAGATGCTTCCATGGGTTCTTCGACCACATACGACATCTGACGGGCGCGTCGAGAGGCACTTTGCTTTTTGTGCGCGCTGGCTCGTATGGTAGGACTGGAGCTACTGAGGCTATGAAGAGTGTCTTTGGTGGGCGCTTGACTCGCGGGGCTGTGTGCGTATGAAGCTGCTGGGCAATGTCAGACCGACCACAAGATATCTGATGGGGGAACAAGACCAACCGGAATGCATCGGAGGCGTTAGCTGCTGGTGTGAGCCATACAGTTCCCTGAGGCGATGATTTGGTTCACGGCTGATAATTTCCAGTGTCCTCGGAGTCGGGATGAGGTGATCATCGGTAACAGGTACCATGGTGGAGGTAGGCGGGCCAGCAGACATGGACTGGGACATAGTGGCGTCCATATACGAGCTGTATCCGGGGGAGATGTGAGGCCGGGCATGTCTGCTAAGATGCGAGAGCGCAATTTGATATTGTTCGTCGTCACGAGTTTGCGGGGCAGGATGGGCAAGAAAATGGCGATCTGGGATTTGTCAGACTCTGGCAGAAAGCCATGGCGTAGAGTTCAATAACATACCGAAATTGTCTAGCTCGTCTGCATATGGCTGAGGTGGTTCGGCATAGTAGCTTGTTGGTGGCCCAAGCTGTCCACGGTCGTGTTCATCACGATAGCGTTCCGGGTAATAGCCCGGACGAGGAGACATGGCAAGTTCGTCGCGGTCATCGAGGATATCGGATCTGTGTCTTTCTCGCTGTCTTTGGGCTATTCTTTCGCGCGCCGACTCGCGCCAACGTCCCGTCATGGTTGCTTCACGTTGTGATCGATGGGGGTTCAACGATGGCACGACGGATTTGAACAAACGACAGCAAGTAATGCGAAGTGGTAACGAGCGATGGAAAGTGAAGCTATACAGACAAAGCTCATTTGGGGGTCGAGGCGGGGTTGAGTTGACACAATTCTGTGCGTGGTCGAAGCCCTGAGATGGAAGCCACTCCCAGAAACGGAAGGAGCTTCGAGCACTCGCCGGCGTGACGCAGTGAAAAATATTTAGTAAGAAGACGGAAGGAACAGTTGAGCCATGGACGGAAAGAGGCAGTGAGAGATGTCCGGGACCAACCGCGGACTGCCGATGCGGCGGGCAGTCACATCAAGCAGCGAGGGCCCGACGACGTGCCTTCCCTCGCGACACCGATCAGGAGGTGCCGTTTGGAAATTGCCCACCGCTCCTTCCGTACTGGATGCCCAACTAAAAGATTGCCCAGCCAGACTTTGAATTTGACGGGTGAACTGCATGAGGCGACTGACCTCCTCGCTTGATCCAAGAGCACCGAAGTTCAGGTTGGCTCATGACAGGACTGGACAATCATAGGAGCGTGAAGTGAGAGAAAAGAATACTTGTATACAAAATGTAGTGTAAGACTACATGCAAGTCCCTTCCAGTTTTTCAAGGTTCTTGTTGTGAACGATGGCATCTGGTTCCTCCCATGCCTGGAATAAGAGAAACCTGCGCACGCCGAACCCGAATACGATCCTCTTTCTTCCAACTCCTTTTTCCCTCTAAGCATCGGTCGTGTATCCAGAGCGCCGGTTCTGCTCGCGCAGATGCATATACAAACCCAAAAAGTTCATGTCCTGGTATCTCTCATTTGCTCATGCCATCATAACGAAGCCTCCATCAATCCCAAGTTCCCAAAACAGGAACACATGCGGTGATTCCAGAGTGCCTGTAACATCAAAGCAGCCATTGCCTAGTAGCCTCGGCATGTCGTTTGTTTTTGTTTGGGCGGACGACCACTTTCCCCACCTTGCAGCCGTTCCCCAGAGTGCACCCAACGTGGGTTGCTTCCACGTTCAATTATTTGTTCGCTCGTGTACCGTCGTTAGATTCACTCGTCCAACAACTTGCCCCTAGACGATGGTGTACGTGCTAATGGTGATGGCGAGGAAGGTCTTGAGGTTGCCTTGGCCGAATCCATCGGGTTGACATTCAGCAGGTTCTGGTCCAACAATCTCGGAGTACGATCGATCGTGGTCTTTTCGTAGTCTACAATGTTAATGGGAGGAGGTCGAGACCGCTTCCTGTCGGGTGTGCTGTAAAGGTAGGTAGATCCGATCACAAGGGCGGTACCAATAATGAACTGCAGAGAAGGAGTTAGCGCCAGGCGGGTAGAGTCCATTGCAGGGAGCAAAAACATACCGAAGAGGTCATATCAAAGTTAAAGAAGAAGACGCTGAACACGCAGCTAATGACGATGCTAATGCTGGTAGCAAAGTTCTTGGCGATGTTGTCGGCGTAGTTGATGCAGATGGAGGATAGCAACCCCCCAACTGCCTGGAAGACAATGGCCGTCCAAACGATGCCGTTGTACCCATCAAAGAACCCGTGCTTCGCGATCTCCTCGCCATCGTTGTAAATGACCCCGACAAAAAGGGCGGGGAAAAGCGAATAGAAGGAGAGCTGGATGTTCCGAGTCCACACAGACACGTTGGTCGAGGAGTCCTTGAGAACCTTCTCAAAGTAGACACCGGTCACGCCTGAGACGACAGCAGCGACCAGGCAGGCGGTCAGTCCAGCGGAATAGTTCATCACCAAGCGGCCGCCATCTAGGTCCTCCTTAATACCCTCGTATGTTGCCGAGCGCTTGGTGAGCTCCGTAGCCAAGCCTTCCATACCCCTCTTTGTCAACTCGCGCGCCACATCAAAGGTCGCGCCAGCGGCTTGGCCCAGCTCGTGGACGGATCGAGGGAAGAAGTGGTCGCTGAAGTCGTGGATCGTCAAGGAGTTGTCGTTCGACGATGGGAGGGAGACGATGGAAACGCCGAAGGTGAGCACGATGAGGGATAGCCAGCGCTTGATGCCCAGTGTGCGGCCGAGCATAACCACGCTAAAGAAGGCGGTAGTGATGATCTAAATAGTGTCAGTTTCTGTCCCCTCTAACGCGCTCGTGACCCAACGCATCAGGGCACATACCTTGAGTTGAAAGAGAATCTGGAAGTGGACGGGATCCAGATTTCCCAAAGCTACGTATTGCAGCGTGTTCTCGAGCGTGTACAGCACGGCGGGAATAGCCAACTTCCATCCATCTCCAGCAAAGACCGAGTTGTAGATTTGTTCCAGGATGACCGTCAGAGGTGTTTGCGGAGCTAGGGTATTCGAGACTTCGTAGATGGAGCAGGTCAAAGAGATGGCGAGCTTGATGACTTCGTTAAGGAGGACGGCAGTCGAGGCAAAGTATCGATGGTCGCCAGGTGGTGTCATGATTCGCGAATAGTGCATGATCTGTTCGGACCGTGGTGTTAGTCGATACCGCCACTGAGGGCATCCGCGCCAGCTTGGCCAGCAAGGTACACATACCAGTATAAGTGCCGAGTTTTGGAATGTCAACTACAACACACGTTCGGTCGCGTTAGCAAATCTCCCGCCTTTTGACGAACGAAGCCGGACAGGTCTCCTACGGTGATCAATGAAGCCTGCTTCATAGGAATGCCGAACAGAGTTGGACCGCTCGCGGCGAGCGCGGGCGGGGTGGCGGACGGAGCCATAATGGCGATCGGTTCGGCGAGGGCGACAGCAACCACTCGTCAGTGCAAGTGTGGTGGTAGTGCTCGTTGCTTCGATCGGTAGACGTGCAGGTTATATATGAAGAAAAGAGGATGAGGTTGTTGCAAAGCGTGCGCGAGTAGCGGGCGACGGCGTCTGGCCCTTCTTGAGGCTCCCGGGGGGGTTAGTCAAGGGTGGTTGGACCTTTTGGCGATGCTGTTGGTTGGTTTGTGACCACAAGTGGGAATACCGACGTCACGGGCACGAAAAAAGAAAAGCTGGAGCTGGAGATGCCAAAGAAAATGGCCAGCCAACTTGATACGTAAACGTTCGGCAGCACGGTCGCGCTCGCATGGAACCTTGTACCCCTGGAAGCCCTGGCACTCTGGTCTGGCATTCTGGTCTGGCAGCTCTTGCTCCGTTTGAAGCGGATGGAAAGTCTCAAGCAACACTCCTGCCCTGCGAAACTCGATCAAATGGGCGCATGAAAGGTGGCCCTGCAACCTCGTCAAGTCCTGTCATACTTTGTGCACCAACACCAGTGTTTGGTACGATTCGATGCAGCTTTTGGCTTGTTACTGGAGGAGAGGCGGAGGGGGAGTGCGCCGTGCAGCGTTGTGTGCAGTATTGACGTAGGTATGTATCTATTCACCTATTTCGCTCGGGGATTCTCTCCCTGCTTGGCTGTTCGCGGACACCAACGACCAGCAACGACCGTTTTCGTCGACGGTCTTGTTGTCGATACCAACACTCTTTGGTCAAGAAACAAAGTTCAAAGTCGATCGTTTTTGTGGTGTGAGGATCGTTGGTTGTAATGGCGGCTGGTTGGAAGAATGCCCGTGGTGCAAAATTCACAGCGGGGGGCCTTTCTGAAGTACACCTGTGGTGCATCTGAAACCTAGGCCGGAAAAGTGTCAGGTCGACTGGCTACCCTGACTTCCATTTTACTTCCATTCTCAAACAAATGGATGTCACAGGTCACATCATCTCCCTACGTACTTAAGAGATGACTGATCCAGACACTGAGCAACTGATCAAGTTTAAATTTGCACGTTCTTTGGTGTTTGTTCCAGAAGGAAACTCACGATCGCCTTTCCGGGCCAGCTTTCAACTCGGTCGCCAGGAACAGTCCACCGCTCACCGCCTTGGTACGTACCTTGAGAAACCTCCATTCAGATGCATCTGATTCCCCACAGTAGAAGCAACCTAATGCGCAGGGGCAGGGGCAAGCGCATCTCCAATCGAACTCCACAACAAAACACACCCAACATCACCACTCGCACAATGTGACAAGAAGAGAACATGTCAAGTTGACAACATGACAACATGAGAGGCCGCCATCTTGTCTTTGTGGCTGGCACCCGTGAGTCGTGACCTCACTCGCCAACGCTGTGTAACTACACACTTTCCAACTTTCACAAGGCCACAAGCTCTTTCTTGAAAAACTTCCCAAGATCGGTGATCACAATCAAGAAGACATCGGCAAAAAAAAAAATAGTCGGCTCGCCGGCCAGCCGCTAACACCAACTGGAAAGAACACTCGGGCCTCCCCCGCATTTCTCTCGGTTCCAGATCCAGTGATTGGAGCTTGCCGCCCCTTCTTCCCCACAGCATCTGCAAGTTTGGCCGCTTGGCCTGCTTTGGTGTCCACCTTGGCAATCGATTCCATTCAGCTGAGCAAGTCCAAAAAAAAGTTCTTGCAACCCCATAACAAAACTGTGATCGAGGATGGAAGCGCGGTCAACAGAACGGAACGGAACGGAAAGCCGGCAAGATCGCCGAAATTGGGCTGCGATCTCCAGCTTGCCTTGTTTTGTTGCTTGTTGCACCTCGGTGCCGGTGCTCTCTCGGCCTCATATGTGCGCGCGACTGCCCCGGACCGGACCGGAAATTCCACTTCTGCGGTTGATATCCGGAGCCGGGACCGCATCCCCGTTTCCCGGTGTCCGGGGATCCACTCCGGCCATTCCCCGACCGCCGGTCCGTCTTAAATCAGCCGAGTGCAACTTGGTGCCGTACTGCCGTATACAAGATTGAACGGTGTCCGATCCACAATGTTGTGAGTACGATTACCTGAACACCTGAAGCTCACTTGAAAATCCAATGTTTTATGTCAAATTATGTTCCGCCTGTTATACTTGAACGACGCTGCCTAGACTGCTTCATAACGTTTGTGGTCATGATGCGGTTGAACCAGAGCGCTACACCAGAATCACCTCCAGCAAAGATATATGGTCCCCTTCTCCCCATCAGAATCAGAACAAGAAAGCAATCTCCCCCAGAACTCCCGGCAATCAATCCTTTTCCATATCATTCCATCTCAAGAGCCGATTCACCAACCCAAACCATGATGCTGAGGACCCAAACCATCATGCTGAGGACTCTCCATCTCGACAACCGAGACATCAACCTGAGGATCTTTCATCTCAAGAGCCGAGTCATCAACCTGAGGGCTTTCCACAACAAGAGCCGAGTCATCAACCTCAGGATTTCCCATCTCGAGATCCCTCCGGAGATTGGAAGCCACAGCAGCCGCGGCAACCGCAGCAGCACGTCTTTGTGCTGTAATGCCCATGAGCTTCTGGATGCAAACGGACATATCACGAGGCTTGGCCCTGTCATGCGGATTTAGGCGTAGCATAGGCCGCAGTAACCCCAGCTTCTGATTCTCAAAGCTGGATACTTCACCGGTGGCTTGCTGGAAAGCTGCCTCGACAGCTTCCGAGAAGAACCCTTGGTCCACCTTATCCCACACGTGCGGCATAACCGTTGCATGCGGTCTTTTGGTGACACATATCATAGTCATGGCCAACGCCCACACATCGGCTGACGGTTGCGTGCCGCCCTCTTTTTCGTCGACAAAGTCCGTCCACTCGGGTGCACGAAATAGCGGCCTGAAAAACCCCTCTTGGCCAACCCATGATCTTCCACTGTTGCTGAAATCAGCCAGTCGAAAGTTGACATGGCCGTTGCGGAATCGTTTGTACAGAATGTTACCCGGCTTGACATCCTCGTGGACAATGTTCCTTGCCGCCAGATAACCAAGTGCCAAGGTCATCTGCAACAAAAGCGAACTCCACAAGTCTTTCGGTACCAAAGGGCGTGTGATGTCAAACTTCAGGCCTTCAATATCTCTTCCGCCCATCCAGCCCAAGTATACGTCGTTTGTGAACGAGTTCAAATCGTGGCCCAGGTACTCGACGATGTGAGGCTAATATGAGACCAGGTTGTTAGCATGATCTGCTCAACTCCCAGTGACCATACGATGTGGGAACTCACGTGCTGCATCAATTGTAGTCGCTTGATCTCGTTTTGGGCTGCTTTTCGATTGGCCCATGGATTGGACTCGGTAAATCTCTTGATGGCGACTTTTTTGCACGAGTCCGCGCCGATGGTGGTACCACTCGTTACCATAGCCTCTTTGCCTATGCGGCGATGTTCCGAGCCACCCCAGTAAACATTCGAGACCCGGAGGTAACCAGGTAGATCGAACGTTGGGCCAGGTAACAAGTCTTGCCTGTGTTTCAGGAATGTCGACTTGAGCTTCTCCAATATCTTCCAAATGGGTTCATCCTCCCATACAACGTCAAATGTATACCCAACCTTCACTCCGCGATGTCGAGTCTTCACCGTGAGCCTGTAGTCTCGGCCGGGCATCAGGGCCACCGACTGTCCCGAGTTGATCCATTCACCTTGGAATATAGGGGGATCAGGACCTTGAAATCCAGGTAGACGGCCTCGGGTTTCATGGTGAGCGACGAAGGCGCTGTATGTTGGTAGGCTTTGACCGACACGTATGAGAGGTAAGTAGGTTTCGGGGTTGATCACGACCGAAAACAACTCCGTAATCATATCGGTGGGGAGCCAGAGATCGCCGTGTTCGCCAACTGTAACCACGAGATCGGCGCTCCTGTGTGGCGTTTCGAATCGTCGTACATGGTAGCCGATGTCGAGAAGGAGCGCACCTTGGTCAACCGTACAAAAGGGCCGATTATTTTCATAAATATCCCAAGGCGGACTCAGGCCTCCGTAGCAAGTTCGGAGACGAAAGATTGCTTCCGGGTGAAATACGGATGGGACGGATGAGGCGGATAAAAAGGCGAGCCACGGGGGAGGAGATGGGGTGGATGAAGAACCGAACGACTGACGAGATGATGCCCAAGACATTGTTTCGGTACCTGAAAATATGTGTATACGTTATGAAGTGGTGAGGCCGATTTCGTCGCTGGTGTTTCCAAGAACAACTTGCTCGACGTTAACCTGGGGTCCGTTGCCTTATGTACGGGTAATTGTAGACGTGTCCGAGGGGTTGATGCTTTGTGAAATGTGAAGTCGCGATGGACGAGCTGAATGAGCCATCAAGTATGAATCGGTACTCACGATCTGTAAAGCCCTCTCAACCTACCATGTTAACCATGACTTACCACGCAGCAGGCGCACTCGAGCCTTCGGCAGTAGTCACCGCTGCGGATTTTGTACAAACGGTAGAGACGGCAACTGGAGGCCAGAATGGAGTGAGTGAGAGGAGAGGGACCAGGCCCGTCACCATGGAGAAGCCGAATTACTGAGGATGTGTCTCAACAGTTTCAAGGACAAGAATACAGGAACGCACAGAGCCAAGGGACTGCTGAACGCTCGAATATCTCAACTCCCAAATGGAAGTCTTCACTTGCCTGACCAAGTCGTATGGCGTTGGCCACTTTTCCATCAACATCGCAAGACGTACCTACCTACCTTCCACATGATGTATATCTACAAATAGACAAACATGTGGAAGGCAGTCACGACAGGCTTCACTTGAACTTGAAGCAACAGTAGATAACAAAATGCAGACATGAAGCCAAAACATGATGCTTTCCCTTCTCAGTCACTTCCTCTTCGCCCTTCCCCGTCCTGCCGAGCGGTCATGGCGTCCACAGCCACGACACGCGATATCCTCTCCGAGCACCACCCACTCCGCCTCCTCCTGCCTCCGTTGACGCTGCGACTGCGATGAATGTGATGATGGGGAAACTCAACGTGCGGTCGAGAGGGACTTACGATGCCGCCTGCTCCATCATCTATTTCTGTACAGAGCAATAACGGTATGCCTACGGGTAGGCAGCGGGCGTTGAGTAGAACGATAAGTATGAGGTCGGTACCAGGGCAGTCCACGGGTCAGGAACAAGGGCAAGCGCAGGGGCAAGAGCTAGCGAGGAGTCATACTCATGCGAGGAAGTTGTCGACGAACTCGTTGAGGGCGTTTAGGTTGGGTACTACCGGTGTCGGGGCGAATGGTACGGGGGAGAGGGGGAGGATGAGTACGAGGATTGTTCCTACTTTTTGAATGAGTGAATAAAAGAAGCATGCGGGGTATTGCGATTTGATTCATTGTTAGTTAGCGACAGTTATCGATGCTTTCTTCTTGCGAAGTTGTTTCACGGTGTCGACGATCAAGAAATGAAAAGGTACTACGTGGACCACATTTGTGGGTTGATTGATATGATACTGAACCTGTTAGAATTTAATATCCACAACTGGTCCGATGGTGTAGTTGGTTATCACGTCAGTCTAACACACTGAAGGTCCCCAGATCGAGCCTGGGTCGGATCATAAGAACTTTTCTTTTTTTTTGGCATTTTTCACGACATTTCCACTTCTCTTTTTGTTCTGCTTGTTTTCTCTCCAAGGATGGATGCACCAGGAGACCAGTTCTATGACATTCATTGTCTGGTTATTTTTTTTTTGTATGGTTATGGTCATGGGACAATTTTATTTGAAGCGATTCATTGGGTTCCATTCAGAACTCCAGAGTTTCTTCACTTGACTGACACATGCAACTTCGACAACCAAACCTTCATCCATTGCGATACAATTGCTAGGTTATAATGCGCGAAACGATCTTTCAGGCTTTATTTAGCCAGTGGTGAAGATAAAATATAATCACAGAAGCAGCTTCCTACCAGGTTCGCCCCATTTCTTCTTCCAGCGGCCGGTCAATGGAAAGGCGAGTGATTGCAGATGATGCCAGCGCACGTCGATTTGAGGAGAGAAGGAGCGACACAATAGAGAAGTTACGGTTAGCAACCTAATGAATGTGCCGAAATATAGGAGCGTTATTCACGGAAAGCACGGAGAGATCGCCAAAGAGACAGGAGCACCCGAACAATGAATGACACGAGGGGATTCGGAAGATGTAAGCAAGCATGACTGTTTGTTGCAGCTTGGACTTTGAAGTTACAACTTGTTTTCTGGTCGTGTTTCTTCTGTCAACCACGCAACCATTATCGTCATCCATGTGCAATCCTCCTTCTCTTCATTCAACGAGGCATTCAACATAAAAATTTCTGGACGAATCTGAAGACCTTGAATCATCTTACCTTGATGCGCAAGAGGATCAAAAAGGAGAAAAAAAAAAAAAAAAAAAAAAAAACTATCACGGTGCAGGGGAGGGAGGACCTTAATTAAGGGCGCAAGAAAAACCCAAAAAGAAATGGACGAGCTGGGAATCGAACCCAGGACCTTTCGCATACAAGAGACAATCTGAAGATAAGAATGTTATAAGTATGCTAAGCGAACGCTCTACCAACTGAGCCACACGCCCTTGTGATTGGTTGTTGAATGGGTAACTTATCATTTCTCTTATAAGCCGGACCTGAACATGATCGAGGTGGTCTAGCAACAGGAGGATGTATTTGGATATGACGACAACAACGAAAGCTGTCGCGGTCGTAGTCCCTTCAGCCACGCATTTTGGTAAGGGAACCAATCCATGTCATTTGAATCTCAATTTCAAGTTCCATTAGTTTACAGGAAGAGTCCAAAGAAAGCTCAGCACCAAACACGAGTGTCTGCACAACATCCTCTGATTGAGTCCCGTCGTTGACATAATGCGTCCCCCATGTCCCCAACGGTCATCTTTGTGGGTTTGCACAAAAACTACAATGAACTGGTTATCATCACCCTTTGTGTTCCTGGACGACAAAGCAGAAGGACGTTCTATTCCAGGTGCAAGAAAAGCCGAACAATGAAGAGAAGAGAGGAGTGGACAATGCAACACATGGTTAACAAACGCTTTTTGCACTGATGATAGTTGTGTCATTATGTAGATTTCAATATTCATGTCGACCAACTTGTGTTATAACAACTTATAGAACCATGGTTACTGAGCAGAGTGGCAAGAAAATTGACTCTTCTGTGGAGGCGTTCAGTGTTGGTATTCGCAAGCACACCTCTAAAATTCCCAGTTCAGATCGAGGCTCACTCGCACCGGCGAACAGACTTGCCGACCGACTGCCGTCAAGGCCGGAAGTCCCGTTCCTCACATTCTTGTTGTGCATATTTGGGAGAACAACGAGGTACGTCCAACAGTCAAGAAGTATCCCCACAGCCGAAACTAACCATGACCAGCTGCTACCTCTACCTGACTCATCCTGCACAAAACAAGACAACCAGTGATACCCCAACACCATCATCGCCTCAATACATACCTACGACTTACCTTACAGCAAAATGTGCTGGACAATCTTCCAAGGCCCCATCCACCACGCCTGCTCCCACACCGAGACCTACCCTACCTTCACAGAAGCAATCAACGCCCGACCAGGGGACTGCGACTGCGACTACACCGTGACGGAACGCGGCGGGCCCTCTGGCATGCCGTGCCAATGGTGTATCAAGCTTGGACGGTGGAGGTATAGTAGGGGGTATGTTATGTGGAGGCCAAAAAGGCGTAGCTGATGAGGTTGATGTTGGGTCTGGTACCTCTACCAAAGTTGGAGGGAAAAAAAAAACAGCTTGAGTCATGATACTGGTCCCAATGAGTGCCATCATCGAGTCGCCTAGAGTAGAGGCAATGTTTGTTTTGAGCCAGACGTTGGGAAGGCGAGGAGGGGAAGATGGAATGTAGTTGTCCCTACGTTCCGTCTGACGCGTCGTGGTGTTGTGGTGTTGTGGTTATGGAATGTGCTCTCTGTTAAGTCCGGCCAGTGTTCCGAGGCAAGGTATTGGAGCTATATTCCTGTTCCTTCTCAAGCCCAGAGCCAAAGCCATACCATGATCAATATTGGTACCTGAGAACTCAACGTCGATGTGCCATCGGCCGGATTCGGCAATATCACTCTAGCTCTTGATCAAGAGCACATGCATTCTCTACAGTGCTCGGATACCCCGGTGAATGCAAACTCTCACGATGCTCATGGCTGGATTCGCCTTCCCCATATTGGATTTCTGCCGTGTCACGATGGGGATTCCACACACAAATGGCGTTTGCTCCGATCTTCCTGGGGTGAAAGATCTCGCATGCCACCTTCCCCATGATTTTGATATTAACAACCGAGCGGGGTTGAACCGCAAGCAATCAACATGCGGCGGCGGCTGTAAAGTCATCCCGACTTCAATCCCGCGACCTGGGCACTGGGGCTGAAATTGCCATCCCATCGTGAATTGAGGTAACACAACCCCCGCGTGTCGTTGTACAAGACCAATGCAGGAACCGTGTGGATCCGTGGAATGCGCTTCATGAGAAATCCCATTGGGCTTTGCGACTTTCATGCATTCTGAATCATCATCGGAATCCGGAGCGGCAAGTAAATGGGTAGGCACATGGACTTCTCGATGATCGCCAGCACGACTTCCAAAGTGGCTGTTTAATCTTCAGACATGCGTGCTGATTTGATGTCGATCGCGCAAGGACGCCATACCTCCCGCTTTGGCGTCGCTGAATCTGAATCAAGCCGGAGGAGAAGCTCGCTAGTTGAAATCGTAACCCGCAGGAGATTCGGTCAAGTTTGCTCACTTGAGCCGACTGGAATATCACAGCTTGAAGCCACGAAAGGGAGAGAAACATACCTACCTACCAAAACCTTCAATGTCCGTCAGACCGACCACAAGCCGGGTTTGGCACCTCATCCGGCGTCGGGAATCCGCCTTCTCCCTGCCGTTTGCTGGCTTCACAGTGTCGCCGAGTCACCCTCCGAGCCCGCGCTGGCGCAATTCCCATCACGGGTTCCCATCCATCCATCCGCCTTCAATAGGTGTGTGTGTGTGTGGGAAGTATGCAGACAGCACACATACGCCTTGAAAAAAAAAAAAAGAACTCTCAAGCAAAGCGGCCAAGTATTGCCATCTTGCCATCCTGCCCAGTCAGAAGATACCGTTCCTCTCCCTCAAAGTGTGACCAAAATGACAAATCGAAGGAAGGCCAAAAAAAAAAAAAAAAAAAAAAAGCATCGTGCCATGCACGAGGAAACCCAAGAAAGCACCACAAAACGAGCCCGGCACAAAACAAAGAAAAAAAAATGATGCAACAACACGCGTCTGGTACCTGAGTCCCCCCCCCTCTCACAACAAAGACAGCAGGTGAAAAATAACCAAGAAAAGCATACCCTATATTTGTCGACCGCATTCTCGCCAGGAACCAAAACTTCGAGCTCGTTGAGCAAAGGAGGTCTGGAGACGGTCGTCATTGGTTGAATAGGCCGGGCATCGGAACGTGAGCCTGGGCCCGCCGCGTCTGCGGTCTCACCCCTGTCCCCCTAACCCCTGTCTCACTGATTCCCTTGGTACTAA